TCTTGGGGCTCAACGGCATGAAATTGGATGGGAAGGATTCTGTAGGATTCTAGGACATCCGTGGCACATGAGACTAGCAGATATCCCAAATGAGCACTTCTGCGTCCGAGAACGTGGATGCATCTTCGAGCACGAGTAGTTCTGATGCGTAATTTTGAACATGAATAAATGCCTACACCCTTACAGCATCCATAAAATTACTGAAATATTCATCGATGGAGTCGAGATGTCTGTCCCAGCATCCTGTCGCTTGTTCGCTTAATCGTTTAGACAGTCAATCGTCTTTGTCCGTCCTCGTTTCATAACAAAGTCATTCCAGAATTTCCGGTGCTCTTGGGAGTGTCTTGGGTCAACAGGACAGAGCTTTTTGTTGATCTTCCATATCTCTCGTTCTCGCGTGATCTTGCCATTCCCAAATGGCTTGCTGCTATGACACTGCTTTGCTGTGTATTCATCCTTATTCATGTGATTGACTTGAATTGTCTACTCTGACCTTCTCGTCAAGAAGCAATTCTACAAATTTCGGGCGAACGGGACCAAGTTTTATAGCGACCCTGCCCGCCAAGTCAGGCTGCACCAGCAAAAGAAAAAAAAATCCTCAAAGTTCACCATCGCTGTCTGCAATCAGCATGTCCATACAAACGAGATGGTGCGAAGATAGTAAAAAGGAAGTGTCAACGGATGTTTAGGAATAGCCGAAGGCGGGGCTCGAACCCGCGACCTTGAGGTTTGGANATATCGAAGCGATAAGAGCCACACGCTCTACCGATTGAGCTACCCCGGCAGGTCTGATGATCTAGTTCACTGTGTGAACTGGCTGTCGACGAAGATTGTCGGGCCCGGATAGTATATACCGACTAAGCAATCAGCTCCGGGGCCGGCGTGATGATCCGCTGCCTTCTTTGAGTACCGCGATGTAGACGAATACCGGCGACTTCTGCACAAGAGCGAACTGGGCACTGACTTACAGATTCGGGCAGCATGTCTGTACGCATTCGGGTATGGTCAGATCGTCAAAGCCGATCGGGTTCAATAGCAATAGCCGGTGGACGGAGGGGCTGGGTATTGACCATGTCTCATGTATGAGGACCATTATTATCGTACGCCGTGGGTTTGGCCCCTATTCTACCACCAATGTGAAGCAGGAAATAATTTGCGAAGCTCGATACGATTCCGCTTGATAGCCAAGAAGTCAGGGATTGGAATCCGTATCGTAGGGGTGTGCGATCGTCTGTAGTTTGGCTTGTCTAAAGCTGTATCCGTCTCGGCATCTGAACATTATTCGGTAGATTTCAAAGCATATGCGCACGCACACGTGTACACATTCCGACACTGTCGTAAGACTGTGGCTTCTGAATTCCTATTCATGTACAAGCTTCTCAAGAAGTGGCGGTCGCTTGTGGAGCGAGCTGAACTCGTCGGCGGAGATGTCTCATTCCCCTGACAGGGTCGTACGCTCAACAGTCGTAGTTTGACACGTCCGATATCGTTCCTTCTGGAAGCTGGCGCAAAAGCTTCTATGCTCGGTCCGAGTTGAGCCACGTGCGAAGCCGAGGGTCTGACGTGGAGACGGCAACTAAAAACTTTAGCAGCAAGCTCGACCCAGACCACCGGCGCAACGGAGATATAAAAAAATAATGCAACGAGCAAAGGTACAAGAGAAACACAGTTGAGTACCGTAACGATTTGACTAACGATTTGACTCTCCTATTCTCCAGAACGTTGCAAAGCGATATTGTTTCTTATGTTTCATTCAGGTCGTACAGCATGACCAGCTTTGAGTGTTCTGGATGGAAGTGCTGGTCGCTTCCTTCAAAGCAGAGTAGTGTCGTGTGCTTGAACAGCGAACTGGGAGAATGTGGGCGACTACAGAGACCCTCACCCATCTCTCATATTAATCTGTAGGGAGTACTGTAGATATGACTATTACTTACGGTCAGTGTGCGCTGAGACGTGAAAGCACACCTGTAACAAGCATGTGCGAGAGCCAAATTCAACAGCCCCGACGAGGAGGAAGTCGCATGACAAAAAACTTGCAGGTATATGAGCATCGTTCGTCGTAGTAGTTGCAATTATACTCCGTCAGCACCCAGTCTTATCGATGGCGTTGGGGTCGAGTTTTGAGCGCATAAATTCCTTGCATGTTGGTTCCTAAGAGAGGTCGAATGGTGAATGCAAGAGACCCGAAGTTGGACGTGTCATATCGAAAGTGCGACCTACGTACCCGTGCATGCGCTTGTCACTGATCCGAAGCAAGTCTATCCCCGAGTCACCAACAAGGATACAACTGCTCTTTTAGTGTGGAGCGCGAACTCTCAAGCCTTGTGAATATCAAACTTCTGCTCATACTGACTTGACGTGCGAGGTTCAGTCGTGCGTCCACAAAGTTGGTGCGTGCAGGTCTGGAGAGAAGCCATCATAACTCGATAAGCATTATCGCTTACCTGTGTTTTTGGTCTTTTGACTAACAAGAAGAAATCCACTGATGAAAGAATCGTCCGTGTTCACCGAGATGTCGGTGAGAAACGAGTCTCTGACGTTGGTGAAATTGTCTAATACCTAGCGTCCCGCGTAACCGCAGATAAGGTTCTCATGGCATAGGCTCAAGCAGATTTTCGGGGTATCTGCGCGTGCCTTGTGCTTTGAGCAGCGGCTACCAGCGGGAATCAACGGATTGCGAGAGAATGTCGGGACTTGGACGCTTGACAGGATGTGACATGATATTTGTCGGTATTCAAGAAGTCGTGAACACGCAACGGCATCTGTTACTTGTTCTAACAGCACAGTAGAATTTCCACGACTTAGTACAGCAGCGTTAGGATCTCAGAAAAGCTAGTATCGAAATCTTTCTCCTGAGGGGAATAGCGACGAAGGCATTGCCGCGGAACACAAACTTACAAATCCTCAGCGGTGAACCCGCCGAACTACACACGCTCGATTCTGTTACTCTGGACAGCTCGACGGACCCAGAAACACAGATGGACTGCAGCCCATAACCTTGATTTGGCGTTCGATGGACCAAGATCTTTGAGAGATCGAAGCTGGAGAATATAGTATCCTCGGCAAGACTGGAAGATGGAAGGATCGCGGATTCGTCAGGAGACCAGATGCCTAAAGCTGCAGAAGAAGTGTAACAAGAGCAGGTTGCACTTCCAGACGGCAGAGAAATATGACCGACGAAGGTACCCTCTGCCACTGTGTTCTCGAAGGTATGGATGATGAGGTAAGACGTCACGTCCTGTAGAAAGCATCTAGTACGTAAGCAGGGATTTGTCGGTTCCCCATAAGCCGCGTGCAGTAGCTTGCTAATGAATCGGCAACTAGAGGTTTAGTCGTGGTCATCCTTGAGGTTGTACGGTTTGGACATGGCGGAGTAGATACCACGGTTCGTTGAGGACGTTGACTGCACGTGGTTGGGACCATGCTGAATGAGTCAAGTGTGAGAGCGCCAACTCATAGTATGCATCCTATGGCTGTCTTGGATTCAGGATGTACAGTACTCCATCCGCAGCCGAGGCAGAGGGATAACTTGAGTCATGGCTGAATCTTGCGAACATGACTCGAATTTCCGGAAGGATCAAACCATCGATCGAGTGTTTGCAGACGCGGTCTTCTAGGCAAAACCAGATGCTCCAAGCGAACAGAGTGAAGCAAATTGGCACTTCGTAGACACTCACCGGGGTATGCTTGTTTAGAAAACGAGCTTCCTGGGCGAGAAGGACAGAAGTAGCTGCAGGCAGGTCAAAAGAAGCGACAGGCTAAGGACGTCAGGCATGTATAAGAGCATGACCATGAATCATGTTGAGCAACGGGCAAGTCCAAGCAGAGGAGTAGTCGGTAACGAAACCAAGTTTGTCGACTAGTGTAGCGATGGGACGAGCGGCGTATGTAGAGGAGCGGCATCAGGGGGTAGAAAGATGCCGCTATGAAGGTTTAGAATTGCCGGGCGGCGATAGTAAATGTACAAATGGACATGGTGAGGTACATAGCATCAGACAAGAGCTAGATGGAGCGGTTCCAAAACGGCCATCAGAGGACTCGGAACGAAGCCGCAGAGATTTGTTCGGAAGTGATTGCTCATCGATTGTCCGGTGGTGAAGGACAAACGAATCATGAAGTGCAGCGATTGAGCAGTGACCAAGGGGAGCTGGTGATCTGGTGGGGTTGCGACTGCAGAGGTGGGGCATGCACTGGGTAGTATTGTTCAATGCACAAAGGTACAGTGGACAGGCAAGTCCCTTACTCGAAACAAACGGTCAAATATGGCAGAGGCTCTGTGCGGGGAGCGTCGTTTGTGGCAGAGAAGGAGCAAAAAGCAAACGCACGTGTCAAGATTTGAATTTTAAGGGTCGCGACTTCGGCGCCGGTAGGGAGCAGAGGTAGGCGTGTGCAAGGGCAAGGGGAATAATTCAGTAGGGTTGTCAGGAAATAAGGTCCGAGTACGTAGAGTGTCTTAGAGAGAACTCTCGAGGGTTCGATTGGCGGTGCGAGGAGAAGTCGCGGGAAGCAGTGCATATCATCTGGACCAGAAACACGATCTCGGGCTATGATCTGCGCACATGTTAGCCGAGCGCCACCTCCGGAGGCATTGACAGATGAGTTCAAGGGCCGCCATGACGGGTGCTCAGCGCAGAGAGGAGGTTGCCAAGCAATGGTCCAAAGCATGAGACGGCGGGCGCATGATTCGACGGCCTGACTCGCCTGCAACTTTGACTTTGACCAAGAAGCACGATGCTCTTTCGTGTCTATTCTGTTATCCCCAAAGCCCTCCTTCTCCCTTCGCCCATTTTTATTCGTCTTTGCGCCCGATCCCACGCCAACTTGACCTCTGTCCGACCTCTGTCGCAACACTCGCTCGACTGGCTCTTGGTCCACCCCGTCTCCTAGGCTTTGCGACGTGCTCGAGAGCGCCCGCCGACCGTGCATCGACCCTAGACCACGTCCTGCATGACTCGCCCATCACCTGCTGCTCACCAGTGCAACTCGAGAATTTGCCCATGATGGCGACGACGAATGGCTCGTCGGGCTACGGCACGCCGCAGCGTGACGGCACCATGTCAATGCCGCCCGCCAATGGCACTCCCCTGTCGCACACGACGCCCGATGCGACAGCTCAGCCAGGAACATACCCCGCCGTCACCAATGGCAGGAAGCGCAAGGCCGACGGCACCTCGTCGCGCGGCGTCGCCAACCTGACTCCGGAGCAACTGGCCAAGAAGCGGGCAAACGACCGCGAGGCCCAGCGTGCCATCCGCGAACGCACCCGCAACCAGATCGAGACGCTGGAACGTCGCATCAAGGAGCTCGAGAGCCAACAGCCCTTCCAGGAGCTGCAGAATGCCCTCCGCCAGCGCGAGCAGGTCCAGGCCGAGAATGACGACCTCAAGCGCCGCATGCAGACCATCTTCTCATTGCTGCAGCCCGTTGCTGCCTCTCAGGGTCTGAATGGTAGCAGTAGCTCTGTCGTCCCTCGCTAGTCTGCCGCAAGCTGACACATCCACCTAGACCTTGCTGCTGCTACCGCCCAACAGAGCCCTCTTCCAATGCCCCAGCACCACCCCCAACAAGCCCCTCCGCCGCCTCCTCAAGCCCTCATGTATCCTTCGCAACCGCCCAATCTTTACGACCAACCCNCCTTTGCTCAGCAGCACCTTCACCCTGACCTTCGCAACATTCAACCCAACCAGCAACCTCCACCACCTCGTCCAAACCAATCTCCAGCCAGCGCCGCCAGGCAGTATGCTCAAGCTGCACAAGCCGCTCAACTGCAACAACAACAGCAACAGCAGCACCCACAACAGCAGCGCTTTTCGCCGCACCAGCACTTCCAGCCCGTACTCGCTCCTGCGCCCGTACCACAGCACCAACACCATCAACTTGTACCAGAGATGTCCACTCAGAGCTTCGGCAATTTCCTGGTTGACGAGCGCAAGGTGTACCCTCCGTCACCATCAGTGCGCGACCTGATGCCCACCCCAACGGCTGACATGCCGGTGCACATGCGTCTACCTCGCAATCAGGAGGCTACCTGCCAGCTGGATAGCGTCATGTTGGATTTCGCAACAGAGCGGCGCAAAGCCGCAGCACAGGGCACACCCTCCTCCTCACTAGTCGGCCCTGCATACCCTTCCATATCGTCTCTGCTCAACCCTGCCCGAGCACCAAAATCTCACCCTCTCAGCAAACTCTTCACCGACGTCCTGGCCAATCTCCCCGAGATCGACCAGATTCCAGAGCAAGTCGCCTGCTTGTACATCATGTTCCTTGTTATGCGCTGGCGCATTGCCCCAACTCAGGAGAACTTTGAACGTCTACCTGAATGGATCCGTCCCATCCGATCGCAGCTTGAAGTCAGCCATCCTATCTGGTTTGACAACGTGCCATGGTAAGCCGTCTGTTCTTTCAATTCAATCTTCGAAGCTAATCCCCTCGCTAGGCCTTGGATGCGCGATCGCATGATCAAGAACGCTTCTGCTTATCCCAACGAGCGTTATGGCCCACCATATTGTTCAAGTCTGTCGCTGAATTGGCCATATGATCCTCAACAATGTCTCTTGCCACGCGCCAACAGCGTTCAAGGCGCTGAAGCTACATCAGCTGCAGTGTTGGACGACGACGAGGAGTTCATGATAAACCCCGTTTTCGAGTCTCATATGCGCAACCTCAGCAACTGGTCTGTTGGTTCCGCATTCGCCAACGCTATGCCGGAGCTGGTCGAAGGCGTCCGTGTCAAGGAAAGGTAAATCTACCATCACCTTCCTTGGAATTTCCACGTTGCCACGACGCTCAATGACCTTTCTCCCATTCCAAACCAACGGAACTGATACGCGAGCCCATTAGCATTTCTAGATCACCCACCCGGAGCTCTTCGTCGCTTGACGCGGACGAGTCAGTCTGCTGAGCTACTGTTACGAACCAGTTGTTCTGCTCATCCTCACAGCACAAAAACGTAATACGAAATTCTGGCCAGTCCATAAATAGACATTGCGATCGGTCAAGTGATGGTAGACTGGGCTATGCATTCAGGTTGTATCTCTAGTTGGTGGGATCGTTGTTCTTCTAATTGCAATAAAAAGTCCATACAGATTGCCGATATGTACCAATCCAATAAGGTGCTCTATCAAAGGTGCTTTCTTTTCTACAGTAGCTTCTCCTTGGTGCTTGCTGTAAGTAGATAATGATAATTCTCGTTCAAGCCGCTTCCTCTTCTTTCTTCCTCGCATGGAAGGTTGCCCTCGTCAAGGTCTACAGACTTCATGCACGTGTAGCCTCCATGATGGCAAGCACGACATGTAACTTATGTTTCCGCCATGTATCAAACACTGACAAATGCGAGATTACATATGTCAAGGAGAAAGGACTGGTGTATCCCAACAAAGACTTGTCCAACGGAAGCCACCAATCGCTTGCAAGTATGAAGAAGCAAACATGATATCAAGGAATGCATGCGTGGATTGATGGCATTGCATAATCTTTCGCTCATGGCCATCAGCAAACACCGTAAGGTGTATGAAGCATAATCCATCTCGTCTAACTCACCTACATCATCTCACCCTCAATCACATCACAAGATGGCCAACGTCGATCCTAAATCGAGCGCCTCTACCAGCAAGATTGATCTCAGCGACTCCATGTACCATAGCGACGGAGTCCCAGGACATCAGCCTCGAGACATGACTAGAGAAGATGATGCCAGCTTTCTGGACCGTCTCAGCAAAGCTTTCAACAACACTCCTCGCCTTGTCGCTGCCCTTGGTGAGCTTCCTCAACTTCCTTCTTCATCTCGCAATATCCTTTTGCCTACCCAAATTCTTGCTAGCTTGGACTTATATGTCTGTTCCAAACCCAGACNNTCTCATGTCGAGTTCATCAACGAGCCTCCCCGCGACTATGCATCCTTCATCCGCGCCGAGACTTACGATGACGGCCAGAGAGTTGACAAGTTCATCTACGGACACCCTAGTGGCATGTCCTACACTTCGCTTACTTCGTTTGCTGAGCACGTTCTCATGATCATCAAGGGCGAGCTCGACAAGTGCACTTGTGTCAACTGTCAGGGTGTACCTGTTCCTCAGCCTCGTGCTGGCTCTTGAGCACGCATGAAGCAAGCCAGAGAGCAAATTACAACGAGCAACAACGGATCAAGGAAGGAAGCGACAAGATGAAGGAGAAGCCTCGTTTCTTCTGGACGTTCTTCAATGACTGTCCGACGTTGACAGTTTTGGCCATGCCAGTCTTGTTTACCTAGCATTGCATGACCTTAGCTGTGCATTGAGCGAGCGGCGGCCGTACATTGCCATCGGAAATGTCACTTGTCCCAACAGCCCAACTCTATTATCCGTGAGATGTGTAGTTTCGAGGTGGAAGTCGTGAACCAGAGGGAAGCAAAGACAGACACTTGTCCACGATTCGCTCTAGACTCTTTCTGGTGTATCTTTTGTCTTGAAGTTATGCATTTTGGTTGCAACTTGTTGAATGCTGAATGTGAATGACCTTTCGGATGGACTTGCAGACGTTCCGGCAATGTCCTAGACATATGTTTTTGCGAACTCTCATCAGACTATCACTGAAACCGTAAGTATCTGTTAATTCTGACGGGATAGAAATTCCAAGGATGTGTGCTTGTTGGAAAGAAAGACAATGCAAGCAAAGATGGAGAAGGAGACCATGGGACCCTCAACCGACGCCTCGGTAAACCTGGGGTACCTCGGCCAAACACTCGACGACTCGATGGATAAGTCGACCTTCCTTCCTGCTTGTGCACGTTGCAGAATTGTCCAACCATGTCGACCTCATCGTTCAGAGTACAGGAACACACGTTGCCATGCTCGTATATCAGAGAGTATCCACTGGCAACCGCAGATAGTCAAGAAGACACGCTTTATCTTGCTATCAAGCAATACACCCCGCTTGACAACTTGACACCACAAAAGGGAGATGTCACAATAATCGCCGCACATGCTAATGGATTCCCCAAGGTGATTAGATTATTCATCTGCGTAAGGATCAGGAAGAGTACTGATAAGCTTCACCATAGGNAACTGTATGAGCCGCTATGGGATGAACTGTACACGAGATCAAGAGCCAGTGGTATCAAGATCCGCAGTATCTGGATTGCAGACGTGGCCCACCAAGGCCAGTCAAGTGTCCTCAACGAGAACACACTGGGGAATGATCGTGAGTGTGTCGCATCAATGTGTTTAGATCTGGGTCTGATTTCCTCTANNGCATCATGGTCCGACCATCCTCGGGACTTGTTCTTGATGATTAACAAGTTTCGGGACCAGATGCCGCAACCGTTGGTCGGTGTGGGACACAGTATGGGTGGAGCGCACCTGACAGCTCTGTCGTTAATGCACCCTCGTCTGCTGAGCACATTGATACTGATCGATCCCGTGCTTATACGTGAAAGTCACCCCAGCGCTTACACCCTAGGTCGAATGTCTGCTCGGCGAAGAGACAAGTGGCCAAGCCGAGCAGCAGCACGAAAAGCATTCGAAAAGTCACCCATGTTCAAGTCATGGGATAGACGTGTACTGGACCGCTGGATGGAACATGCTCTTCGAGATCTACCCACGAAATTGTACCCGGAAGTCGCGATATCTTCCACAGCACCTGCATTAGGTGCAGATGTGTCTGGTAGCATCATCTCTCCCGACAGCAAGACAGAAGTACCAGTCACGCTCAAAACGACGAAACACCAAGAGGTCATGACATTCATGCGAGGCAACTTTGTGACGCCTCTGAATCCTGCTCCGGACACAGCACCCAACCCGTTGACACATCCGGATGTAAACATCGCGTTGCCGAACATGACGCCCTTCTACCGACCTGAGAGTTTCCACATCTTCAAGCTCCTGCCATACCTTCGACCTTCGGTCTTGTATGTTTTCGGCACCGAGTCTGATCTGTCGACAGCACAACATATAGCAGACAAGCTGGAAGTCACAGGAGTAGGGGCAGGCGGTAGTGGGGGTGTAGCGAAGGGGAGAGTCAAGGAGTTTACAATGCAGCGAGGTGGGCATCTGATGCCGATGGAGCGAGTCGAGGAGACTGCGGATCAATGTAGCGGTTGGCTCTTGCAAGAGTTGAAGCGATGGAAAGACGAGTACATTCAGATTGAGGCTCTTCGGGCAGCGACGCCACGGGAGAAGAGGTCTCAGATGTCTGACGGATTCGTCCAGGCTCTGAGCCAGCCCTCGGCAGGCCAGCCAAAGTCTAAGCTGTAGATAATAGATTGATCGACCTGTGCAACAAATCTAGTGGCATGTACTTCTAAGATCTATTTCTCGCCAAGTCCAAACATCTTGATCGAGTTGTTCCATGCAGCTTCGCATACCTCCTCGACCGAGATGCCCTTGATGTTGGCAATCGCATAAGCCACGTTAGGGATAGTGCATGGTTCGTTCCTGCCCTTGACCATGTTGTCGACGGTCCATTTCTCTTTCTTGACAGCTTTGGGCAACTGGGGTGCATCCTTGAGGTACTTGGCTGAAGCATGCGAGGGTCGCATCTCGCACCAGGGGCCATCGGTCTCGATCTGTAGTCGTTTCAGTGGGACTTCCCTGACCACCTGGACGTTTTCCTCCGTCTTCAGACTGCACCCGTTGATTCCGACATCGAAGCCCATGTCCACAATGTTCTTCATCTCGTCCAGTGTTCCTGTGAAACTGTGTACGCATCCTCTTTTCGGCAGCTCGTCAAGCCTCTCTTTCAAAATTGCTTCGAAGTCTTCTGCTGCTGCACGCGAGTGTAGGAACAAGGGAAGTTGCACTTCGACGGCGATGTCGAGTTGCTTGCGGAAGTACTTGATCTGGGTGTCCTTGTCGGCGTAGTGCAGTCGGTCGTAGTCCAGACCAAACTCGCCGTACGCTGCTGCGGTTCCGGCAGTCTTGGTCTTGAGGGCGAGGTCGCGGAGAGCGGATAGTAATGCATCGGGGCCTTGCTCGTACTTTTCGAAGGTCATGGCGGAACATGGGTGGACTCCTACGGTGGCGTAGCAAAGACCAGCTGTCAATGGGTAAGCATTTGTCTACTTGCAACAAGCAACGGTGTCCACGCACGGNTATTGCTCAGCCAAGTCAATGGCCTTCTGAGACTCTTCAAGGTCAGAGCCCGTGACCATAAGCTTCCGACAGCCAGCTCCCAGAGCACGCTGGACAATTTGTGGTAGGTCATCGTCGTGTGCCTTCTTGCCGTGGTAGACGCCTTGGAAAATGGGATCACTCAGGTTGATGCCAATCNNTATGCCACTCAGCATCGGTCACACAAAGTCGAATGCTTGCGCCTGCGAACCAACATCGGCAAATCTCAGAGACACTTTGCTCTTGTCTTCGTGTTGTACGGGTACGGCGCTCAGGCCTGCTGTGAGCGGATCGTTTCCTGCTGTCGTCGACATGGCGGCGATCCTGGGTTTGTGGAGTCTTGGAATAGCAAAAGTCCTGCTGATGGTTATGGGTATCCTAGTCGTTCTCAAATACTGCATGCGAGCGGGTTGTGTTGGTCAATAGGTCGCCAGGAATAAAAGTTGTCAATAGCCGACGAGTGATGACGTCGGCTAAACTCGCCATATGACAGTCACTATTCCGAGAGCTTGACCATTACCATACACACATATCGAAACGAGTATGTATGTAGGTCACAGTGCAAAGTGACTGCGAGTCCAATTGTCCGATTGACGGCTTCTTAATTCTTCGGTGGTTGTCAAGGCCTGCGATGATTCAATCTATGCCATGTGAAGTTGCTTGGACGAATTCGTGTTCACATGGCCGAGACGCGACAACTTCCATGCAACTCTTTCTTTGGCTCAATCCAACCAAAATTTATATTTTCTCGATGTGCTTTGAAGTTGACACATATGGTCTCATAGAAGGACTCAACTAATAGATTTTTGCACAAGATCCTGTGCAGGGTTGATCGTATTGCAGCTTCCCCTTTCCATCCTCGAAGGATATCAACACAAAATGTCACCAATTCGGAAGCAGCAAACAGGACCAACCTGGTCGGGAGCTAATGTCTTCTACTTTCTGATAGCATTTCGTATCTGTAATGCCCTCCTCATCCGTACTTTCTTTCAACCGGATGAATATTTTCAGTCTCTGGAACCAGCATGGAATATAGCCTTTGGGCCTTCTAGTGGTGCATGGATAACATGGGTAAGCTATACCCAGTACAGAATTTAAGACGACTGCTGACAATTCGTACAGGAATGGAGGGAACGACTCAGGTCTTCGCTACATCCTTTCCTCTTTGCAGCCGTCTACCGCGCGACAGCCTTACTCGCTGACTCTCTACATCTAGAAGCAGTAACTCGAACTGAGCTGCTGCTAGCAACCCCCAAGTTACTTCAAGCGTGTTTCGCAGCAACCACTGACTGCTTTATCTGGAAGTTGGCGACAAAAGCATACGGAAAAAACTCGACGGCCTCTTCTGCTGCGGTTAGTCTTGCCCTTTTCCGCACAATGATATTTAACTGAGCAGCTCTTTCATAGCTCTTCTTGACTGTTGTCAGCCCATGGCAATGGTTCTGCTCGACTAGAACACTCTCGAACTCTCTGGAGACCACATTGACCACCATTGCTTTATGGCTTTGGCCTTTGCGTAACGATCCGAAGCAACCTGGCTCTAATGCTATAAAGTAAGTTCAAGAAGACCATGAAAAAGTTTGATGGCTGGCTAAAGTGAGTGTAGGCNTTCGAATGGCTTTGGCATTGGCGGCTGTAGCCACGGTGCTGAGACCAACAAATGCGATCATCTGGATTGTAATGGCTGGGTATACAGCAGCACCAGGCAAAGACATCAATTTGACACGAGCGCTTTGGACTCTCGCAGTGGAGTGTCGTGAGGCTGTGATCTCAGGGTACGTCCAAATACGTATGTCTGTTTCGGTAAACTGACCTCAACCTACAGTGNTTTCTGTAGTTGCCATCTCGCTCGTCTCGGATCGTCTCTACTACGGCGACTGGACGTTTCCGCCACTTCGCTTCATCCATTTCAACGTCATACAGTCTCTCGCCGTGTTCTATGGCAGGAACCGACCTGACTACTACTTGACCGAGGGACTGCCTCTACTCTTGACTACGACATTACCATTCGCTGCATGGGGCTGCTGGTCCGCCTTCTCCACCAACACAAGACACATACTCGACACGCAGAAAGTCACACGACCTTTGGCAATCTCGGTCTTCGTTTTCGTCACAGTCATGAGCTTGATCGCTCATAAGGAAGTCAGATTCATCTACCCATTGCTGCCAGGACTCCTAGTGCTGGCAGCAGGTCCCTTCTCACAATTCTTCTCACCGCTACTGCTACCTAGGACCGCCGTGAAGAAATCACTTCTCCTCGTCCTTGTCGCCGTAAATGTGACACTGGCATTCTACATCAGTCAAGTCCATCAGCGAGGTGTTGTTGACGTGTTGCACCATCTCCGGCAACAACATGAGCTCAAAGCGTCCTCAAACACTACAGTCATATTCATGATGCCCTGTCACAGCACACCATGGCGAAGCCATCTGGTTCACCCTGGTATCGACGCACGAGCTTTGACATGCGAACCACCGCTCGACGTGCCCATCGAAGCAAGAGCTTCATACATGGACGAAGCAGACCAATTTTACGCTGATCCGAAGGTCTGGATGCGCGAGCATATGGAAGATTTGGAAGCCTCAGAGAAGGGACCATCGAGTTCTGCAATCAACATTTATCAAGACAAGGCACAGTGGCCGGAGTATCTGGTCTTCTTTGAACAACTGGAGCCTACCATGACAGAATTCTTGGCCAAGACTGCATACAAACAGTGCTGGAAAGGCTTCAACACGCACTGGCATGATGATCGGAGGCGTCAGGGAGATGTGGTGGTGTGGAGATTGGGCGAAAGTGTATAGAGTCAAGCATCATCAATATTTGACAGGAAATGAAAGTTGACAAAAAATGATGGGAAATGCTTTTTGAATTATTCATGGCGTCTTGACTAGTCATTTCCCCTACGAGAGGTTGATGTCGTCTACGCGATAGTGGTCTGCAACGATCCTGTACAGATAACTGGGCGCGTGACCTCCNACTGTAGAATAGTTAGCAAGAGAAGAACCCAGCAACGAAACATGAGACGGTTGCACTTACAGATTGGTGATGTACAAGTCCACAAGATCAGCACCCACATAATCGTAGATGGGATTGTTGACATCAACATTTTCAACCAAATCGCCCTGCTGGAAATCGATAACCTTGCCCGGGTCACCGTACTCGACCAACTCTTCCATGTCAAAGGGATATACGGGGCTGAGTTTGTAGACACCACTGACCACCACAACAGGAGTTTGATGCACTTTTGCAGCTTGCGCGATGGTGAGAGCACCCGTAGCTGCGATCAAACCGCCATTGGCAAGGACAGTGTGTGGTGCGAGGATGACCTTGTTGACGCGCGACATGAGGGCAAAGACGGCAGAGTCCGGGATCATGATGACCTGGATACCCATAGAGATGAGCGGCTTCCATCGCTCATCAGCCTCTTCGTCATCATCGTCGCCCTTCTTGCCGCCAGTCAAGATGGTAGCGTGTGTATCCACATGATCGTTAGGATAAGCTTCAGCATGAATAACAGTAAACTTTCGCTTGCGAGCCGCAGCGATGAGGAACTTTTGGACCGTCTGCGAAGAAGTGTGCGTGAGGATAATCTCGTTTGCGTGAATGTGCTCGAGTGCGGATGCGGCGATTTGGTCGTCGACGATTTCGAGTTCGTCGACGAGCTCCTTAATCCCGTCGATGACTTCGGCTTTGACGTCCATTTTGGTTTGGCCTGCCTCGGGGATGCTGCCTAAGCGTAGACCGCTTTTTGAGACTGGAGATTGGGCGCCAGTTGGCGGAGTCGCTACTGGAGAAGGCTCATCTGGGTGTGAAAGAAGGCCGAATAGCGAAGTGACTTGAGGACCAGTGGCGTAGGATGTGTGAGAAGTAAGAAGCGGGGGTCTGTGAGCTCCCATGCCGTCGTTAAAGTCGGCCGATGAGAGACTCTCCTGCCTCAGGTTCACTTCAGATGGTGCAGCAGAGCCGTGATTTAGCGGGCTAAAGGCCGAAATGTGAGAGTTCAAGCCTGGTCTGTGCAATGAGTTGTTGTGGTTCTGGTGGGGTTCATCGCTCTGGTCGGCCTCGCTGAAAGCACCAGCGTCTAGGCCTGTCTCCTCGACTTCTCTGATCAGACCAAGGACACGGCGCACGATGTTGCCGACTGCCATCTCGCGGGGCTGGGCAGCTATCAAGCGCTGACCAACCTTACGCACACGCTCGATCAGGGAGGCGGCATCTCTAGTCTTTGAAGCGGCAACAATGCGAAGCAGTAGTTGAGTGGTTGCAATAGCACACGGCCTGGAGTTTCTGATCTGGCGTCTCTTCAGAAGACTNTTGACATTGTCAGATGAAATGTCCTTGACATAACGATGGCTAGAAACATACGAGATGAAATGTTCGATCGAAGTCTCCACATCGGTATGTTTGAGAGATTTGAGAAAAGAGGACAAGCCAGGGGTAGCGGCCATGGTGGTCGACATGTTGGTTATTTACCAGGTCGTCGTCGCGAGAGAATTTGCTTGATGAAATGAGTCGGATGACTCAGATGTTTGGGGGATCCCCTTCCGACTTTGGTATCGCCAGGTGTAAACTTGATATAAGTTTTGAAGCAGATGTGGTTTGCTGTAGTGACGGTCGAATTCAGTGGCTTTCCAAATTTGATACTCGGTCTGAATCATAAAAAGAGTCGAGTGAGAGATGGCAGCGAGTGCCAAGACGTGTAATTGAAGACGCTCGGACCAGATGAACATCAAAACGCGAGAAACGCGTCAGAACACGTCTGGCGGGGATGCTGATTGTTGGAGGGGTAAGGAGTAGTTTTGGTGGTATACATGCATTGGACATGGCGTTACCGCTGAAGCCAGGCCTGACGCCGGCCGAGGTGGCCTTCTTGTGTGAGATGGAGATGGTGACGGTGATACCGCGCCAGCGCCTCGAGTCGCTCGAACTGCTCGGAGTAATTCGTTCTCTGCCACCAGACGTTATACACATCGACTGACTCTCAGAACAGGGCCCTACCAAAGCCCTCACACCACCCTTTCCCACGCCGCTACCTCTATGGCTCGCCTTGCTACTCAAACGCCAACGCCGTGCCAACATCCTGCCTCCACCCTGGCTCAGCCCCGAAACTCTTTCCGCCATCCTCGACATTGAGGTCGACAACGAAGACCTCTTCTCTCCACCACCTCCGCTTCCTGCAGCAAAGACTCCACCATCAGATCAATATCTCGATCAGACTGCTTTGGAAGTGTCGGCTCCTTTCTTACCCTCGAGCACCTCGAACGCTGCACCAGATGCTTTACCTTACCACTGGCTGGAGCTGAGCCACATGCTCCTATCACATGCATCCGATGATTTCGAGGAGCCCGATACCGTCAGACGCTTGCTACGCGACCTCAAGGAGGTGCGCATGGCCAAGCTCAGAAAAGGTACAAGGGTGCTGGATGCCGGTGCAGGCGTGCAAATGAACGGTGTGGGAGCTCTCGAGATTGCCGAATCAAGATCCTTCATCGCCGGTGTCGTTGACGGCCTGAGGTATCTCACTACGTATCACAACATTCTGACGAGTCTGCTAACATGCATCACAGAAAGANTTGGTGCCTCGAGAGAACAGACGCGCAAGGAAAGAGACGCCGAAGATGCCGAGAACGGCTATGCTGCGAGCTCAATCGACGACCAAGACGATGACATGTTATGATAAGATACCACATATTGCATTTTTCCCTTCATCCTTCTTCGTTTGTAAATCTGGCTCTCTTGAGCCTGCATTCCGCCTGGTCTATGGTTGCTCTATTTGTTCAGTGAGATCATGTCGGGATTGGCGGCCAGAAATTTATCTTCCCGACTGGCTTCTCTTTCTGCTCGGCCGCCATAAACTGCTGCCTGTGGCCCTCGTCGCCATGCGCATAACTATAGCATAATGACAAAAGATTCCCTCATCCAATGCGTCGTTGTAAACATGAAAGTTGGTAATCGCAGGCCCAGCCCTCAATCCGAAAAAACTCCTCTATTGACGCCATCGCTTGCAAAGGAAATTAATAATAACAAAGCTTCTCGATTCGAGAAACTGAATCTAGTACCACAACGAATTTTAGTCGCTCTCATCATGACTGCGTATCTTCTTCATGGTGTTGTTGCTGCCACTCCTCGACGACTTCTTGGAAAAGGCTGATGATCCAGTTCCTCGTCGTGGGTTGTGTGGAAAGTATGATGTACTGCTGACCCCGAGCCCTCGACCGCCGGAAGGAGTCAAGGGCGCAGAGCGCCGACGTACCATCTGCAGACCGCCGTCGTCGTCAGACGAGTCTTCATAATCAGACTCATCGCTCTCGATGGCATTATCGCCGGTATATCCGTCATCCTCAAGCACAGGAACACAAGGTGTGAACGGTGCCTCATTGGGACCTAAAGGCTCGCCTTGCTCATCCGCTGCTTTTTCTTGCGGTGCCTCTGAGTCGATGGTCGTCAAAGAGGGAATTGAGGGGTTCGAGCATGACATTGGTGTGTTTGGAGGAAAGCGATCTTCTGAAGAGCTCGGCGTCATCAGAGGTTGCAGGCCCGAAACATAGCTTGTTGGACTGGTAGGCTGGGACTCGTGCATGTAGGCACTACGTCGGCGTGGGTCGGATCGGGATCCTCCAATTACTAACTCGTCTTCATCATCGTCATCATCGTCCTCGTCATCGTCTTCATCACCATCGTCCCTGTCGTTATAGAAATCTAACTCATCATCTGGACTGGGCGGACAGGTCTCTGGAATGTCGGTTGTCGCACGACTAGTGTGTATGCTTGTTTCGGCTGTCGATTTTCGTGTGCTGCGTCGAAGCCATTCTTCTTCGGCTCTGCGGAAATTGTCTCCAGTTGATTCGTTAGGAAGTCGATCTGGATTGTCGGGGTCCCATGCCGAATCATGCTCAAGACGTCGGCGTGCCTCGAAAGACGAGGTAGACACCTGCCGAGAGAGCGTTGTGCTTGGCCGAATTGCCGTATCTCGGCGTTCCGGCGCCGCTCTTGATTGTGACCTTGAAATTATTGGACTCGAAGCGCTGCTCACGATGTTTTTGAGCACGTCCGGAAGATCCAGGTGGCCTGAGGCTTGTGTATTACTGACAGCGACACTTGGATCTGCGTGTGCATCACTCGATTCGGAAGGTGCTCTACTAGCTGATCTCTCCAGTCCGTCTGTACTCCGACCTGCGGTACTGCGATCTCTGACGCTCTTCAATATGCGACGGCCAGCATCGCTCAGGAGACCACCAATGTTGGTGACGGTATCGAAGGACGAAGAAGCTAGCCCGGGAGACGTGGGAGGAGATTCAGGAGTGATCTGTGGAAGAAGTGTGTCGGATGGTTTGATGGTCCGCACAGAGGTGGTGGTAGACATGATAGATCTTGATCTATCACCTTGGCTTGGGTAGTCAGTCGCTCCGGTTGGTGTGCTGAGACTCGAAAAGTAGGCGTCGCGATTCGGGCCTTGCTCCGGACTGACAGTAACGCTTTGTGCCAGAGGGTGTTCGGTCTCACGAGAAGCTTTCAGGGCAGAGAAAATACTCTCATCTCCTCGTAAGCTATTCCTTCGTCCCTCTTGGCTAATCGCACTGCTCGAAGAGCTAGCCGATAGAGGGTGTGATCCCGACATTGAGGGTGTTCTCGTTCGTGTCGAACTGGCGCGACCTAGGCCGCTCATTAAACCTCCTATGGTCTTCTTCACTCCTGAACGAATCCTTTCGACCAACTTGACAGGGACGACAGCGTCTTGTAATTCTTCCTTAGAGACCTGGATTTTCTTGCCATGTGATTGTCTCGAAGGATCTGTGTCATCAAGCCAAAGAGTTTTGTTTGAGATATCTTGGACCACCCACGGATGATGTCGAACTTCTTCCAAGGTAATACGTTTCGCCGGATCCTTCTGAAGCAGCTTACGGAACAAGTCGAGGAGTAAGTCGTCCAGTTCTTCATACGCAAGATCGTATTCTGACCTCTTGCCCGAGGCGGCAGGTGGGAAGTAGCGGCCGTGAGAAGATGGACGAGATTTGGGACGTGGGTCAACTGGTCGCAGACGCCTCCTGGGCACGTAGATCTCTTCATCAGCGATGCGTCGCATGACGACAAATTCGTTGTCGACAAATGGTGTGCGACCGAAGAGCATACAAAACAGAGTGATACCAAGGGCCCAAACATCAATAGCAGGTCCGACTGGAGGAGTTTCACCACTCCCATCAGTGTAACACAGCTCAGGGGCATAGAAAGCTGCAGTGCCAACGGTCTTTGCGAGCTCTTTGGCTTCGTCGAAGTCCTGCATGTCAGATTCTGAAAGGTTCTCAGGGACTTGGTCGTCATTGATTGGACGACCAAGATACGAAACACCGAAGTCCGAGATCTTTGTCCGATGGTCAGCTGTTTGCAATAGGTTAGGAGGCTTGATGTCCCTATGGATGATGCCCTGGTAGTGGAGATACTGTAGCCCAAGAACAGTGTCCCTGAAGGCTACTCGAGCAGCATTCATAGACATACAGGGTACGAATTGCAGATCGGGATGAAGGTCGCGGTCAAGAATCTGGGCTCCTGAAGCATCCCAGAATTTGCGTTCTTCTGGATGACGAAGGTCTTGAGCACCGAAAGAACGCACACTACTGGCCAAACTTGGCGCACGGTCTGCTTCTTCATCTACCTCTTCTTCTTCGTAGGAACCGTACATGGTCCCTTCCAGGAGTTTGACTGGGCTGACTTCTTGCCAGAACGCCTGAGGATTGACGGGATTGACGGGGGTGCCGGGATCAGCTCCCTCGCTCTCACCAATAGAGAACTGTGCGAGTACGGCTGATAGCTGACGACTATCGACTCCTACTTTATCCGCGCTCTTCTCGGTTGTCGATGTGGATACCCTTGACGCATGGTCTGCGTCCGAATCATCTTCGTCGGTATCACCACCAAATTCGAAACTCCATGCTCCTGGTCCAGTACTTCCAGCATTCCTTTGTCGGCGTAGCTTTCTCAAGGTTCGTCTCTGCTGTTTGAGACGCCGTGTTTTGGCCTCGTCGAGGATAGCACGGTCCTCAGCCTCAGCTTCTTCGTCGTCAAAGACACCGTGCGATTCTCTGACGTAGCGGCGGTTCTCTACCAGAGCAACCTCCTTGGGAGCGCTCGCACGCCATACAATTTCTCCAAGCTCGACGCGTTCTAACACAATGTAGACCTTTTTGCGAGCGGGGTCGTCAATGACTTCTAATAGGGCAACAATGTTTGGATGTCGAGCCTTTTTCAGGATGGCGACCTCTTTCTTGACCTTATCTTCGGCGTTACCCAACTTGCCGAGTCGACGCTTNTTGGAGTAGCGCTCCACAATTTTGATCGCAACATACTCGTTGGTAGCAAGATTGCGACCGAGTTTGACCTTGCCGTGTGTGCCTCTGCCGAGTTCGTCAATGATCTCATAGTTGTTGATCAGTTTTCTTCCGGATATAGGATCAATATCAACATCGGCAATGTGAGTCTCTTTGGGTGCTTGGCGGTGAGTAAAGTGGAGAAATGGGCTCGCGTAGAATCCGTGTTCATCAGGGCCCAGATTCGATTGCTCTGAAGGCACACTAGGTGTGAACAAGCCGGGTGTTACAGCTGGAGTGTTATCGGCAGTTCTAGCACCGGTTTTGTGCAAAGCATTTATCGCTTGACGGAAGTCTCCTGGCTGCGCGGGATGATGAGTTTTGGTGCGCAGTGTTGGAGGGAGATGAGGTGGTGGGTATCGCTGTTGCTGTAGGGCAGAGAAGGCTTGATTAGGGTATTTAGGCCGTGTGTAGAGAGGAGAGGTTGCCGTGCTGGACGACTCGTGACCAGAATCAGAAGCCTTGACAGTGACGGTGCTCAAGTTGCTCTCAACGCTAGCGACAGAGGCATGGGAAAGGTCCCTCGTGACAGCAGGCCTGTTGGGAGTATCTGGATAGGTGGTTGTACGTCGGAGGCTATGAGGGGTAGCGGTGACTGCGGGGGACAGAAGCGAATTACGATTCGAGGCAGGCTTCAGAGCAAAGTAATCGTCCTCGGAGGAGCGCTGAGGATCCTCACAAGCAGGCGAAGGGGTGACAGCGACAGAGGGGAGTTCAGAGCGGGGAGTCTTATCCGAGTCTTCCTGGTTGTTCGGGCTCGGCGTGTTCTGATCCATGACCTTGTGTCGCACGCGCTTGGCCAGCGACTGGAGGTCTACGGCCGACGTGGCAGACGGGGAGCGACGAGCGAGCCAATATTGCGCGCTTGCTGGGCCAAGATTGTCGGATGAGTCGCTGAAGACTGGGAATGCTACAACTGGCGAGGGCGGATCATGTCGAAGTCAGTCGTGAGAGCCAGGAAGGTGCTCAAGCGAGATTTTGCTGCGGAGAAGCATATAGCGATGCGATGTATGCGCAGACTCGACGACGGGACAGAAGCTCTCAAGTGATCGCGTGCTGGTGCATCAGGCCATGATAACAAAAGTTCGCAGAATTCAAGNNAAGGCATGCGGGAGGGCAGTTGGTGGTGGGCGCGCCTGCCCAAAATGACGATNNAGAAAGTGGTCCGAACTCAAGTCGCTTTTGGCCGGAGCTCAACGGGCCCCGGGCCTCCTCTCCAACACCAGCCCAATAGTCCAATCGCCGACCTACCTTCGACAAGCCCCGAGAGCCCATGCGCCCCAANTCTGAGTACCGTTCCACCCACAAGACATGTTCTTGGGCGTTGTTAGGACATCTCGGCNNCGCGGGCGATCCTGTCTTCGTCTCAGATGTCGTTCCCTCCGCTCGTTCCTCAATCCTGTTTNNGCGCGTAGCTGAACCCTCTACTTGCTCTTGCCAAGCAAGCACGCGCTTGCTCTTTCCGAATCTGCAGGGCTCCTTCCTCGCGNNCTGCTGCTGCTGCNNTGAGCAGTACACAATCTCGCATTGCATTCGTCTCGGTACCATCTGCCAGGTACCGTTGAATACATGCCGTGTGTCGCTTCAAGGCTACCATCTGACGATCCTCGGCTCAAGCTTGTGCTCTGTCCTTCTGTTCTCAACCAGAAGAGAAGGATCTCAATGATGATGTTTGGCTTTGGCGGCAGCCCAACACCCACACCCCTCTGCGTTCATTGGCTTTTCGCTTGTGGCTGTGGACGAGAGGGCCGTACCTTAACGCGGATCAATAATGCAACCACGTCGTAAGGTACCGCTGCTGCATATTGCAAGCTGCGGTTGAAGTTTTGGTTGGCCTTTTTTTCCTTCTGTCTTCCTCTCCTTTTTGTCGATCTTTGTTGTCTCAACTCACCCATTTGCAAAGCCTCATCCTGGCCATCGGTAAAACCTCGATTTCGAGTACATGTTGTTGGGAGATTGCCCGTATATGGCTTGCAGAATGCTCATGCTTTGCTTGCTTGAAACCAGTCTGTCATCCTGAAGATCATGTGTGGCTTCGAAGTCTACCCTGCCAAGTCTGTATATCTGCGCCCTCAGTCACATTGCAATGGCTTGTGTTTACTCAAACGGGCTAGAGAGAGCTTCTCCATATCAGGGAGGTTGGCCCTGCCCGTGACATGTACAAAAGTACACCAGTACACTGGCGACTCTCCACATTTCGCAACCCTACCTCGCATGTAAAAGTGGCTTCCAAAACTCGCTTCAATCGCCTTTGCTCCGCGAATGTAGCAACATGAAATGCCCCTCGCCATATCCAGACAGACAGTTCATTTCCGCACAGTCACGAATGTGGTGCAGCCCGCTAATCATCGAGCGCACGGGCTCTATAATAGTCCTCGGTGGCGGCTGGAGATGCAGGAAAACGCAATATATTAACCCACCCTCCGTTCCCACACAGCGCGGGGTGAGTGCGGAGAAACACATCCTCCCCGTGTGCCAGAGACCGATGTCACACTGTAGCTATAGAGAGGCATGATGCCCTTCAGAAGAACGTGGTCCTAGGTACTTCCACAGTCACATTCATGCTTGAACATTACTGTAGTTTTGTAGATTGGCTTGCATGATCACTATGTCATTTTAAGAGAGGGGTCTATCGTGAGATTGTGATAGTCTTTAGCACATAGGGAAATTGGAAGCTGGCAGAACACTTTTTTGCTAGATGTCACGTTATTAGAAGTACATCACTGTTGGGTTATACAACAGTTGTTGAGCCGTAGAGGCTCGCTCGGTACGATCTGCCCGACCTCATGACCCAATCTCCTCTGCTTAGTGTGACTGGTTGCCGAGGATTCAAATTCCTACGAAGCAACTTGATCTCGAAGCCTCATCACATGCCGGGAGGTGGCGGGACCTGTGAGGAGTCAGTCTGATGCTTTGAAGTTGTTGGAGGATGCAGAACTTACAGAGTTGTAACCTCCTGAGGGAGGGGGTGGTGGTGCATCTCCACCAGGGGGCGGTGGTGGTTGTGAATCGTCTGCCGGAGGGGGAGGTGCAGAGTTGTCGTACCCAGCAGCCTGTTCTGCACCGGGGACACCGCCCTGCTGCTGCTGATAGTACTGCCAGTACATTCTTGTGTAGGCTTCGTAGCCACCGTATGCGGCGTATGGGTCCTGTCCGTTCTGTTGGTAGTACTGGGCATAGGCCTGGGTGTAGTCAGGTGTGGCCGCGGCACCAGGACTCATGGCTGTAGCGGCAGCTCCGGTATGAGCGGCAGAAGGCGAGGCAGCACCGCCGTAACCACCTCCGTAACCTCCACCGTAGCCGCCGTCTCTGCCACCGTCTCTTCCACCTCCGTATCCACCTCCATAGCTGCTGTTGCGATCGCGGTCTCCATAGCCACCACGGTGCCCACGGTCGCCATAATCATCACCACCACCGCCTCCACCTCTGCCACCACGGGGGCCACGCTCCTTGAATTGCTCGTACTGAGTGCGGACGTTGGCCAAGAGATCGAGACAGAGTTCCTTGGCACGCAAGACCTCGTTGGGGTCAGGGCCGCTGTGATAAGTCAGTCTTTGCAATTGACACTGTTAGTACATGAAGACTTACGCGACGTGCAGGTACATGGACTCGTCACTCTCGTGTCCAGTGTCGTGCTCCATGAAACCAGATCCACGGCCCTTGATTTGGACACGGCATCGAGTTTCCTGCTGGATGTGTTTGACATAGGAACCGCCTTGACCGACGACTTGAGCCCTGAGATTGAAGCCAGGAATAGGCTCAAGGTCCACGGGGATTTTCTCCTCGGGCCATTTGCGCNNTGTACGAAATGTTAAGACAAGCAGGGGGGGATCGAGCTCAAAAGGACTTACACGACCCATAGAATCTCTCTCGACCTGCTCTGGCTCTCTGCGACGGAAGCGTCTCTCGTCTACGAGATTGGGTAGATCCTGCTTCATTAGCTCGTCAATTTCGGCGACAGCCTTCTCGAGGCCGTCTCTGGTGGTGCTGGTGACATGAAGGTAGAGAGGGGGTTCTAAACTTGGTCAGCCAGATGAAGCAGATTTCATGTGCTGCTTGAGACTCACGGCGGCGGTTGCCATGGCCTTGTCAGGGTAGTAGCTTCCTCTAGTGGTAACATCTTTAGGACAAATAAGCCTTGTGAACAAATCGTCAGTGTGTAGGGATGGTGCATACCGGCGCCAGTCTTTTCTTTAATCTAGATGTCACACACTCGAGGTCAGCATTTGCAAAACGGGGGTGCCGAGAGGCTGTTGGGCTAGAAGTGAGCAATCTGAAGTATCAAATGGTCATGACCAAAACGAGCGACCTTTGGAGTNAGGGGCAGGAAGAGGAGCAGCTGCAACATCAGCGGGGCGCAACGGTGAAGATTTACCATTTTCTGAGTAGAGCCCTTGGTCAGGGTGTAGCGATTGCGTAGATCGTTGACCTCGATGTCGCGAATGAAGTCACCATCTTGGGTGTAGATGTCAGCATTCAAGCCGCCAGCCCCAGGAGACTGATTTCCAGCAGCGGAAGGGCTCTCGGTCTGCGCATGACGAGTCAGCGCTATGATAGGATGGATATAGGGAGATGTGTTGTTTCGGCGTACAGAGCGGATCGGGGGGACGTCGACATGCTGGATGCCCTTGCGAGCCTGGATCTGTGCATTGATCTTGGCAGCAGCGGCGGCGGCGGCTGCAGCGGGATCTCTCGGGGCAGGGCTGTTTGTGCCAGAGACGGGACTACGAGTACGTTGACGAGGCTCCGAGGTTCTGTTCTTGGGCGAGCGCGAGCGACGGTCGAAGCGAGAAGGGCGCGCATCAGACTCGGTCTGGTCGAAACGCGATCGTTTGCGAGGTTCGTCCGACATGGCGAAAGGAAGGACACGGGATGGGTTGCGACGAGGTAGCAATGTCTAGATGGGGCAGCGACAGCGAGTCTTTGTGAATGAACTGAATATAAAAACGACTAACAAGAATTAACTCCGCGAATCCGCGCTGTGCGCCCGAGCGTTCGAGGAGCGCGCCGAAGTCGCCGGTGAGCACGACGAGCTTCTCGATTTTATTATCTGCTGTGTACCACCATCGTCTTGATTCTTGCTCTTGACGCACCTTCTTGCATCACGCCTGTCACGTCCGTCGTCCTCACAATGGCGTCCAAACGCTTCTGGACCGCCGTGTCGATCGACTCGCTGGCTCCCCGCTGCCGTGCTCCCACCCAGCGCTGCTTCGCCCAGTCAACAACCCGCAGCTCGTCGTCGTCCACCTCGGCCATCGCATACAAGGCCCTGCACCGCCGTACATCGCCCCTGCCTCAGGCTCCTACTGCTGCCAACGTCTCGCCTGCTGCAGCCGTCTCCAGCATCCTCTACGAGACTCCGCTGCCCTCCCAAGCTCCTCCCAAGCGCCATGTCCTCAACTGTCTCGTCCAGAACGAGCCCGGTGTGCTCTCGCGCGTCTCTGGTATCCTGGCCGCTCGTGGCTTCAACATTGATTCGCTGGTTGTCTGCAACACCGAGGTCCCCGACCTGTCGCGCATGACCATCGTGCTCCAAGGCCAGGACGGCGTCATTGAGCAGGCCCGCCGTCAGCTCGAGGACTTGGTGCCAGTCTGGGCAGTCCTCGACTACACCACCGCTCCTCTTGTTCAGCGCGAACTGCTTCTGGCCAAGGTTAGCATCCTCGGTCCCGAGTACTTTGAGGAGCTCCTCGCCCACCACAGGGAGATGACGGATGCCGAAGCTCAGGCCCAGGCTGCTGGCCTCACTGCTGAAGAGCTCGAGAGCAACGCTCGTGCCCATCAAGAGGCTCTGAGACGAGACTTCCACCCCAGCCGTCTCGCTGCCAGTGAAGCACTGAGACACAAACACAAGCATCTCGAGACCATCACCTATCTTACCCACCAGTTCGGCGGCAAGGTCCTCGACATCTCAACTAACAACTGCATTGTCGAAGTCTCGGCCAAGCCTCACAGAATCGACTCGTTCATGAAGCTCATTGCGCCTTTCGGTATTCTCGAAAGTGCCAGAACAGGTAATTTGCAATTCGTCTCTAGTCTTGTTGCTATGCTTACACCCAACCAGNGTCTCATGGCCCTGCCCAGATCGCCTCTTCACGGCCCCAGCGAGGAGATGGAGAAAGAGGCCGAAGATGTTGTCGATGCCAGCACCCTGCCTCCTGGTTGAAGCAATGTACACATTCCTTGCAGCTTTCACAACCATCTTTGCTTTTGTCCCATGTATGACTATACGAGATCTGCTTTCTATCAATCTTCTAGACCTGCGTTTCATCCAATCCTCATGTTTTACACGATTTTACCCTTGTTCACGACAAAGCCTTCGAGTGCAGCTGCTTGCGCGTTAGCATTGTGTCCATCGTTCCAGAAGTGCTGTGACTCACAGATAGCGGCCCACAGACGGTTCTCTGCTTCTTGGAAGACCAGACTCTTGGGGCTGTAGAAAACCTCGTCGCTGACCTCTTCAGGGTGTCGGGGCAGGCAGTGCATGAATTGCCAGCCCTCTTTGGCACCTCCTCGCTTAGCCAGCTCTGGTGTGATCTGGAAACCTTCAAATGCCTTCAGACGAGCAATCTTTTCTGCTTCTTGGCCCATGGAGATCCATGTATCCGTGACAAGAATGTCTGCGTCCTTGACGGCCTCCTCAGGAATAGTCGTCTCGATGAGCGAGCCAGCCTTGGGAGAGGTCTTTGCAGCGTCTTGGATGATCTGACGCATAGAAGCGGGAATTTCGTAGCCCTTGGGGGTAGCGACGGCAATGTCAACGCCCAACTTCATGGCACCAATGGCCAGATCGAAGAGCACATTGTTTGCATCACCAATCCATGCAATCTTCAAGCCTTCAAGCCCCAGACCTTGCACGTTGGCAGTCTGCGAAGAAGGGAAGGCTTCGTGAATAGTCAGGAAGTCGGCGATGGTTTGCAGAGGGTGATACAGATCACTCAAAGCATTAATGACAGGAACGGAGGAGTGTTTGGCCAAGTTGGCAACATCATCGTGACCATTGACACGAGCGACGATGCACGAGACCATGGATGAGATGACGACGGACGTGTCATACAAGGACTCGTTGACACCAAGCTGAATGTCTTCCTTGCCCAAGAACATGGGATGACCACCCATAAGTGCAACTGCACCTTCGGTAGAAACACGAGTGCGAGTAGAACGCTTGCTGAAGGTCAAGGCCACACATTTACCAAACAGGGCGCCTTGGAGTGATGCAGGAATCTGGCCAGATTTGACAGCCGCCTTGTGAGAGGCGGCATTGCGGACAAGAGTGCTCAATTCAGCCGAAGTCAGGTCGGAGATGGACATAAGATGGCGAGGAGCAAAAGGAGAGGTCATTGGTTGTGCTGGCGAGGTAGCATAGCTGCGGATGGGAGTTGCCAGAGACTTGCGCAGGCTGCAGGCCCGGTGGGCAGCTCGTAGAATTGTCATTGTTGTTTGTGATAACAGTTTGGAGATTTTGGAGTCATCGCCGACCACGGCGGAGAAGAGGTAGGGCGGATAGCTATCGATAACGCGGAAGCTATGACTCGACGCGGAGACGGCGGATCGGCGCCTCGGCTCGCCTGCTTTGACGTTTCGACCGACTCCACGATTGCGTCTCTCTCCACTTCGTCCGCCTCTTGACTCTCTCTCTCTCTCTCTGCTCATCGTCGATGTGCACCTAATTAGCCCTTCCTATATACCGGCGCATAGCGCTGACTCGAACAACAACCAATCACCAACTTCACCCGCAAACTCAGCCATGCCAGAACCAAACTCACAACCGTCTTCCCGGCCGCAATCGGCGCATTCCGTCCATTCATCATGGTCGCAGCAATCCACACCTCGCAATGCCAACGATGAGACCACGCCTCTGCTGGCCACGGATAACAACCACAATGTTGAAGCACAAGATCAAGCCGAGCCTTCGGCCGAGTCGACGTCTCAGTCACAGTCGCCTGCCGTTGCTCGCTTGCTACACCTCTTTCAACCCCAGTCCAAGAGTTCACCAAGGTGGTCCAGTCTATTAGCCTTACTGCTTCTCTGCGTTGTTGCCGTACTCATCATGGTCCTGGGCTTTNTGGCCCCATCCAAGGTTCAAGAGTACGCTGTTGAAGCCGCCACATTCGAGCCTACCAGCTTATCTATACACTCTTTCACTACCACGGGCGTTACCGCCAGGATACAAGGTGACTTTTCTATGCGCGCCGACAAAGTCAAGGACAAGTCTGTCCGCCGCTTTGGTCGCTTCGGTACTTGGATTGCCAGAAAGGTTGAAACTGGCCAATCATCTGTTCAGGTCACCCTTCCGGGCTACAAGGACGCGCTCCTCGGAACCGCCGAGATACCATCGATTGTAGCTGATATCCGTAATGGTCACACTACCCATATCGACTTCCTGACAGAGTTGTCTCCAGGTAACACCGATGCTATAAAACGTCTTGCCAAAGACTTCATTGATGGAAAGCTACAAGAATTGCGCGTATCCGCCGAGGCTTCAGTCCCTGTCAAATCGGGCCTCATCAACCTTGGAAGACAAACCGTATCCCGCGCTATGGCCTTTGCGAACGATAAAATACCTTCCTTGCCAGAGTATAAGATTCACAAGCTCAATTTCCGTGAAGTCGAACTACCTGACCTCCAGCGTGCTATGGTAGCCGACGTATCCATTGAACTCGGTAATGAGTATCCATTAGATTTTACGATTCCTCCTCTTGGCTTTGCCATTCTTGTCGACAACTGCCGGCCCTCGCAGCCTCTCATTCAGTTGGCCGATGCCACGACACCGAGCCTCTCCGTCAGACCGAAGGAAAATCTCAACGTCAGCGTCTCTGGTTTCGTGAGAAGGTTACCCCAGGCATTCACCCAAGCCTGTCCTGGTTCACACGAGTCTCCTCTCGACAACTTGCTTGGCAGCTACATCCATGGAAATAACACTACTGTATATGTTAGAGGCTCGGATTCTCCATCCTTGGACACACCTCGATGGATCGCAGATCTTATGTCGGATGTGACTGTGCCAGTTCCTTTCCCCGGACACACCTTTGGACATCTAATCAGGAACTTCACTATGGCTGATGTACATTTCGGATTGCCCGATCCGTTCGCTGAGCCCAACACCCCAGAAGCACAACCCAGGATCTCTGCTGTTATCAAGGCGCTGGTCGCTCTTCCGGAAGAGATGAACTTTAACATCAGTGTTGGCCGCGTGAGAGCAAACGCTGATGTGTTTTACCACGGCTCCAAACTGGGGTATCTCGACCTAAGCAAATGGCAAAACGCAAACTCGACTCGAATTGCTTCGGCCAAGGACGAGGGCCCTCTCCTGGCAGTCCAATCGGCAATCGAGAAAGCTCCCCTGAATGTGACGGATGACGATGTTTTTACCGATGTTCTGAACGCACTGCTATTCGGCGGCAAGGNNGGAGTCGAGTTGGGCATCAAAGCGGATGTTGATGTCGAGATGGAAACTGCGCTCGGTCAACTGGCTGTCAGGAAGATTCCTGCCGAAGGCTCTGTGCCTGTCAAACGTTCGTGATCGATTCCTGTGTCGTTCGAACNNAGTCGAGAGAATTATGTAGCTAATATGCGGCCCCTTGTAGCCATCAAACGAGGCGGTGTCGGCTCGTTCACGCCGAAGATCGGCAATCTACAAATACTGGATACTGGCAAAACTTCGTTGACTCTCACCGCGTTGGTGAATTTCACCAATCCCACCGAGTACAGTGCAACCGTACCTTTTGTCGACATCAATATCCTGACCAACGGCACATTACTTGGGCACGCTACAGCCAAGGATGTGAGCGTTGTTCCCGGAATTAATACCAACATCCTCGTAACAGCCATATGGGACCCTAGGACATTGGGTGGCGAAGAAGGCCACCAGGTTGGTGTCGAGTTCTTGTCTCAATACATTTCTGGTTGGTGAACCGAATCGAGTGTACCACAAGTAACTAACATTCAATAGNGCTTTAACACGACGCTGAGTTTGCGCACTCATGAGGGAACCATACCAGCACAACCATCTCTCGGCCGCGCCTTGTCTAAATTTGGTGTCGACCTCCCGACCCCAAGTTTAAGAGGTGGTGGTGACAAGGATGAGAAGCATTTCATCCAAGATGCTACGGTCGGTCCCGAGATTGGCAACATGAACAGAACACGGCTAACACGAATTTCAGNNATGCACCTCATCACAAGCACAGCAAATTTCGTGCTGCTTTCACCGTTGAAGACGTCGACGATCTATGTCACATATATCAACGCGACGGCTTACCACCACGAAGACGCAGTTGGTCATATCGTCTATGATCTGCCGTTTGCCGTACCTCCAGGATCTTCAACGTCGCCACGTCTGCCAGTTGACTTTGGGTCGATTGGTTATGACGAGGTTAAAGGAGCATTAGGCGGAACGCTCAAAATGGCGGCGAAAGCGACGGTGGGAGTGCGATTGGGCAAGTGGGAAGAGCGGATATGGTACCAGGGAGAGGGCATAGGTGCCAAGATCAGATTGTAACCAGTCAAGATAGCAGTGGCGTTCAAACATGCAAATATGAGAATGGTTCAGGGCGATCGACACGGTATCCCCAGATTTGACATGTGATGCGGGGAGGATGGGGAGACCTCCTTCAGGGTGCTCAAACTTCCCAATGTAACTTGCTGTGAACCGGCAAGGGATCTAAGAAAGTAGGCTTGCGGATTGAGTCGAGTGCCTCAGCATAGTATGGAGGTAGGTAGGCCATGGTTGGACCAAGGCTGATCAGTCTTCTGACATGGCTCTCCAGTCGCAAGCAGGCAATCGCAAGCGCACGTCGCGCCGGTCGCACACCAATCTCTCCAACCTAAGACTGGCCCCTCTTTCACGAGACATTAGCCCCGTAGACGGCCGCATCTCGTCGTCTGCATGGCCACACACATCCTACATTGAAGGCAAATCGGCACCCACGACACCGAGCATCCTCGGTCGCAGTGCAAGTCGACGACAGCTGGGCGGCGCTGGTCTGAGTCGCAAACTGTCCATCCACGACGCCGAGTATGATCCTGTACGAACCACGTCTTTTGGTGTTCCTATGAACGCTTTGCGTCCAGTTGCGGGAGACCATCTCATGCCCAAGGCGAAGAGCGAGGCTGCCTTGAACCAGCGACCCACTCGTGCCGGTCTGCCCCAACTACGCACCCCTCTGCTCCATCCCAGCTCTGCCTCTCTCGCTGTCAAGCCACACGACAGACAAAACGACAACGACTGGTTCACTCGAGCGGGCTTGGCTACAACATCTATGCTGCGCGAGTCTAAGGGACAGTCGTGGTTGACATCGCGCCATTCGTCGACATCCTTGCAACTCATGCATGCCTCGGACGACGAAGAAGATGCTCTGGCTAGTAGGAGTGCTGTGTCTCTACAACGCCTTCACTTTGCCGATGATGAGTTCAGTCCAGAAACACCGCGTGCCACCAGCAGATGGGGCAGTAGATTTGGCAGTCGTGCTGCCAGTGCTCGAAACAGTCGTCGTGGCAGTAGAATTGATCTGGACTCGCCGCAACTCCATCGTGATCCATCAGACTACTTTGGCAGTGTCGCTGTGGAGCCCGAGATGTCTGTCAGACCTGATTTTGTCGATCCACGAGACCATTCTGATGATGAAGATCCCGAGCAAGAAGTTGCTAGACTGGCTAGAGAGGCTTCCTTTGGGTTTGGTCCTCTCATCGATCGTCTGGTCGGTTGGACGTTGTTCGACGTTACAGAAGATAGAGAGGCCACTGATGTTGAGAACGAAGGAGAAGATGAAACTCCGACCATACATGAGAGAGTCAAGCACACACCTGTGCGACCTCCATCTCCTCCTAGGCCCAAGCAAGCGATCGTCGGAGCAGATCGGCAAGGTGAACCTGAAGAAGGTGGTTGGAGAGACGCGGCTTGGTTGCTTGGTGTTGCCTCCAAGGTCCTGCTTTGACGATTTGGCATCGTAATTCAAATTAAACGACTGACGAAATGTACTAATAACATCTCTCTTACTATGTCCTTGATACTGTTGCATCCTACACTTCCGCACCACCTTCAATCTCAACACCTTCGATTCGGCCTTCGAGAAACTCCTTTGCCATGCAACCGAATGGCATCCATTCAACACCTTCGTGCTTGTTGATGTAGGCAATGATGNNCTAAGCACGTTAGTGTCCTTATTGGAAGATTATTCAGGGAACACACCGTTCGTGCATCTTGATGACCTGTGGCTTTCCACTGACTTGTGGATGGATCGACATGGGGAAGATGAAGCTGTCATATTCTTCATACGCAAAGTCGAATTGCTCGAGCCAAAGTCTCTCCAACTCGTGGGTGCTGACGAAGCCGTTNCTGAAATGTGTCTTTGTCAGCTCTTCCACATCAATGTCAGGAGCGATGGAAGAGCTTTTCGGACTCACCGTTCCAGCTCTTCCTGGCATAGGTTGTAGAGGCGGCCCNTGCGCAACTAATGTCAGTCTGGATCCTATTCTCTCTATGGACGCAAAGTAGAAGCAACACTTACAATCATCCACATGCCAATTCGCCGGAATCTCTACAATCTTGCTCGGTCGAATCTTGGTCATCGGCTTCATCCAACTCTCTGCTTCCTTTTTGATATCGGTCTCTATCCACTGATGACTTGCATCTGGCGCAAAGTATGGTTGCAAATCATGATGCATGAATGAGTGATCATATACAATTCCGAACTCTTCGAGTAAAGGGATTAGTTCTTTGCTAGTGTCCCAGGCTGGTGCTGTATAGCCTTGTGGCCTTTTGCCGGTGAACTTGGTTAGTACTTCGATGGATTTTTGGAGAATGGCTTTTTGTTGCGAGAAGGAGAGTTTGGAGATGTGTTCGTGGGTGTAGCCGTGTAGACCNGCTGTTTGTGTGCTTGGATCAGTACGTGTTTCTTTCTTTTTCAAAGGGTTTTTTCTTGCTTGTACGTACATTTCGTGTCCGGCATCCTTGACTTTGCTCATCTGCTTAGGAAACGATTCGATTGTGTGGGCTGGTGTACTTGCAGTGTCAAAGTCAGCCAGGGTTATTTTGTCAGGGGCAGCCATCAAACTTACAAGNAAGGTTGCCTTTATATCATGTTTGTCGAACAGCTTGAGTAGTCTGTCCAGCCCAACGGTTGCTCCAAAGATGCCTCGAGAGACATTGGTGCTGTTTTGTGCACTGCCGTCTTGAGTGTTTATNCCTAGTCAGTTGTGAGCGATCATGGAAATGTAGCAGAGGAAAACTGTAGGCACTTACCAGCCTGCCACGGCGTCTACATCGACTGCTGCGTGTCAGTATATTGTTGTCTAGGTATATTGATTTGGTATCTGCTTACCGCCATAGCCGACTAGTACTCGCTTCTTGCCCATGATTTCGTTGTCAGATGGAAATATCGCTAGTTCGCAAGTTGGCTCGACCAACTAATAGCAAAGAACCTATACCCTGCGAGTGATTTTGCTGCTATAAAGACCATATCCATCACGATGATACAGCAAATGAGGGGTCCAGAGAAGGATGCATCCAGAATAGGAAGGTGGGGGTATGGCCGGGCTATACTTCTTGCCCGAGACCATGCTTTCTGACATCAATTAGAAATAACACATCTTCGACCTTTGATACTAAGAACACTCGGAAAACACATACAAACATGCTAGAAATCACTTGCAAAGGCTCGCCCTACGAAGTCAGTCCTCCATCTCCAATCTTCTTATCATCCAAACACAAACAAACTAACCCTTCGACAGNNATAGGCCACCAACACGGCACCCTCGCCCGCCAGCAGATCCAAGGCAGCATAACCTTCTACACCCACCTCTTCCTCTCCACCACAAACCTTTCTTGGGCAGAAGTACAAACCACCGCCCTCGACTTCCTCCCAGTAATCCAGCAAACATGGCCAGACTACCTAGAAGAAATGCAAGGAATAGCAGACGGAGCAGGAAACTCGCTCGCCGAGATAATCGCACTAAACGTACGCACAGAGATCAATTTCGGACTGTTCAGTGATGGCTGTACTGCATTATCCTGGCTTCATGATACCTCAAGTATTCTGGCGCAGAATTGGGATGTGAGTAAAAGGCACCACCACCACGATTTCTAGTATTCTTGAGGGCAAAGAAAACTGACAGACGAAAAAAAGTGGATGACAGAACAAAAACAAAACCTGCTACTCCTTACTATCCAACAGCAAAACAAACCCACCATAAAAATGGTCACGGAAGCAGGTCTGATTGGTAAAATCGGCTTCAACTCTGCGGGCGTGGGTGTCTGTCTGAATGCCATCAAAGCAAAAGGAATGGACAAGACACGCATGCCATGTCATCTAGGTCTTCGGCTGGTGTTGGAGAGCAATTCCTGCAAAGAAGCCGTTGAAGTCCTCAAGAAACATGGTATAGCATCTTCATGCCATATGCTAATTGCAGATTCAAACGATAGCGTGGGACTAGAGTGGAGTTACAAGGACCTGCAGGTTTTGGAGATGAATGATAAGAGTCAGATCTTTCATTCAAACCACTATCTTGTGCCACATCCGGGTGTCACGGATACGGTTTGGTTGGAAGACAGCAAGTTCAGGATCAAGCGCATCCAGGAGATTTGTGATGAGTTGGGTCAACCACCGACGATGAGAGAGATTCAGGCGCTGTTCAAAGACGAAAAGAATTATCCGTATGCCATTTGTCGGGCAGAGGAGGAAGGAAACCACTCCGGCACTCTGTTCAACATTGTCATGGACTTGAAGGCGAAAAAGGCTTCGGTGATATTAGGAAGACCGACAACACCAGAAGGAGTTTTTGAAATAGGCTTCTAGTATGTAGAGCTACTTACAGAAAATGCATCCTTGAACAGATATACCGGGCAATCTTCGAAGCTTTTAATAGCATGAAAGCAACAGGGGCGATAAGAGGAAGCCAGACGTATAGCCATGATGTATGCAATGAGCAATGCTCAGTTGAGCTCGTCCTTCAGCCACGAGACCCACATGGTCTGGAACTCCTTGTGCTTGTTAATGCTGTCCTTGGCTTCCTGGTCGAGCTCCTTGTGCGCCTTGTCGTTCTCTCTCTGGATCAGTCTGCGAAGACTCTCAACCTCGGGGTTTGTGTGGGCCATTGGGCTAAACTGACCACCCATGTCCTCGAGGCCAAATTGAGAGGGGAACTTTTTATCATGAAGAACCTGGGCACCAATCTCGGCAATCTCGCGGCGGTTGTCTTCCCATTCCTCCCAGAGAGTCTCGATATTGTTCTTCGTCTTCTGAAGTGTCACCTCGAATCGTTTAACAGTAAGGCCGATAGGGATGTGTTCCTTACTGAGAAAATTGCCAGCATTGTCTGTGAAGTGGGCAGTGACAAGTTCATCGGTGAGTGGGTTGCAGATGTCTTGGGCAGCTTCGATAGCTTGTGCGATGCGAGTACTCAGAGCATCGGGTCCGAGCGTGGTTCGATCAAGTTGTTGGATGAGATCTTTATAGGCACTGGCAATCATCTGCTCAGAGTCATCGGCGACATGACCTCTGTAGCTGTTGAGAATCTCNTAAGAAACATCAGCAAGCAGCCAATAGAAACAGTTGAGCGGTTCCACTGCCATACCATTTGACTCGTCAGCGAGAGTGTATTTCTTCCTAGGCGGTGGAGACGACGAAGGTTTGCGGCGGCGACGGCTTTTGCCCAGGTCACTTCTCTTGCTTTTAGACGGTGCTTCGACGCGCTTGTGGTTTCGATCGGGTTTCGACTTGAAGATGGCATTGGTCGTGACATGTTTCTTTTCTTTCTTGTCCTTTTTGCTNTCTGAGAGATGGGCATGCTTCTTGTGTGCAGTAGAAGAAGCGTGACCACGACGACTCGTAGTTGCGGTCATGATCGCGGGTGTCTGATGGATTTTGAGTGCAACAAGAACTTGAAATTGCTGTCGGTCAGATGTAGGTGGGCCAGGCAGAAGTCACATGTCAGAGTCGCTCCTTCCCATTCGAAACTACACCAAGTCACACTTGTCAAGAAAGATGAAATGATCAAGGCAGTGAGCAATTTGCCGATTAGTGTACAAAATGATGATACAAACCAGGAAACGTCGTTCTTATTTACATTGGCTCGACCACTCTACTCTGCGGGCACCAAAACGTCCTTCTCCTCTAGCAGCTTGGCCAACGAGCCGTCCTGGTGCATCGACATGAGAATGTCGGTTCCGCCAACAAACTCCTTATCGACATAGAGCTGAGGAATGGTGGGCCACTCTGAGTACTCCTTGATTCCTGTACCCGTGTGTCAGCATTTGCCTAAGTAATATCTAACATTCATAGACCGACCTGCTCTGAGCTCCTCATCCTCGAGAACGTTGAAGGCAGTGAACTTGGCCGGGTTGACACCCTGCAGGCCGAGGATCTGGATGCTTGCTCTTGAGAAACCGCACTGAGGCATCTCGGGGGTTCCCTTCATGAACAGAACAACGGGGGCCGACTCGACAGCCTTGTCAATGGCCTGTCTGGTCTCTTGCGACAGCAGGCGTGTCTGCAGAGTAGCAAATCGTGACGAAAGCAGAGGGTTGTGGCGAGGGCGGAAGGCGGTGCGGAAGACCTGTGAGACGGCGTGTGAGTTTGAGAATGGAGACTATGAGCATGCGACATACCGCTGATGCTGCTGATCTGGCTGCCATTGTTTGTGATGGTGGATGTGAATGATCAATGAGTTCAACTTCTTTGCGATGGACCTTGAGTCTCGCGCGTCCCGCCAATGACGCCGAACCATTTCAAAGCAAGTCATCATGACTCGTGAAACACTTTCCGCTCAGCGACCATCGACTGTAAACACAACCTTCTCCTCCCATCGACATGTCAAAGACACAAACATTACGTGCATCCGATCACCAGAATGACGGCCGTCCACATGTCTTGCTAGCATGTACAGGCTCAGTCGCAACTATCAAGATTCCTCTGATCATCGAAGCTCTTTCGCATCATGACATCTCCATGCGCTTGATACTATCCTCATCAGCCAGCCAATTTCTCCAAGGACAGTCTGCCGAACAGCCTTCTGTTGAATCACTTCTCGAGATTCCCAATCTCGAAGCTGTATACACTGACGAGGATGAATGGTCACAGCCGTGGACTCGCGGTGCAGACATTCTACACATTGAGCTGAGGCGGTGGGCCGATCTAATGATAATAGCCCCTCTATCAGCCAATTCTATGGCAAAAATGGTTGCTGGTATGGCTGATAGTTTGGTCATGTCTGTGGTTCGTGCTTGGGACACTACCGCTATACTGGATGCTCAACGGCCGAATCTACCCTCAACTCTTCGTACGCCGACAGGGAAGAAGCCCTTGTTGGTTGCCCCTGCTATGAATACAGCCATGTGGGCGCATCCAGTTACTCACAAGCAAGCTGCTGTTTTGGAGCAGGAATGGGGCGTCGACGTTGGAGGCTGGATCAGACTCATCAGGCCTGTTGAGAAAGAACTGGCTTGTGGTGATACGGGAGGTGGCGCCATGCGTGAATGGAAAGACATTGTTACCATCATCAGACAATACCTGGGCGTTGAGGCTTCCAATACAACAAGAAATCTGACGACATAATACACAATCACAAGTGGGAGACCCCACAGAAGAGCGTGAAGTTTTTACTTTTTTGGATTGGATCGTTTCTTCTATCCTTCGCCTCTACGGAATGCAATGCCGGTCTCGATGCCGCTAACCCTCACCATCACTGCCGTGACTCTGATTTCCAGTAAGAAGAAAAAGACAGCCATCATCATAACAACTCAACTCCAGCTTTTAGTAGATTGAGAGGAACCCCTTTTGCGCTAGTTTTGAACAAGAAAGAGTTAAAGTAAACATGAAAGGGTGCGGTGTGAGAATAAACTAAGACGTCGTGGGTATAAACGTTTAGGCCTCGGTGGTGGGGCGGTTCTGTTGGCGGCGGTCTTGGTTGTTGTTGTTGTTGTTGCCGCGTTTTTGGTTCTGGTTGTTGCCCTTCTGGCCGGACTCTTGAGTGGTGCTGGCCTCGGTGCCCATGGTGAGAGCAGCGGTTGCGAGGCGGTTTGACAGGTCGATTTGGGTGCGGATGGTGTTGGCGAGGTAGGAAACAAGAAGGACATCTTGGATGTGGTTGTTGCTGTAACAAGACATTTAGTGATTGGCAAACAAGACACGGATAACATAACAACGTACAAGNTCGCGCTCAATGTCCTGAGGGTCGACCTTGGGGGCCAGAGACAGAGTGTTCATAAGGAATTGACCCAGAGCAGAGCTGGGCTCGGCCTCCTCGTCCAGAACATTGCTGACGTAGTTGGAAACACGCTCAATCATCTCGAGAACCTGCTCGATGGCGCGCTCCAGCGACTCAATGTCGGTCTGCAGCATCTGCGAACGGTCCTCTCTGTCCTTTGCTCCGGCAACCAGCTCGAGACCGCTGCGCTCAGCCTCGCCATACTTGATCTCGTGGGGAACAGGAATGAACAGGCAGCTGTCAGCGGCGCGCTCTGCGGTGACACCGACGGGGGCGGAAATGTATGTCTTGGCCTCAATGTCCTTTCCGGGCACGGTAGAGACGGTCAAGTGGATGGCGGGGTGGGGCCAGGTGCCGTCGCCTTGCTGGCCGTAGAAGTTCTGGATGAGGGCGGAGAAGGTGTTGAGGTCGGAAGAGGTGGCGTACCAGCCGAGGAGGACCTCCTTGGGGTTTGCGCGAAGGTGCAGCTGCAGCATCTGCTTCTGGTAGTCCATGTCAACCTCGACCTGCTCCTGGGTCTCGGTGTGGGGAACGGCGTAGCAGTTGCGGATCTCGACTTCTGTGCCATCCTCAGAGCGGACACCGAGAAGAGTGCCGATAACGCGCTCCTGGTCCTGGGGTCTGCGGAGCGAGTGGTCGAGGATTGCGAAAATGGCCTGGGGCTGGACGCTGACGTTCAGAGGAGCGGTCGAGGGCTGGGTGCCGATCTGGACGGGACCCAGAGGGCGGGCGAGGTGGAGGAACGAGTCTTGGGCCATGGTTGCGTTGGCGATATGAGCTTGCCGTCGTCTAACTCGAGCACCCTGTCGTTGTGGGAGGGAAAAGTTCAGGCTTGCCTTTTCGGCCACGCACCGAGATTCTACCGTGACTTGGTCGCTCACCGACGGCGATCGGACTTAAGAAACAAGCTCTCGACTTTTTTGTTCTTTGCAAAATCAAAATTATTCACAACTCACAATGGCGCCTTTCAGAGGAAGAGGAGGCTCACGAGGTGGCCCACGGGGCGGATCAAGAGGAGGGAGTAGGGGCGGGAGCTTTGGAGGCCGCGGTGGCAGCAGTTTTGGTGGTCGCGGTGGAGGATCAAGAGGAGGAGGAAGAGGAGGAAGAGGAGGATTTGATCGTGGCAACAGTCGAGGCGGTGGTCGGGGAGGAAGAGGAAGAGGTGGAAGAGGAGGAAACAGATTTGGAAGGACCGAGTTCCGCACAAGCAGAGTCGACGAACCGGAAGATCAACCCTTCCCTGAGAGCGGCGATGAGAGCGAGCCCGACGACGAATCCATGGACGACCAAGACGCTCAATCTGTAGGAAGCGACAATGAAGACGCTCCTGCCTCAAAAGTCCGCGCATACAACGCCCTTCTCCAATCCTTCCAGCAAGAGTCAGACGAGCCCCGTCGCAAGCGCAGAAAGATTGAAGAAGCCCCAAAGGATGACGAGAGCGACGAGGAAGAAGATGCTGCTTTAGACGATGCCTCGGATATCTCAGGAAGTCAAGATGGGGCGCAAGATGAGGAACAAGCACAAGAAAACGGAAACAGCGACGCCGAGATCGAGCATGACGAGGTCGACGACGACGACGAGGATGAGGACCCGACGGACCCCTTTGACCAACACTTTGCCAACCCGGAAGCCAACGACCTTACTCAACGTCTCAAAGCAGTCACGGACAACCAGTGGCGCTCGGAAAAGCTCAAGGTGTTGAAGGACGGCAGTCTGACCATCTCTCTCCCCGAATCTGCTCCTGCCTTGTCACGTAAAACACTCAAGTCTGTCTCGCAGCTCAATCTCAAGCAACGCATTGCAGAGCCAGCGACAAAACACATTGGCACTTTCAGCGAGCTGGGACAAGCAATTGCGACTTCAATCTACGCCTACCAGGATGTGCTGTGCGGCGCCAGAACCGTCGAAAACGCCTCCGAGCTTAGACATATGGCTGCTTTGCATGCTCTCAACCACGTCTACAAGGGCCGCGACCGCGTACTAAAAAACAACTCTCGTCTGGCAGCTGCAGNNGAAGCAGATGCTGATCTCGAGCTACGTGACCAAGGCTTCACCCGCCCCAAGGTTCTTGTCTTGCTGGAGACTCGCAGTGCCGCCGCAAGATACATTGATGCTCTGATAGCTCTCTGTGAACCCGAGCAACAAGAAAACAAGAAGCGTTTCGAAGACGGTTTCGTACTGGACGAACTGAAGTTTGGCGGCGAAGGAGATTCACATCCTGCAGACTTCCTCGAGTTGTTCGAGGGCAACGACGACAACGATTTCCGCCTGGGCATCAAATTCACCCGCAAGACTATGAAGTTCTTCTCGCAGTTCTATGCTTCGGACATCATCCTTGCGTCGCCTCTCGGTCTACGCCGTATCATCGAGCACACTGATCCCAAGAAAGCCGACAGCGATTACCTCTCCTCGATCGAGATTTGCATTGTGGACCAAGCAGATGCCATGCTGATGCAGAACTGGGACCACGTAGATTTTGTCTTCCAACACCTCAACCTCCAACCCAAAGATGCCCACGGCTGCGACTTCAGCCGCGTGCGAAACTACTATCTCGATGGTCAAGCCAAACATTTGCGCCAAACAATCATTTTCTCAGCATATGTGGCCCCCGAGCTCAATCGCCTCTACAATGCACACATGCTGAACATTGCTGGAAAGGCAAAACTCACACCCTTCTACCCAGGCGTAATCGGCGACATCGACCTCGAAGGCATGAAACAGACCTTCTCTCGCTATGATTCGGCAGCCCCTCACATGGACCCGGATGCCCGCTTCAAATACTTCAACACAGCCGTCCTCCCTTCCCTTCTCCGTGTGCCGAAACCATCGGATGGTGGTCCTGGTATCCTTCTCTTCATCCCCTCATACCTCGACTTTGTGCGAGTAAGAAACTACTTTGCCAACTCGAACGAGACGCAACATATTTCCTTTGGCGCCATCAGCGAATACACACCCGTGCCCGACCAACGACGCGCACGCAGTCATTTCCTCTCTGGCCGCCACAGTGTCCTCCTCTACACTGGCCGTGCACACCATTTCCACAGACTAAGGCTGAAGGGCGTACGAAGAGTGGTCTTTTACGCTCTACCAGAAAACCCAATCTTCTATACCGAAGTCGCGAGGGGCTTCTTGGGTACCATGGTTGCAGAGGGCAGATTAGATCCCACCGAGGCCGGTGTCAGGACCATCTTTTCGAAATGGGATGGCTTAAAGTTGGAGCGTGTCGTAGGAACCAAACGTGTTGGTCCCATGTTGAGGGACAAGGGTGGAGACACTTTCGATTTTGTTTAATCAGGTCATGATACTATACCACACATTCGCGATACTCTGGGACTTGCCTCACGCTGTGTTGTTCCTCTGTCTTACCTTCTATGTTAGCATGTTTGTACTTGCCCCTTGACTTCTGCAAGACCCTTTCCCAACGAAGATCTGCCCTTTGCGCCCATTTACACCACCCTGATACGGATATCACATCTGCAGGCGTGGAACAATGAGTCGTCCTTGTCGATCACAAAGACAATCACAAGGTTTGAAAACACAAACAACCATACTACAATTACACGTACCTGATCCGAAAAAGCTCTCGCTTCTTTCCCCCCCCCCCCCCCCAATCAACCCACTGCAACTTGAAACGAGCTTTGTGACAAAAAAAGTTCCAACGAAACCAAGCAGATGAAGCAGAGTTTTTGACCCCGACATTTTGTCTCCTTTGCTATCGTATACGATGTCTTGTGCGGTTTATCCGCAGTCTGAGGTATCGAATGGCTAGTCTGAGCGTGTGAAGAAGGACCATGTCGATGATGACCCCGTCTTCGAATGTGTATGCCGTGAGTCTTGTTCTCTCGACAATTCGCTGTAACAATTACTCGATGTTCTTCTGTCTCTTTACCAGACTCGAGGTCAAGTCGATGTGGTGTCGGACCAAGTGATTAAATGATAGTGTAGTGGGGTGCGGCAGATGAAGCAAAGTGAGGGAAGTTTTCGTTTTTTTCTCCTTTTATATGTACAGGAGATTAGTCTTGCTTATCTAGCTACAAGTCTGGGTCTATGTTATACACTCGTCGCGTGCACGCCATCGGCAAGCTCGTTCGTGCCGTGAGTAGCAGCCTTGTCATCTTCACTTTGCAGTCCTATCACTTCTTCCTGTTCCTGAACCAGCTCTGATTGCTCTTCTCGCTTGTCCACTTGTGACTTCTTACTTCCACCTTGCCAAACACTGCGATCCACGGCACCGAGATTGACTTTGCCGAGATGTCGTTTCGTCACCTCGTCGGCCTCGAACCCTTCGTCCCGCATACGTCTAAACGTATCGACTGCCTCGTTGGCCTTGCCGAGTCTGGCATAGCCACCCAGCAAAGAGTTCCAAGTGACTTCGTTGGGCGTCTGTTTGCGTTCTCGCATGTACTTGAGCACTTGTTCTGCGAGCTCCATCTTGCCATTTTTGGCAAAGGCGTGCAGGAAGATTGACCACGAGCGCACGGTGGGCTTTTTCTGCGATCGTGCATGGGTGAAGGGTGTTTGCATGTCGCGGATTACTTCGGCGGCGTAAGCAAGTCCGGAAGGGTCTTGGGCAAAAGCGAGTAAGAAGGCGTTGGAAGTGTGATCGTGTTGGGCCAAGAAGACATAGGGGCTGATGTTTTGCTCGGCGAGGTTGCGCCATCGTCGGTACAAGTCGTGTATGTGGTCCATATTTCTGCTTTGTGTTTGGACAGTGTTTCGGAGGTATGCTCCGATCATGATGCCCATGACGGGTATAGTCGGCTTCTTCCTTTTCAAAGACTTGTTTGCGTATTTCTGTGGCAGGATCCCAAGGTTGATGAGATCGGATGTGTCGAAGAGCTGTGTGTAGGCCTCGGAGACTGTCGCAAAAGCATTCTCGGGGTCGATCTGGAAGTGGTGTAGGTAGAGACAGTGTATGATCTCGGTTGCCACGACATAAAGATTCCGTACTTCGACATCAGCGATGGCTTGACGAATGGTAGTGTTGAGAGTTTCCGAGTCTTCGATGACGGTCTTGCAACCCTTGAGCAGGATAGCATGGGTATACTCATCAGCCTCGAGATTGTTGTCGACAAGGGAGTGGTAGATGCTGAAAGCCGTCTTGAGGTCACCGGCCTCGACGGCGTTGAGCATGACAATGTTGCACAGCTGGACGTTGAGCTTGACACCAATGTCAGACAGGTTCTGAACCAAACGAAGGCTAACACGTAGGCCGTCAGGTTGATCGGCAGCCTTTCGGAGAATGGTAGCACAGCAACTCTCAAACTGCTTGGAACCGACATCGGCTCCGTCCGAAACTGCATCAAGAAGGGTGTCTAGCGCCTGGTCGAATAGTCCATGATGCGCCAGATAGGTAGTGAAGTGTAGACGGGTATTCCAATGCAAGAGTGTTCCACTAATACTGATGTGTTCAAAAAGTTTCAGAACCTGGTCCTGAGAGCAGAACTGCAGGAATTTGCGAAAGGTGTTGCCGCTGACCTGAAGCGGAGACGTACCCGGACGCTCCATGATCACACAGGCGACATGGACCAGATGCTTGCGGGTATCCTCAGGGAGAGAATTCTTGTGGTAATGGCCAACAATATAACTCAGAGCATCGGCAACGTAGGCAGCGGGCATATATGGGGCGCCGTGGGTAATTTCCAGCAGGCGAAGAGCGTCGTCGACAGAATTGGCCAGTGCCCATAGCAAAGCATGCATCCACTTCCTCCGCCACTGATCGCCCAGCAATGTCGCCAGCTCTTCCTGATTCTTGAACTCCTTGACATTGAGTATCTGGGTAGCCCATTTCTGAGAACGAAAATTGAGGTTCGGCGTTGTCTTGGGTGTAAAGTTATGGGATAGACGAGTGTCGTGGCGGGCGTTCAGTTTGGCAAAATGATGGTTCCAGTATAGAGAGTGGCCGTCGGCAGAGAAGACCAGTTCTTCTGCCTTGTCGTCGTCGGTCTGATCCCGGGTCTTCCGCCTCACGGGTCTGCCCAAGGGGGCATATTTGGTCCTTGTGCTAGAGGGCCGCTTGGCGGCAGTCCAGCGAGTCTTGACTATGGCCTGGGAAGTAGACCAGCGCTGGAAGAAGGCTTTTTGAACATCGGCGCGGCTTAGATTACGCTTCTTCTGTCCAGGAATTTCTGCCGTCTTCTTCTCAACCTTGTCATGCTTGTCATGCTTCTCGTGCTTCACGTGCTCTTCTTGATCACCATGCTGGCCCTCTTCTTCTTCTTCTAGCGGAGCGATGGCGCTTTCGTACCACTGCTGTACGAGGAGGCTACGAGCACTCTCGTGCTTTGGGCGGGCCGTCGGACGGGGCTGCCTTGCATGGTCGCAGCAGGTGGTTGAGAAGGACTTCTTTTGGCAGTGCGAGGGTGATGAGGACTGGGGCAGTGACCTCGGCCAGGGCTGGAAGACTCTCGGGGCGAGGAAGGGCAAGACAAGTTGTTCAGCTTCGGCGACAAGCTTGACGTGTCGGGACGCGCATCGTGGCATAGGCGGGCATGGACAGGGCGGAGCGAGTGGTGGACACAAGAAACTAGGACACCCCCGTCTCGCCGACTTTCTGGCCCATCCATCCCCAACTTTCTCATCTGCCTGTTTGATCTGTTTGCTTCTCCACCACCGACCAGCTAACACCAACTTTGCGACAAGTCCATCCACGACAACGTCACAGTCTGTCCTTGTCATTTCGCCCCCAAGGAGCCCTCTTCAGACCAAGTCACCATGTCTGGAAACCTCTCCAGCGCCGCCGAGGACCGCAAAGCCCGTCTGGCCGCCCTCAAGTCTCTCAAGCGCAAGCAACCAGAAGAATCCACAGAGACCGACGACACCACCCAAACGGAGCAAGACTTCACTCAAGACGTCTCTTCCGTGATCCTCTCAGGCCGCAACTACGATGCCACAACACGCGCCCCAAAACTCGGTTTCGAAAACGATCCTTCGGCCCAAGAAAACACCCTAGAGAGAAAGGCACAAGAGCTGGCCGAAGCCACAAAAAAGCAAGCAGCCCAGGAAGAAGAACAAGACAAACCTTTGGATCTGTTCAAGCTGCAGCCCAAAAAGCCCAATTGGGATCTGAAGCGCGACTTGGACCGCAAGCTGGACATTTTGAACGTGCGCACCGACAATGCCATTGCGAAATTAGTCCGCCAGAGGATAGCTGCAACACAGGCCGAGAAGAAGAAAGCCACTGGCGTGACAAACAACGAGGGCGAGGCCGTTGGCATGGAAGGCGCAGAGTTGCTCGAAGCCACCAACTTGAGAGAAAAGGAGGACGAAGAGGAGGCCAGGAGGGAAGATGAAGCTCAGGCCGACCTTTTGGATGGCAGCTGAGTCCTTGTCACTCCCGAAGACAACTCAATATTGCCTCACTTTCCTCTATGGCCTTAGTCCGGCCGGATGTGTCGCAACTACTGCATCGTCTCTCGTCACCGCAATTGCGCAAAGAAACACTTTCTTGCAACGAGACACATACGACGAGACGCCCGGCTTGTGCACTGCTATTCTCTCTGGCAGTGGCCTATTTGATACATGCTTGGTAATCATTAGCATAATTACAGACAACGATTGATTCATCCCTCCATTCTCCTTCGTCATGCGCCTGGGATCTCCTGAATCCTCAGAAAATTAAGAAACTCCAATGAACGCGGTGGTGGTATCCTAAACGTCAAAGCAAAAATAGCAATCCGCCCATAGCAACGAGAAAGAAGGCAGTTTACAGAGTGGAAAAAGGAAAAAGAAAAGAACCGAAAGAAAAATCGAAAAATATCAAAAAGAGAGAGGGTCGAGGTAGGTGAGAGGAGTAGAATGCTCACTTAACCAAAGGCCCAGACGAGCAGGATACTTGCTGCTGCGACATCTATGACCATGATACCAATGACCAGTGTCGCTATCGGCCAGCGAGGTGTCTGTCTGCTAAACACGGCTCCCATGCCTGACACGGCAAAGGCCAGACTCGAAGCCACAGCCAACACAACGCCAGCATCGACTTCTGACGCTAGCTTTCTTTTGCCGGTAGCCACTAGTATGTAGCCAATACAGAGCAGAAGCGCAGACGCGACCAAACATGTTGCTGCCAGTTGGGAGACCCAGTCAGATTGTCGATGGTATGGTTCGGAGCTGTATCCAGCCATTTGGTCCCTCGTTTGGTTCAGCGTTCCATAGGAGCGCTGCTGAGTACGCTTGGGGACATGTGCTTCGTCTTCTGATGAGCTGACAGACTCCTCCACCATGCCGTGCTCGTTGGTATCATCTTGTCCAAGCAGGGATTCTTGATCGGAAGGCTTACTCTTGGACCAAAGACTGCGTATGCGGCGCCATGTCTTGGTGGCTGACGAAACCTCGTTCGGGTCAATGTACAGGACATAGGCACCCTCGTCCTCCGAGCCAGAAGGATCGTCGTATTCGCTCCAGTAAGTTTGCTTTGGGAGTGCACTGCCGGCCCTGTCGTAAGCAGACTTTCTCTTCTTACGGAATGCGCTAAGAGGAGGTGTCTCCAGTTGGTCGGGGATCTTGATCCTTTGAGGTGATTGTTCCTCCACTGCAGTCAAATCACCACCAGTGTAGTCGCCTACTGATCCAGTTGAGGGTGTCATCTGAGGTGTAGTGGACTGGGAACCATAACTGGAATCGTGGTTGTACGCCCTACGTCTGCTTGCCACTGTAGCAACTTTGCGGATGTCTTTTTGCATCAATGGTACCCAGAATGGAGGAACAACATTTTCAGGTTGGCAGCAGTACCAGACTGAGTGGTACTCGAGCGAAAACCCACGGACACGCTCGACGAGATGACTCTGGTCCAGAACTTTGACGAGCGTGCTGTTGCCGAACCCTTCTTGTCTTACACGAAGTACTGCAAAGGGAAACTCTGCACTCATGGTCTGAGAGAACGTATCCTCGGGAGAATTTGTCAAAGACTCTGCTTTTCTCATACGGATGTTTTTGTCCAGAATGGCAAGAATGAATCCGCTGGAGTCGGTGGCCGTCTCAGCAAAGCGAGATCTGTTGGACGCGATGGTAGTGAGTGGTTTGATGGTTCTCTGCTGAGCTATCCAGGCGCGCATGTTCTCGGCGGCTCCACTGTTTTTGTCTTGTGTGATGGAATGTTTCCGTAGCGATGTGGTTGAAGAGGGCTCGAGGACAGCGAAAACATTCTTGCGCTTGACCGAGGCTTTCTGGATGTCACGGCCATTGACCTTTGCAGTAACAATTGCGTCGTCTGTCTTGGTCCATCTCGCATGGATAGTCGCCTCCTGAAGACGGCTTCCTACAGTCTCCTCGCGCTTCTCGAATGTGGAAGAGCTCTGGTGCGCAATGAAACTTTCGAGGTCGTCGGCAACAAGTACAGTCGTATCGGCTTCGATGACAGAACTGTTTCTTCTACCCGTCGAGGATGCGATGCTGTTCTGACGAGATAGTATAGGAGAGACCGGTGAAGAAGGTAGTGTGCGGGTTGGGAAGGACCGAGCGTGCTGCAGGATCAAGATCTGGAGTTCAACGATGTTATCGGGATGTACCCAGTAGACAGCGTTCCTGCCGCCACGACCAAGTGGAGATGTAGAGAAGTAGGAGTCAAACTCGACAGACGAGCTCGACTCGATGATGGATCGTATTTGTGTGGAGTTATCTTGAACGTCAGCGTCGATTGAGACCTTGTCGGGTGCTCCGTTGATGCGCTCGTGGTACAGAGTCCTCAGTGATGAAAGTGTGTCTTCATATTCGAAATAGAGAGGGTTCATGTCGATTCTTGTAAAGCTGGAAGGATCGCCGATAACATGTCTGTTGAATTCGGTCTCGAGATCTGTAGAGCCGGTCCACTTCTTGTGTTTCTTGAGAAGCTTACGGAAGGCGGTTTGTTGAGCCTTTGAGAAGCGCGACAGGGATTGTAGTTCATCGCCGGCNCCTGCCAAACATGTCAGTGTTGATTAGAGCAGCAAGGCGGTGAGGGGAACTCACTTGAGGATGTCGGCCTCAAGACGACCATATTTCTCGAGACGCTTCGCAGGTATGCGGCCGTTGACGGCGGGCTTTGAGCTGAGCAATGTGGTCTGCTTGCGTAGGTGGTCTGTTGTTGTCAATTGACGCGATCGTGATTGTGTTGAGGAAGAGCACTCACCCAGCCGCCTCTCGATCTCACCCGTCTTGCTCCTCACAAACAAGGTGATTCTCTGATGCTGTTGCTGCAAGATGCCGTAGAGGTTGTCCTCGAGCTCTTTCCCCCTCACATCGCCGGCTCCGGGTATGGAAATGCTGTTGCCGTTCCCCGCGGTTGTGTTCTCCTTGATATAGTGCTTCACGTCATCGTAGTCGACGTTNGTCTGGCTGGTCAGTGAGGTTGAGATGGAGTTGGACGAGAGAATCTCACGATGTGCCCATGCGGGGATGGAGTTCTGGCGGAGAGCTGCGCCATACTTCATGATGATGATGGTGCTGGGCAGATCACGGCGGCGGAGAAAAAGTCCGTGAGATTATTGTCAATCTCAAGGGACTCCGTCGGTGTGGAGTAAAGCGCAGCGAGGGGACAAGGCAATTGTGACTTCGGTCAATGACAAGAGAGGGCAACTGTTTAGGACGAGGCGTAACGGGCGGGACAATGGATGGTTTTGACTACGGATGAATGCTGCAGAGCTTGGATCTGTTTGAGAGTGCGAAGGTTGCTTTTGGCAGGGTCTGGCAGCCATGATGCGAGCGACACCTCGCGACGAGACCATTGGCTCGCAAGCCATCAAACCGCTGCACTCGAACTTTCAAGTTTCTTGATCCGCAGAACGGGGCGCCACGTTGATCCACACCGTCCCTTAAAGGCAACCAGGCACACGACCACTTCGTTGCCAGGTCTCCAATATTAAGAATCTAGTACCGTCCTTGACCACCATCCGTCAGAGATTTCGACCTGCTGTTGCTCCACTGCCCGCCCTCCGTCTCACACTTTGCGGACCAACCGGCTCGTGCTTAGGTTTAGGGCGTCGCCGAACCGACCGAGTAACTTCAACAGCCTGTTCGGACTACAAACCCTACTGCTGCAGTCAAACCGTTTGTTCCTGTGGAAGCGCTCTTTTGGACTCGTGCTATCCTTGTACAATTGATCTTACAGCTGTACTCCGCTATCTTACTGCATGCGCCTGTGTCCGTAGTCCGGGTAGACACATGATACAGTTGTGCATGAATGATCAATCGGGACAGGGGTCTGCGCTTACCTTCAAATATAACCGGAGTATACGCAAGGTGACATTCTCTATATTATTGCACTTCGCGTTCTTGCGCTACAACTGCTCAGAGTCAGGACAATGAAGGGACGATTCAATTCATGACTGTGCTAATGACAAGCTCAACCATGTCGAATTTTTTCGTGTCACCCAAACCCTCGGGAGAGACGGGGCAAGTCCCGTCGAAGTCTCGGAGAAACGTGGCTTGCCTGCCGCATGCATGTGAAAGAACCGGCCACGATCGTCGCAGCATCGCATAGCCTGCATGAATCCTTCAGCCGGCGGCGAACAAAATTGCTGCTCTTTATCACGCAGGGTTATTCTTCCTACCAACGAGGCGCAGACTGAGTATTGCCAACATACAAAAGGCTCGTTGTCCCCCAATCCCAGGACTCCCCGCATGGTTCAAACCTCCAGAATCACAGACCCTTGCTTGTCTTTGCTTGTCCCTTCGGTCGACTCGGCTAAACCGCTGCGTGGAGCAGACCTGGGCCAAGCTGGGTTTGCTCCGACACATCCCCCATACCATTCGAGCAAAATATGTGTCAGCTCAATTGACCGGCTGTAACCTGGAGTTCCCTGGACACGACATGGCCCCCGATGTTCTACAATGCTCGGTAGAATCGCCTACATCATGTTGGACTCTCGATCCAACCTGAGATCGATTTCGCTTCGAAACGAGGAACAACCACAACGTAGTTCAGGAAGAGACCCCCGTTCTCACCCAATTTCTCGAACAGCTTGCAAATGGGCACACATCATATCAACGACCTATGACAAGCTCCTATGACAGACTACAGCTACCGCGATCTTGGGACAGTATCCGGAAGTATCTTCGGCGCTGGATACATGCACACAAGACTGCCGGCGACCAAGCAGAAGACGTCCAAGGCGCACGTGCTAGCATCTAGGTAGGTCGTGTGTCCGCTTACCACAAATCAAGGGTCTCTTATGTGTGGCCCCACTGTAGACCATCGGCTGCCTCGAGTGTTTGTTTAATATAGAAAATAGGCGGGTAAATTGCGTAGTTCTTCATGCATCGGCTTTTTCATTGGTCTCGTCGCAATTAATGTGCTATGTAGCCAGGGAGGTCGCTAAACAATCAAAGGCCCCACCGGCTGGACCCCCCCCAAAGTGGAGGAGGACAATCGTGCGATTCAGACGACGATGATACCAGTGAGACGTGATTCGACATGGCTTCGTATATGCGCTAGGGCGTGGGGTGCGGATGCTGCTCGTGCATTTCATCTCGAGCCCTCTGTTTGCGGGCCGCTGCTGCTGCTGCCAGCTGGGGTGGTCGTTTGACTAGGCCAAGGACGTGCTGCTTCTTAGAGCAAGGCCTTCCAAATTTACCCTCCTCAGAATGTAGAATAGTCTTGTTGTTACGCTCGGTTGCGAGATGAAAACGACACTTCATCTGTTCATGGTCTGTGTCAGGGCGACTCTCTTGCTGAAAGGGCTCAGAGACCTAGGGCGTTCTCCACCAGGCACATCCTTCATCTCACGGTCTTGATCTCGGTAGGCTTTGTAATCGGCCCGCTCCAGGTCAGTACGCTGCCCCAACATTGAGTTGTTGTCGGCATCGTCGGGTCGTCGAACGGGTGTAAGACCACGACCTTCCTTGAGAGTGTTTCTGTCGGAAGCGGACCGCATCCGTATTTCTGAATTTGCTGACCTGCCTCTTCTTCTTCCACGTTCAGATGGGCTTCTCGAATTTCTGCGCATGCGGGTGTTGCGGCCATGAGCTTCGAACGATTGCATGTGGTCTGGCGATGTAACAGAGTTTGAAGGGTGCATTCGCTTGTCGCCAGCACCTCCTGTGGCCGATGCCTCTCTTTCTTGCTTTGCGTCATGTCTGTTTCTTGGTCTTTGAGGAGAAGGAGAGCGGGTGGAGATGGTCGAGACGGAGGCCGAAGAGAAGGATGCAGCAGAGCGTGAGCGCTTGCGCGAAGATCTGTGGTCGTCCATGTCGTCTAGTGAGCGTTTGCGCGGCCTTTCTTGGGCGGGCTTTTGGGTTGCGCTTGACTTNTCTACAACAAGTCAGAGGGGCACGATAGTACCAAGGTAATATTTGACGCACTCTTGCTCGGTTGGCGTAGGAGTTGGCGCAATGTTGGCCAGCTTCGGCTTGAGTTTGGGATTCAGAAGTTGCTGGCTGCGACTGGGACGAGAGATGTATGGTCGTTCTTGAGCTTGCGCTTTGCATTCGTAGCTGTAATGACCTNNGCGCGTGTGTGAGACATGGCAGTGATGGATATATGCGCCAAACGAGAGCATGCGCCTACCCTTGCTCAAACACTTCTGGCAGATTGTGTTTGCAGATGCTCGATTGTTTGACGATGCGCCTCCGACAAATCCGGGCCTGCCGTAGCGATTCATACTGCGGAAATGGATGGGGGTCTATCGATGTAAGCGTAGCAGGGTGTCAGAAGTGATGCGACAGACGTAAGACGCGTGTTGTTGGTGAAGCGACGACGAGGAAACAAACGCATTCACGATTCACTGAGCGCATGAAAGAAGCCAAGACAGGGTCGCGCTTGCCGATTTGGTCCAGGGCTTCTTTCCTTCACGGCGTCTGCAGCAACTATTCATCGCTAAATGCTTCACAAATGAGAAACTGTAGCCATATGAAATACTATTGTAGTTAGATTCGCATAGAAAAGAGAAATACCGAGGAACGTATTCAACGGATACCCACCGTTTACAATTTATTCTGCCTGTACATACTAACTCGTGTCTCTCTGCTTCCACTGGCAGAAACATGAAAGTGCTTGGCAATGGTGCATCTCAAAAAGCAAACGGGGCTTTCAGCGGCCTTGGCTCGCGAGCGATTTGGTCTGTCGGGCTTTACTACGGCGCCCTTTCTAGCCTTCTTCACCGCACCACCTTCGCGACGAGCGACACTATCTCGACTCCGCGCTTTCCGGCGCTGCTTTCGATCGGCCGCACTCACTGTGCAATCCGCGCAATTTTGACTGTCCGGAGCAGAGTTCAAGGTCTACGTCTTTGTCGTGTCCAGGAAAAAAGCCGTGTCAAACAACCTCTCAACTCCATGTCGACCTACCACCATGCCAACATCCTTGCCTCTTCTCTTGACTATTTTCCTTGAGCCTCCGGTTTCCTGAGATTTACTGCACAGAACAACGCCCTCTTTACCCTTCATCTTGTCCTTGGTACAAACGAAAGACATCCCATCCGCGACCACTTCGCACCATTCCAATACTTCGACAGCGCTCGCACTACTTGGACAAACCATGGCTTCTCTCTCGACCGACCAACCCTCAGCGAGGCGGACTTTTGCCAATGCGCACCTTCCTGCTCAAGGCATCGACCTTTCCTCTGCTGACCACCAACAGCTGGCTGCTTCCGCTAGCCCACAACCTTTCCAACATGATCACGCCAGCAATCAAATCAACCAGTCCTCTCTTGACGATGCTATCTCTCCTGTTCTCCCAAGAAAACTTATCCCGTCGCCCTCGAATGAGCCTCCTATGGCACCTTTGATGGACGGCCTCGAAACAACGCCCGTGTTAACCACACAAGTCCTGTGCGGTACATCTGACGAAAGCGCTACTCAGTTGTCTTCATCAGATGACTCGGCCAAACCCCCTAGCCTTGATGGAAAAAGCGTGGCTTCTATCACCACGTTCGCCATGGATGAAAAAGAGTCGCTGAGACCTGATGATAGTGCCAGTGTCTTGGCCATCGAGGATGATGACACTTACTCGCCATCAGGATCCGCTGCTGTCGGTTCGCGTTTGGGCTCAGAGACAGGCGCTCGTGCCTTCCGTGATCAACTCTTGGAAATTACCTCCAGAGGACCCGCGCTGCGTCAGTCTGGACCTACTTCGAGACCTGATTCAACCACCAACGCACCGATTGGAACGCTCTATGTGCCTCCCCCAATCGGTAGCTCCACAGCTCTCCCTGGTTATGTACAACCACCCACAAACGTTGGCAGACCTGAAGATGTTTTGCCTGATGTGAAGCTCTTGGAAGCTCTGAACAACCCCAGAGACAGGATATGGGTGCTCAAGTTGGAGCAGGACATCATCGACTTTGTAAAGGATNCCCACGTACGTTCTCTCAGATCTACACGGCTTTCAGTTGGCTGACCTCATCACAGTGAACATTCTCTAGACTTGCCGCAATGCAACTCCTTCTACAGAATGCTGGCTCACAAATTGGCTGATTATTACATCCTGGGTCATGCAGTGGACGGTTCCATCTCAGCCGTTCGTCTGTACAAGACTCCAAACTGTCGAATTGCGCCCCCTTTGACAGCCATTGCGACACCGCCAACAAGCACCAGCACACCACCTCCCGCCGCGCCTCAGATGAAGATCCTGCGTCGTGGTGGTGATGCACCGCTGAACGGCCTCTCCAAATCGAACTCTGATGGAGGCGACAGCGCCGACTCGGACAAAAACAAACCATTGACTCGTGAACAACGTGAGCAGAGGTATGAACTGGCTAGACTACGAATTCTGGGGTCTGCAAAGCCGACAGAGGATGCACTCCTTGTTAAGGAGAAGGATGAATCCCGTTCAAGCTCTGCTGCTGGAAAGAAGAAGCCTAAGAAGCAGCGCAGCAACAGTGACGATGACTTTGAGGCCAGGTCTGCTTACAGCACCTTTGTGGCGCCGCAGAATGGCGCCCCTGACGGCGGAAACATGGTCTACTACCCCGCATTCCCCGGCGGTGCTCAAGGTGCCCCTGGCATGTACAGTGGTGTTCCCACGGCTTCAGCTGCACAGAACTCATATAATGCTGTCTATGGTCCCATGACGCCGTCCCAGGCCGCTCCCTACCCATGGTTGCAACAAGGTTACTCTGGTTATAACGATCCCAACAATCAAGCACAGCACAACGTCAATGACCTCTCTGCTGATTTCCAAGCCATGTCTTTCCAGACACAATCCGGACCTACCTCACCTCCCCCGGCTGGCCCATACGGCTATGGTAGCCCCCACAACCAGCAACAGCAGCAGTATTCATCATGGCAGCAAATGATGCCCAACCAATCGGGCTACCCTGGCAGCCCCAACAACTACGGTAGCCAGTTTGCAAGCAGACCTCCATCTTCAGCAAGCCACGGATCCGCCACACATGGCTACCCATATGGGGCACCAATGAATCAGATGCAGATGCCTGATACGTACATGGGATACTCCAACCAAGCTATGGCTGGTGCATACAACCGTGGAAACTTCAATCCTCAAAGCCAGGCATTCATTCCCGGCTATCAGCCTCATTATGGCGCACAGATGGCGCCTCCCAACAACATGGGCTTCAATGCGGCTTATCCTGGATCGCATGCACTGCAACGTCAAAACTCTAGCCAGTCACAGGCATCGTCATACGTCGGACAAAGCAGCGGCCAGAACAATAGCAGACCGCCTCATCCTCTGCCACAACCTGTCTTCTCTCCCCATGTTCCCATGCCATTCCAAAATTCACAGCGACAAGCTGGCACGCCGTCTCGCCCTGGTACTACATCAGCAGCAGAGAACAACAGCAGTACACCAAGCTCGATTGCGAAATGGGGAACGCCAGCCTCTTTACCTGCCAAGCCCCCTCCGCCGGCGGCAACCAACTCGTTCGACATGTCCAGGATGCCACATGGGCAGCAGAATGGCGCACCGTATAGTCCTGGGGCCTCGGGGAGACTGCCCGGAGTTGGAGGACAGGGATTCCATGCTTTGCCATCGATGGTTGCTTTGCGTAACGGACAGACACCTCGGAGCGGGCAGTGATTGGATCTTGGGGACAGTGACACGCAAGGAAATATCTCTTACAAGATTTGCTGTCGGTCCGAAAGGAAGGGAATTCAAACAGAGTTTTGGTGAGTGGACAGGGTCGCAAAAAGGAGTTTCGCCATTGTCAAGCATTACTAGGAGTTTTTGACTTTTGCTCGAGGGATCATGTTGAGGTGTTCCTTCGGTGGTGCTTTTTCGGTGTCTTGTCACGATGATGACTGTGCTATACAGTAGCTTAGGGAGGAAAGACAGTCAGCCATTGCTTGTTTAGGTAGAAAAGGCAGAACAGCGAGTTGTTTCTTTGCATCACGATACATGTCTGTCAATTCATGGTTGCTACTGCTACAACCTTGTGTACTCTAAATTATACAGATGGTAACTGTTCTCTGCCTCGAGGGCTTGAACATAGCCATAATCATGAGGTGAGGGAGTCAAGTCTGAGGAGTGGAGATATGCGGCAACTCGACAAGCTTGTAGCTCTCAGTATCGACATGGCTCTGTGGTGTGATGTCGTGTGTCGCATCTCTTGACGAAAAGGGGGGTATCTATGTGTCTTCTTCCTGGCCGCATTGGACTCTGGCATGTATGGCCTCAATTGCCATATTCATTCTTGGTCGAAACTTCTCATCTCTTGAAGAACTGTCTGTTCCTTTGGGGTTGTTCTCTCTTTTGCGAACCATGGCTCAGGTAGTCTTCTTCTCAGCCTCGTCAACAGCGCTGCCGAGACCTTTGGTGAATACAACAGAAACCTTGTCTTCGGCATCTGCTCTCCATTGCTCCCAGTTGAAGTGTTGGATTTTCCTCACGGCAGCTTCTAGCTCGGTGTTCCAGCGGTACTTGAGACGGTCGGCGAGTCCAGGGACCAGGTGACGGGCAGTCTGTGAAGGTTCCTTGGGCTGAGGGTCTGTGATGTTGCGCAAGAGATTTGATTGTTGGCGCAGCAGATGTGATTGGTATAGGCGATTGCGCTCGTGGAGGTTCAGGGAAATGTAGAAAAGAGAAGATGTTAGGGCTATGCCGCCGATCTGTTTGGTTGTCAGATGTTGGGAATTGTTGGTCGAGGGGGGAAGGTGCTTACGAAGCCAGTTGTGAAGCCCATGGTAGTCTCTGTGACGGGAAAAGTGCCTGAAGAGCGACAGAGTGTTTTGGGAAAGAGCAGAGGGTGAGATGCGAAGTCGCGATTGTTGACTGGTTGCGGCCAAAGACGGGGCATTCGAGATTCAAGATTCATGCCAGCTCTTGGCGCATTTCCGTCGTCTATAGTCGATTGCATACCACGACCATCTCCGCGACCACACATCCCTGCGCATTGCATTGTACCGACTGTCGGCTCTCTCGCTTTCTTCTTCGACTGCCATCCCATTCCACCGAGCGATACCCTCTCCAGTCTCTCTACAGCGCCGCCACTCGGGCAGGAACCCACCGTAAAGAAAAAATCATGGCTGGCGGACTCCAAAAATACAGACACTTGTCGCGCAGCAGCTCGCACCGTCAGGCTCTGCTCAGAAACCTCGTCACATCGCTGTTCAAGAATGAGACGATATCCACAACATGGCCCAAGGCTCAGGAAGCCCAGCGTCTGGCCGAGAAGCTCATCACCTTGGGCAAGAAGAACACCGACGCCAGCAAGAGAAAGGCCCTCTCCATCTTCTACGTACGCTGTCTTCCTTCCATCCTTTGATCTCTTGGACCACCGCTAACAGAACTCGTCCACAGGNAACCCCACTCGCTCATTCCCAAACTCTTCGGCCCTCTTCGTGAACGCTTCTTAAACCGTCCTGGTGGCTACACCCGTGTGCTACGTATCGAGCCCATCAAGGAAGACCAAGCACCATCTGCCATCCTAGAACTCGTCGACGGCCCCAAGGACATGCGATTCGCCATGACTGCCCGCACCGTCTCCCGCCTACGTCGCGAGGGCAAGGACATCAACGACATGACCGCCGGTAACATTGCAAAAGTCACCCGCTTCCGTCCCAACGGCGACAAGGACCTAGAAGACATGGTCGCCAAGTTCGACAAGCTCGACGCTCAAGGCGAGCACGGCTTTGAAAAGATCTACAAGCAACGAGTCTACCACAATCCCAAGGCTTCGAGGTAGACACTGTTTCAGCTGCTATCTTGGCTACAGTCATTTTGTACATTACTTGTCATCGGCATGGCGTTTATACTGGAAATTCTACGAATCGGGCTTTGCGAAAGAATCTGTACACTTTGTATCAAAAAGAACACTATCAATCATGTCAACATCTCCGCCGGTCTCATATGCTGGCTTACTCAGACTGTTTGAGAGAGTGTCAGCATGTTTCTCGAAACAATGGTATGAGGTTATATAAGGTCAGGTGTTGCTTTGCCTTCGATCGTTGGGCCATAATGAATAGAATCAGGGTCATCCCCTCAACAGTCTTTGTAGAAGCCTCGACGAGGTATACGGCTCCAAGAACGGTCTTGTCCATATACCTACTATCCGTATCGATTCTCTGACGACACATATAGATGTCTGTGTTAATCAAAGCGCCATCAATGGTTGATAGCAACAGCATATACTTGTTCTCTCAAGTTAGACTCTAGCCCCTGAGATGTTCCATGTCAGCTATCATTTCCGCTGACTCGATCCCCAATCTGCCTCCTTCGAGACCCAGCCCTCAGCGACCAGCATCACAATGACCGATGATTGCACGTTGAATGTCCAAGTAAAAGGGGTGACTCACATGACTAATATCAAGAACAATCTCAATCATGGCTCATATCCAAACATTCTTCTTCTTCTCCATGACCCAGTCAACCAGACCAGCATCACGACGAAAAAAGAAATTGTCAAGCAGCTCGCGGACAAGTGCAAAGGCGAGCCATCACCGGAAAACTCGAGATAGTGCAATACGAGCCCAAATGTTTCTTGCCCAGGAAGAAAAGACTTTTCATCAATCCCTCCCAAACATCTACAATTCTTTTTCCAACAGTCCTTTTGGCATTTGTGTTTTGCTTTTGTGGGCACAAATGGGCCAAAAGATATTCTTGTGACTGCAAAAGTCATGAACGAGGGATGGTCTTTCCAACACCGGCCAGCGTGTTTACTTGAGAGACCCCCAAAAACAAAAAAAACACTATGCTGGGGAAGAGCCATCCCTCTGGCAAATACAGTGAAGAAAAAAGCGGTTATGAGAGGCGAGCGCCTATAATTCAAGTTTGTCTTCTTCCTTGCCCACGACCATAAGTGTTTTTGGTAGTAACCCATGGGCGAAGGGTACGTCGCAAAGCCGTTGTTTATACTCGGTTGTAGTTTTCACTGCAAAGAGTGATGGTTTACCATCCGCAGCCACGAACACATGGTTGCGCCCACTCGATGGCCTAAGCTTGCCAGTTGCTCGGTTTGTGTATGAGAGAGAAAAGAAAGAAAGGAAGAGAGAAAGTGGTCGGGGAGGAATGGGGTTTTTATAGAGCTGTGACAAAAGGATCTCATGACAGCCCACGTGGAAAGTGCTGAGCTAATAGGAAACAACCTCAAAATCCATACCCACTCAATCCTCGGGCTCATCTTTAATGATAACAACTCCCTCTTCCTCTCCGCCTTCAGTTTTGATAATGACGTCTCCAAACCTTTTGCCCCGTCCTGGCGCAATTTCATTGGCAAACACAACAGTCTCGACACCTGCAGGATTCTTCTCATCCTCAGGACCCCAGGGCAGCGCATCAACATCAATCTCCCTGTTCAACAGCGACTTGAGAATGACTTCGGCGCCTGCTTTGCTCATTACAGAGTTCGCTTCTTTGCATTGCTCCGAGCAGCAGCATTCGAGACATCCCTCGTCACAGTGGCAGGCGCCGACTCGATCGCAAGCCTGCACAAGCAAACGATCCACAAACTCAAAGGCTTTGGTGCTGATGCCCGAGCCCGCAGCACCGCCTTTTGCGTCGTAGAAGGTCAAGCGTGCGGGTCGCTTACGACTGCTCTCTTTTGCCTGAAACTCTTTGAGCGCGTTTTTGCATTCGGTCTTGACATCGCCGGGCATGCTGATGACAAAGTTTGGCATAAGCGAGAGCAGAGCGTGTTCGGCTGCGTGGATGGCTCCTGCCATATTCAGCCGCCTTGACTCAAGGATCTGCAGCGCGCGACGTGGCACATCGAGCCACATGCCTTTACTGAATATCGTAATGGGTGGGTTGTCGACTTCCACGGCATCCAAGATGCGACGTTTTGCATCCACCTTGAAGAACCCAAACACCACTTGAGTGATCCTGATGGTGCCGTAGTATGCTCGCGACAGTGATTTTGTGATCTTGCGGATTGCTTCTGTTTCGATGGGATCGATGTCGGTAAAGTCACGTTGTTGAGTGGTCCACTCTACTCGCACAAACTCGACGCGAGCCATCATTCTATCTGTCGACATTTCTTTGACCAGGTACTTGTTACCTTGATGCAAATAGATGCCTCCTTCGTAGATCGTGAAGAATGCACGCGAGGCCTCGAGCTCTTCGAGTACGACGTTGCGCCCATGCGTGATGTCAACAATAGCAAAGTGATCTTCCTCGGTGTCGCGGATCGCCACAAAAGTCGATGGTCGAGGAAGGAACCGATCAGCCGTGTGAAAGAAACCAAGATCGTCCTTTCTCATTCTGTTCTCTGCAATATCGGTCAAGAGCTTGCCGAAATAAACCTCGTCTCCTTTGGGCTGGATGGGCATCTCGTTGGCCGCACATTGCACATGTCCCTCGAGTACAAGCATGTTCTCCAGATCGACCTGTAGTTGACAGTTGGGCTTCGTGAAGATTTCGTCTGGGTTTTGCATGTAATGCTGATCAGTCGGGAAGGCGTCTCCAACAAGTATAGACATCGAGTCCTTGTTTCTGCGACCAGCTCGACCGCTTTGCTGACGAAGGTTGGCGATCGTATAGGGGAACCCGCAAGTCATGACCGCATCGAGGGATCCGATATCGATGCCCAGCTCCAGCGCACTGGTCGCCACGATACCGACAAGTTTTCCGTCGAACATTTCCTTTTCAATCTTGCGTCGGTCTTGAGGAGCGTAGCCGCCTCGATAGGACATGACTCTTGCCATGACCTCCTGTTTGTCCAGATACGCCAGTTCGTTCTTGACAGCTCCAATCAGCGCTTCGCACTGTTTTCGCACCCTACAAAACGCAATCACACGAACGCCTCGCAGGATAAGTTGACAGAAGAGCTTTGCAGCTTCCGCCAACGCGTCACCTCTGCCAGAAGTCGGGTCTGCAGGATCTTTAAATGGAGTGTTCCAACAGAGAAACTCTTTCCTGCCTGAAGGTGAACCGTCAAAATCTGTGAGTTTGACTTGCTCGACACCAAATATCGTCTTCATGTGCTCTTCGGGGTTAGCGACCGTAGCAGAGCAAGAGATGAATTTGATGTGGCGGTTTCCTACGGCGGCACAGATTCTACGCAGACGTCTCATGATCAAAGCTACATGGGCACCAAATAGACCATTGTAGACGTGAAGTTCATCGACAACCACAAAGCGTAGATTTTGAAGGAAGGTTCTCCAGGCTTCCTCCTGTGGTAGAATGGTGATGTGCAGCATGTCAGGGTTAGTAAAGATTATGCTTCCTTCGTCTCGGATGAGATTTCGGTCGCACATTTGTGTATCACCGTCGAATGTCTCGACGACAAGATCTTGCAGTCCATCCATGTATTGTAACAGATCCTTCAGACTGCGTCGCTGGTCTTGAGCAAGAGCCTTGGTTGGGAAGATATACATGGCTCTGGCCTGGTTGTTCTTCTCCAGTTCATGTAGGACGGGTATCTGGTAAATCAAAGACTTTCCGGAACTCGTTGACGTCGATACAATGACGTTGTGACCATCGTACAGATTGTTGATGGCCTCGGCTTGATGTGAATATAGCTGAGTGATACCGCGAGTATTGTACAGTGCGTTGACAAGAGTTTGGGACAATTCAAAGTTCAGGTCGCCATAGATGGCCGGTTGAGGATCGAAAACGCGGTGACCATCGGGCACTATTTGACCAGTATACCACTCTAAAGTCTTGATCTCGGACACAATCTCGGGGATGGTCTTGCGTTCGTCCGGGATGGATTTTGGCAGCAACGCTCTTCGTTTCTCAGGGGTAGGTGTGTTTCCTCTGCTTTCAGATGGAGCGGGTATGTTCAAGTTGTGCTCGATGTCCAGCTTCTCTACAGGATTCACGCCCTCTGCGTCACACTCGTTCAGCCAGGCGTTCACCGCAGAGGTGAATTTGTTGTTCCTCTTCTCAATCAAGTTCATCATCTGCTTCTGGCTGTAGACAGGCATCTTGAGGTCTTCATCTTTCAGCTTCCGTGTTGCCTTTGTGGGCTCTCCGGTCTTTGTATGTTGTACTTGACGCTTCAGGTCTCCATCAATGTACTCGAACAGCAGTACCTCCTTGTTTCCTTTCTCTTGCTTGTCTTCTGTTGGTTCCGAGGCCATGTAACCTTCGAATCTCTTGTTCTTCGAGTTCTCTTGTTCGCCCATGAGATTCACCTGCAGCAGATCTTCATCAATGTATGCAAAGTTGATGGATCGCGGTATGAGAGCTTTGATCTTGGCGACATCTTGAACGGACAGTTCGCGGCCAATGTGTGATTCGACGGTGGTCCTTATAGTCTCAAAAGTGGTAGCCAGATGTTTGCGTGTGCAGCAGAAGGTGTAGACCAGATTGAGAGCTCGATGGACTTGGGATAACTTTGTAAACTCCTCGGGCCAGGGTATCGTCGTCTCTACCATGGAAGATCCTTTTCTGGACAGGCTCGGTGCTGCACCTTTGGCTTTTGGCGTCCGCCTTGGTTTCTTGCCTCCATCTAGTGTTTTGGTCGGGACTGTTGTCGTGCTTGCAGTCGAGTCTTGGGTACCTCCAGGCTCGCCTTCTACTTGATCTTGTCCGTCCTGGCTCTTTCTCTTTCTTTTGCGCACAACCTTGTTGGATACTGTTGCAGCTTGCAGTTTGGGCATTGTTGTTGTTGTTGTTTCGACTTGACGCGAAAACCGATGACGTAGTCTGAAGGTATCCTGAGGTCAGGATATCGATATCGATTCCAGCAGTGGTGACTAAAGCTATCCAATCAGACTATTCCTGGTTGTACGCATGGTAACCATGGAGGAAGGAAACAACAAGGTATAACGTGTGTGTAGGTCAAAGAGGTGGATGCAAAGGTGAGGGTAGAATTCACGACGCCTTTGCCACTGTCTTCCGTCCACACAATGAGAAGAACAATCCCTAAGGTTGGTGCGAATCGAAAAGTTCAAGAATATTAGACGTGTTCAGAGAGAATGCTGTTCTTTTGTAATTCTTGTTTTGATTTTGGTTCTGAAGTTTATCTTGTATGCTCAGGTCACAGCCATCATGTAATTCGCTGAAGACCAAACACCACCCATCCAACATGTGTGCCTATGTTGCTAGTCCTCGCGCCAATGCTAAGAATGCGCCAAACTCAACGCAGTGTCAAATCGTTACTGTCGTTGATCGTCACCCTCTACATCTGGTTCTGCAAATCTTTAATATGATCCCAGAGTTCTATGGCGAATTGTGGTCTCAGCTATTGGTGAAGTCAGTATACTGTTTGGGTGAGAGTGAGGAAAGGATGTATTCAAACCTTCAATTGGAGAACCTCGAGCTGGGGCTTTCCGTCCAGAGAGCCTACAAGACTCATAAAGTGTCCAGTGGGCTTTTCACCACGGACATCGCCGTATTTGAGAGCCTTCTGAACTGGAGTGTTGAGGATGACGCGGTGTGAGCCATCTGCACGCATGACAATTCTGGCCTTGATTGTAGAGTCCTCGTCGTCAGGCTTGGGTTCGGTGACGTTCAGACGAAGGACGCCCACTCCGCGCTCTTTCCATTCCTTCTTGTCCACGAAATTGTACAACTTGGCGCGACAGGTGTATTCTGTGGTTTCGCCTTCTTCTCCAGTTTCGACTNNGTATTGTTGTTAGAAACAAGAAAATGAAGTGTCTTGGAAAGTTGGAAGCTTACTGTCTTGTTCGTAGAACCGTGTGTCCTTCTTGTCCTCGTCGACTATAAGCTTTGGGCTCTTAACCCCAGCATCGTCTTCACCCTCATCTCCAGACTGTTCCTCCTCTTCTTGCGCAGGCGCACCGAATGCTGTGATCCCTGTCTTTGTGCTTGATCCAATGACGCCGGGAGTTCCGCTGCTTGCAAAGCTGGTGAGCTTGGAACCACCACCCAGGCCTCCGAAGCCACCCCCGAAACCATTGCCAATTTTGCCAAAGCCTGAGCCAAAGCCAGAAGAACCAGCAGATGCGAAAGGTGAGGCTGTTGATGGGAGACCACCGAAAGCACTCGAAGCGGGCACTGGCTTTGCACCATCCTCGCCAGGCGCGGGAGTGCTGCCAGGGCTAGCGAAACTGGACAGAGTCTTGTTCTGGCCAAGTGCGCCGAAAGCTGAGGTTGAGGAGCCAGCAAGAGCACCGAATGCAGAAGAAGCAAAGGCACTAGTAGCGGGTTGAGTTTGTTCCGAGGTAGATTTAGTGGTGGCTAGAGAAGCAAATGGTGATGATGCAGAGGTGTTTGCGAAACCACTTCCGGCGGGGATATTAGTGGTGGGTTTGGCGTGTTGTGTCGGGTCTTCAACAATCTTTCCTTCAGGCTCGATGGTTGCCTTTGCATCTGATGTCGTCTGAGAGGTTGTGTCGGCACTGGTTGTGTCATCGACCCTGCTGCGCTTCGTCTTTGGACTCTCATCAGACTTGGTCAAGCCGTCTGCCGCGGCCGGAGGGGCGGTGGAGGCAGATGGCGCAGAAGACTTGGGTGCCTCTACCGCTACCGGCTCATCGTCTCTCTCAAGTTCACTAGATTTGCGCTTGCCAGATTGTTCAACGACCTTGTCCTCGGGCGAGTTCTCCCTAGATCTCTTGTTCTTGCGAGCCTGATTGCTCTTATGCGCGGGCTCCTCCTCTAGGTGCTCAACGTGTTCGTAACTTCGCTTTCGCTGTATTTTGGCGGCGCCTGTCTCGGGCTCGGGCTGTGAGATTGCGGTTGTGCCGGCTGCCTGGGGTGCGCTCTTGATAGAGGCATTTCTCAGTCTTTCTCTGAGAGGTCTCTCGCCCCCCTCGGTGTCGGAGGCGTGCGATTCCTTGGGCGACGTGGGCATTTTGGTTGCGGTAATGCTGGCGGGGAAAGCTGCAGTGTGGAAGTGAAGATTTGGGGTCGCGAGAAGCTACTGCGCGGAGAGAGAAGTCAAGAGGCGTGATGCGTGTTTGCAGGTGCTAATATTGATGCAGAAAAGGAGGGAGCAAAGCTGAGCAGGTTCAGAAAGCGGTAGAGGCGGCTCATTCAGATATGAAGCAGCTGTCTGTGTCGGTGGATTTGATGTCTTGTCCGAGGTTCACACTGAGCAATCGTCAAAGACACGGCTATGCGCGCTAAGATGACGATGAATAAGACTAGAACTCGCTGTTCAAGTCACAGTGCCAATGTATAACAAATGTTTAGAGAACACAATGCTTGTGCAAGCAGCAACCGCCGTGTGTCTTGATGCCATCGGCGGTCGCCCTCGCCGACTAGATCCAAATCGGCCATCATTGTCTTTGTCTCAATATTTAGTCAAGAGTCCTTCACTGTGCTTCCAAGACAGCTTTCTATTCTAGGCTTGTTCAAATCACTAGAACTTGCATGATCTGGATTGTGCCTAAGTCAGCAACAGCTGTGTCTCGAGAGATAATTCTGTCACACATAGTCTGAGAATTGATTAAATTGCTTTTACTCTCTCGCTCTCTAGCCATGCACCAAGCTTGCTTAACTGATGAAACACAAGCATCCCAAGCCAATATAGAAGACGAGCAGAGGGAAAACTGCAATGCCGACGCGATTCTTGACAACACCAGAGCCTCCAAGAATACTGACACCTGCAGCCAGTGACCATGCAACCAGCACAATATAAACAGGAATCCTAGCAATCATGGGAAGCCCAACCGCGCTGAGAGTTGATGCGATGACGAGTGGGAACAACGTGTATCCGATGATGCACACTGACTGGAAGAATGAANNCTGTCGCATATATTAGCATTTGAAAAGCGGCCAGCCGAGAGAATTAGCATACATGCTGCCTCCTAGAAGCTTGATTTGGAGTGTGACGACGGCTTCTCCGATCCAAACAGTAGCAAAGACTCCGGAGAAGACTATCGACTTCTGTTCGTCCTGTGCGCCGCGCGAGAGAAGGAAGCTGAGAAGCAAGCAGAATACGAGCGGGCCCNNCTGTTTCCATGTTAGCTCTTTGACAGCAAAAGTCGTGGTTGGATGTGCGTACCAGAGATCCCAGTCCCTCAAGCCCTCACTCATGCCACTCTGCAGAACGGTGTCTGCGTCTGGCCATCTGCCTACCAGTCCGTTCATACCACCACCGCTGAGACTGTCTCCCTCGGCTCTTTCTGCACCGCCCATACCTCCACCACGCTGTAGTAGACCACCTAAAAGATACTTGGGGTACAGCACTTGGCGCATCTTCTCCCAGATAGCGAGCAGGTCTCGTGATAGTGTATCCCAGACACTTTCGTCGATAGTATTTTGAGGTGCTCTACGGTCTTCACCACCGATAGTGTTGTTCAGATAGGACTGAGTATTTTGAGCGCGAGCAGCTGATTGTTGGATGTTGCCTGTCAGGGGTGCTCGGTCGGAGGATGATGCGAGCGGGTCTTCGAGGTCCAGAGCAGCNTTCGTACAATCAGTATCTGTCAACCCCAGATCTCTAGATAACCAAATACCATCATCTGGATCAATAAGATCGTCTTCGAGCGGATCCTGATCGTAGTGCTCGTATGGGTTCGCGGAAGCTGTTCCGCTAGGCATCATGGCGGCCATCTTGTTCGGTTGTTTGTGTATAGGTTATAGAACTAGCAGCTCGTGTTGGACAGTATAGCAGTTTCTTGCGAGATGTGTTGCGCAAATATCCTGTCTCCTGGATTGGAAGCTGCCAGCTCAGCTGCATGTCCACGCCAGGGAAGCTCAACACGAAACGCGTACAGCGGGAACTGCCGGCGTTCCAGCGCCGTCATCAATCTTCACATGCAAAACACCTCTCCATCTACTTGGAAGACAAATACGATACGTCTTTACTCATTTCTATCTTGATGTGTCCAGCTGAAGTGAAATCTGATCAACTGTTTCCTTCGGGGTCGTATCTCTATTGAGAGCCAATGGTGCACGAATAGTCATCGGCATGCGCTCCGGACCGAAAGGCTAATCCCTAGCTGTATACACAATAGGCTGAATGCATGCGAGCCAACACTCTTCCTCTGCTTCATAAGTACAACTTCCCCAGCCTTTGTTGTCTACTTCTCAAGATGCCGGACATCGCTTCTGCTGCTTCAAGCACTGTCTGCCATAGCCTGGACCCACAACTCGATTGCTGGAGAAATCGAGCCCCGCAATCATCGCTATGCGGAGGATTTGAATGACGGAGCATGCGGGTAAATACAGGTGGGCTGGCTTCAAGGCGTGGTGTTAGGGTTGTTCACCAGAACCATCTCCAATACCAAGTTTTTCTCCATCTCTGCTTCGTATTTTCTCCCCTTCTCCGACTGCACACACACCCAGCACACAATGCCCGACGCCATCCTAGACGACATCTCGCACCGACGCTTCAACCCGCTGAGGGGAAGTTGGATCCTGGTCTCTCCCCATCGTACCAAGCGACCATGGCAGTAAGAGACATGCATGCACTTCGGAACACAGCCCAAAGTACTTATACAAGCTCAGANNGGACAGCAAGAAGGCGCGTCGAAGACGACACTTCCTGATTATGACCCTTCGGTACGCACTGCTGCATAACCCACCCCGCTCTCAACAACTGAACAGCGCGACAGTNGCTACCTCTGTCCTGGCAACAAGCGCGCTGCCGGCGATTCCAACCCCAAATATGAGAGCACCTACGTCTTCGTCAACGACTACAGTGCTGTGAAGGAAGAGCAAGCCGAATACGAGCAGCCAGCCAACGATGGCAGTAAGCTTTCACCATCGCCAATATGGAGACTGGACGTTGACTGAACTCAGCTCNTTACTAACACGCTCTTGCGCGCTGAGCCCGTCACTGGCAAATGCTATGTCATTACCTTTGCTCCGACACACAACTTGACCCTCGCAGACCTTCAGCCCTCTCAGATCCTCCCTGTCATCAACACCTGGACCCAGATCTACACTACCCATCTGTCTCCCAAGTCCATCCTCGCCGAGGTCGCAAAACCCACTACTGTTGCTCCCCATGGCCAGGACCTCGCTGCACCGAATGCTCAATACCGCTACATGCAAATCTTTGAGAACAAGGGTGCTGCAATGGGATGCTCCAACCCTCACCCTCATGGTCAGGTCTGGTGCACGACCGGTACACCAGAAGAGCCCGCTCTTGAGCTGGAGAGCCTGCAAAAATACCGCAAGGAGCACGGTGGATCACACATGCTGGTTGACTATGCCAACCTCGAGTCTGAGAAGAAGGAAAGAGTTGTGTTCGAGAATGAATCCTTCCTCGCTGTGTGTCCCTGGTGGGCTACTTGGCCCTTTGAGGTCATGATCATCGCCCGCACTCACAAGCGTGCCTTGGTCGATTTCAACGACAAGGAGAGACAGGATTTGGCCGAGGCCATCGCAGAAGTGACAAGACGCTACGACAACCTCTTTGAGACCCAGTTCCCTTACAGTATGTTCCGAAGCAAATGCTGTTGGATCTCAAAACGCTAACGAACAAACAGGCNNATGGGTCTTCACCAAGCACCACTCGAAGGAACACCGGAAGAAATCGAGGCCAGTCACTTCCACATCCATTTCTATCCTCCTCTTCTCCGCAGCGCTACCGTGCGAAAGTTCCTGGTTGGTTACGAGATGATGGCGGAGCCTCAGCGCGACATTACTCCTGAGCAGGCTGCTGCCAGACTCAGAAACTGCGGTGGAGAGCTTTACCGCAAGAAGCTGAACTGATCTTGGACATGTTCGACCGTTGGGCAATCTTGGACACTCTATAGAAGCGAACCGCTGTAATCATCATTATCCTCGTTATGTATTATTTGTTTTGCTTGTTGGTATATGTTCAATACAGCAATTTTTCCAATATTCTGTCATGTCTCCGGCGCAATGATTGGCTATGGCTTAACGTAGTAGTCCCATTGGGTGTACATCCAGATCAAAGACGTGGTAGCAACAATGGCAGGTCCAGCGAGACCCTTGCCCCATCTTGTAGAACCAAAGACTAGCCACTCGGACATGAAGTGGGTAAAGGCCACAATGTATGTCCAGAAGGCCAGCTCGTACATGGGCTTGGTGTTGATGTTGTAAGCAGCGTACAGACGGACGATGGCAGTGATTGCGGTCCAGGTGCCAAAGGTGCGAGCTGAAAGAGGAGTGACGGGTGAAGCGTTGGGGACGGTACTGGCAGGCACACCAGCTGGGACCTTCTTCGAGCCGCAGTAGACTTTCTGCGTCGGGCCAAGCGAGAGGTAGGCTTGAATGCTGTTACCGAGCGATACAATCGAGATCTGCATGCGGTCAGAGATGAAGTGTCAATGGTTGGGACATTGCAGACGTACGAAGAAGATCCATTTGGGCAAAAGGCCCTCGGCTGGCGGAAGGTACTCGAGCAGTGAGTTCATCTTGTGACGATGGAGCTATACGACCAGATGTCGACCGCAAGAGGTTGTTGCGATTAGAAAGTAAACATCAGACGACTCTTTCGGGCCATGAAATTGGAGCCTCGGAGGCTGACTCGCCGAGACCCCAAGCCGAGACCTCCTTGAATGCGCCAACCACTTTTCTGACACCAGACTGAACAGCTTTCTGTCCATCGACAAAATCACACCTCCTCCATCTCAAACATGGCTGTAGTCATCGAGGATCCCTGGAAAGAGTCGGCCACTGCCCTATTTGCTGGCATTGGTCTCCTCTACATTTCCCTGAAAATCTTCAGCTTTTGGAGACTGATTGCTAGTCTGTTCATCCTGCCCGGGACCTCTGTAAGCATACCATGTCGCTTCTGTCTAGCACAATACTGACTGCCAGCAGNNCTTTCCAAGTTTGGTCGCAAAGGAACCTGGGCTGTTGTGACTGGTGCTTCCGACGGTATTGGCAAGGAGTATGCCTTGCAACTTGCAGCTAAGGGCTTCAACATTGTTCTTGTCTCTCGCACACAGTCGAAGCTTGACACTCTGGCCTCCGAGATTCAGTCCAAGTACACTTCTGTCCAGACCAAGACTCTTGCTATGGACTTCTCGCAAAACCTCGACTCCGATTTCTCTGCTCTAAAGGCTCTGGTATCCAACTTGGACGTCTCCATCCTCATCAACAATGTTGGTCTGAGCCATGAAATGCCCGTTCCTTTCGTTCAGACTCCCGAGAAGGAGCTCAAGGATATCATCACTATTAACTGCATGGGCACCCTCCGTGTTACTCAAGTTGTTGCACCTGGTATGGTACAGCGCCGTCGCGGTCTGATCCTTACTATGGCCTCTTTCGGTGGTGTTCTCCCGACTCCACTGTTGGCCACCTACTCCGGCAGCAAGGCTTTCCTTCAGCAATGGAGCAGTGCTCTGGGCTCTGAGATGAAGCCCCACGGCGTTCACGTTCAGCTTGTTCAGTCCTACCTGGTAACCTCGGCAATGTCTAAGATCAAGCGCGCCAGTGCTACTATTCCCAACCCCAAGCAGTTCGTCAGAGCTGCTTTGGGTAAGATTGGCCGCTCTGGTGGTGCTCAGGGTATTGCATACACCAGCACTCCTTACTGGAGCCACGGCATCATGCATTGGGCGCTTGGCACTTTCACCGGTACCATGAATTCCATCGTTTTGGACCAGAACAAGGGAATGCACGAGAGCATTCGTAAGCGTGCTTTGAGAAAGCTGGAGAGAGATGGCAAGAAGGGCCAGTAAATCTCATAGGCATATCTCCGTGCATCAACCCGCATCTGCACAGCCTCAACCAAACCCTACAAATCTGTTACTCCGGACAACATCACCACTTTCTACCTCGTCCAAAGTTCTGCTGTGCAGACATTACGCAGGCCCATGTTGTGGCACAATCAGCTAGAGCTCGGGTCTCGGACGGGAGTTGTCAACGAAGACAGGTTTGGGAACCGTGAGTGATGTCCTCAGTAGTGACACGCTTGTTGCAATATCGACGTGGGTCGTAACGAGTAAACATCAGACCATAAGAATAGATTTTATATAACTTCCCGTCATGCTGCATTCCCCTGCATCAACCATTGAATACCTCAGGTACCGCAAGGCACAGAAGCGGCTCGGAGATGATGGCGTTCATTGCGTGCAAAGTGGTGGTGCTTGATGCTGATGCGTGAAGAGCTTTTGATGTAAGAAGATGTCACTGATCCTCGATGGCACAGATGCTTACCGTACGAGGGCATGACACAGATGGTCTGCGATTTGCTGTAGCAGGGCGAGTCAGGTCGAACTGACCGTTTCCTGTAGTCAGGTATCGGCTGCAGTTTCTCAGGATGCGACGACGTCACGCGAGTTTCGGTCCGTGCACCAGCTTTCCCCACTCTCGCCGATCTTCGCGTGGCTCGTAACGGGCAGCAGCCTCCTCACCTTCGTCGCTGCCTCCCTCCTCTCTACATTGTAGGAGAAAACAGCAGCAGAGAATCAGCACCGAGACTCTCCATACAATCTTTCCAACATGCCTGAGAACAACACTTCCGAGGGCGTCGCCCAGACTATCCAGACAGCCCACGAGCGCGTCCATTCTGGTCCGTCTAGACATTAATCACAGTACAGCAGCATGAACCTGACAGATGCAGTGAACCCATTCATGGACCGCGAATCTTACCCAACCGGAAGCCTCAGAAGCTACAAGATTCTGACGGCCGCTTCATGGCTCCTCCTCGTTGTCACCAGCATCTACTACACCTTCAATGCGCCTACCGAGGGCAAGCACCACAGAGGCTCCATCTGGCACCAGAACTCGCACCACCACACTCCCTTTGCCCTCAACTCCATCATCACTTCGGTCTACATGATTGTGCTGTACATCCTCCAGATCGGTTACTGCTGGCACCTGTACTCGGAGAACCCCGTCTATGTCAAGGCCGCCGCTGATGTTGGCTCGCACTTCATCTTCAACAACCTGCTCTTGTTCGGGTTCATCCACCTGTGGTGCCGCAGCCACTTCTGGCTTGCCGAGATGCTGATCATCATCAACTTCTTCAACCTCTCGGCTCTCTACTTCAAGCACTCGAGAACCCCAAGGTTCATCCACATCCCCGTCGTATCTGGGCCCCTTGCCATCAACTACGTTCTTCTCTTCACTGTTGGTGCTGCTGCCGTCAACGCACACTCTCTGCCTGCTAGAGTCCTGGCCAATGTCATGATCTGGTCCATCATGGGCTACGGCTTCTTCTTCCTCGTCGCCTACAAGGACTACACCATGGGTTTCAACCTGAGCGTTCTCTGCGCAGGTAAGTCGGCCCTTAGCCACCGTTGCGAGTCAATCTAACATCATCTGTAGNCTCTCGGTGTCTCCCAGTTCCTCACCCACGTCATCGCATTCCAGTGGATCTTTGCCTTTGTCATCATGGGCGTCTTGTTCATCCTCTCCGTCTTGGTCTCGTTCCCTGGTATCATTGGTCAAGATCCCTTCAAGCGTGGTGCTGTTGTCGATGAGGACAGAGAAAGACAGCCTCTGCTCCAGGAAGAGTAGATCTCTCCAAAGAACACTTGACATATATGTTTATGCTTGTTTGAAGCAGGGATATGGGATTCTAGTTGGCACGCCATGAAGTGCTACACTCGAAGCTGCAGACCTGGCGCCACACTACGCCAGAATTGTTCTCGAAGGCGTATCGGTCGTGTGCCTCTCCACTCTCCAAGATCTTTATTCTGGCACCGACCTCAAACCGCTGTCACCCAAGAGTTCAAATGTTATTTCAATCTGGTGTCGTTTTTCTCTCGCAATGAAATGTTGGATTTGTACTAGATAACAAGACACTGAGATCATCGGTCTCCTACAAACTTGACTTGCCAATCCGCCACATGATAGCATAAATTGCATTGCACAATGAAGAAGAACCCTCTCATCACCCCAAACACATTTCCAAGCATGTGTTATTGTTGCCAGGCAATCTGAACGCCTTTTGTCCCAACTGGCAGAATGACAGCACCCATATAATCACTCTTTCCCTGTTCCTTTAGCATGATTCTCCTAGGATCGTCGTCCTCAGATACATCCGATCCACGACGTAGATCTGCCTCGCATAATTGATGACCATTCCTCTGAACTTGTCGTTTAGCCTTGTGTGTTGCAGAAGTGTCGACAGCGTTTTCAGAGTCGTCATCGTCCAGACAAGTGCCTTTCCATTCCAGCAACTGCAAACATCTAGAGCAGATGTTTGAGAGTAATGGAACGGTTCTTTCGTATCCTCGCTGACAGGCACCGTATTCGTTTGGTAAGAGGCGTGACGGGTTTCTGGGACAGAATTCGTGGATGGGCATGCTCGCGTGTCCGCATTTGTGGATTGAGGTTTCGATGCGACACATTCTTCGATCTTGACAGGTTTTGTGGATATGATGTTCTAGCGTAAACGAGGTAGGAATGACATGCGTTGCTTTTTTGCTGTATAGTGCCTGACAGTCAGCTTCCTTGGGCAGGGTTATATACCTGTTTCTTTTTCGACAGAGATCATCTTTACGGTTGCTCGGGCCGTAGCCAGCAGCATTGTGCTACAAAAGGTCACATGCGCTGGGCGCTATATCAATCTCCTCTGAGATTGTCCCACGGCCTTTTCTCCTCTTTTCTCCTTTACTCTTCGGCAGAGGCATTTCATGTGTGATCGGTCTCGTAGTTTTGGCGAACAAGACCCGGAGCGAGTAATCCCGATGGTTGGTTTAACATGTGGCACCCACATTGAAGAGTCGCTACTTTATCCTGAAAACTTCTCGATCTGGTTCTGTGAGGATGAATGATTGAATCTATGCGCTGGCTTTGGTATGCCGTTTCAGACTTTGCACATAAAATGGCAGCCTCGGCCTTGGGAAGCGATTGGTCGAATCTTTCTGGTTTCGAGGCAACTTCACAGCCTTTTCTGAAAGTTCGCTTGGCTCGGTACCGAGATGTGGATGAATTGTGTTTGGATGACAAGATAGCAAGGAAAGAGTATTAGAGGTCCCGGCAATGCTCTTCTGAAGATCCAGTCTTTGGATGTGGACATTGTCCAATTAGATGTGAGTTATCCGTCGGCGATGCCGTCCAGTTATCTCGAGTGTCTTTTTGCAACGAATAGATCTTTCGACTTTGTATATGCTGTTGCCTTGATCTTGTCGAAGATGTGGCCATGGATTAGATCTACCCCGCTCGTCTTGTCGAGTCTCTCCAATGAAGAGACGAGGTGGTGTTGTGCAAGAGTCGGGATCCATCAAGTAGTGCTGACTATGAACATACCTTCGATCTCGGATTACTTAATCGAGAGATCAGGGTGAGGACGAGGCGGTACCTGACTGTTGCGTTGAGAGGGTAGCGTTAGAAGATGTGCAACGTCAACAGCACCAGTGGTCGAAGAAGTCGACTACTCGATGGAAGGAGCGTATGGACACCTCTGCTGCCTGAGTATCGAAACCCCTGCTACCCCGACAGATTGTGGAGTCGAAGGTCGTCCCCACCATCAGTCTCATTTGCGCTCGACCACGACCTCGCTCTGTCATCTGTGCTGGTTCTGCCGACATGGACGCTCTTTGGTTCTGTACGTGAGTGCTTAGATTGAAATCAGGCAGCGAACAACAATTCATCGTGATGCTCTGCCCTCATGACCACGATGCTGAGGTCCAGTGACCAGCGCTGGCAGCCACATGCCGCTATTTCACGGAACGAAGGCATATCCCGACGCGGCACATGCTCGGAAGCAGTGTGAAGTCAACAGCCATCTGGAAGTCAACTGCTTAGGCTACATCTGATCGCAAGGCAATGACATCTCGCAAGTGATAGGCCATCGCTAGCAATATTAGCAATGGCAGCCGCAGCGTTCGAACGTACAAACAACATCCAATCCAGACCTCGGGACTTGATTCAGGAATGGCAACATTGACCAGATACCATTGCGAATCAACGCAACATTCTGGGTTAGGGCAGGCATTCGGACATGGCCGAGCCATTATCTTCTCTGGCACCCGCCTTGAAGAAACCCTTCTCGAGACCCAATACGAGAGTCTGGAGCTGAGATCTTGTGCAAATCCTCTGGCTTGGGTCCCAAGGACTACTGTCTTGATATGTTGGCAAACCCAACAGAGACCACTGCCGCCAAGGCAGGATTCAAGCCACATTTATGTGCGGCTGAACGTACCACATAACAGTACGTACCGAAGCCGTAAGAGGGCCAGACTGCCTTTCGGAGTTGTTTGAACCTTAAAATGACATCGAACTCACTATCATGCAATCCATAGCTGATGCATTCCTTGATAGGTTCGCAACGTGACAGGCTGCCCACCGTCTCATACGAGGTACCGGAGGAAATATGAGCTTGTCCCTCAATGAATTTGTCCGGATCCACAGGAACGATACGCCGCATACCCTGGTAGCTGAGCATATGCATCACAGTACCAGCGAATCTAGAAGAGATCGTACATGCCCCAAGAATGGATTCAATAGTGGCTTGTGGCGAGCCCATGGCGCTTGCGTGTACTGTAAGACGCTCCCTTGGCGACATATAACAAAGGCTGCAAGGTCACTCTGCTACAGGTTCTCAGTATCATCTAATTCACCTTCAAACTCTACCCCTCTTGATCGTTCGATCATGCGTCTCTCTCTATCAAGAGTGCCTCTTTTGGCCTTGGTCGTGCTCAATCTCAACATACACGTCGAGGCATGGCCAGCAATGGCGCAACATGCTGCTGAGATCTCTCGCCGCGCGCCTCAAGCGGTAGCGCCAGACGTCCCTGTTGATGGCGACCTTGTAAGGGTCGGCCTAGGGGACGTGAAAAATGGTGGCACTACTCCCGTCGGCACAAGCGTCTACAACATTCTCATGGGATCGGAAGCTGGCGACTCAGCCGTGGCTGGTTATAAACCACCCGGCATAGTTGGAACCAAGGCATGCAAGGCTGACACATGTTGTGTGTGGTGGTGGATTGCTCAAGCCATGACCATCGCCTTCACTGGACCTACAGGTCGTTGTAATGGCTTTGCTCGTGCAGCCATCCGCCTAGGCTTCCATGATGCAGGGTCATGGTCAAGCTCCCTTGCCGCTGCTGGTCAAGACTTTGGTGGCGCTGATGGAAGCATTATCCTATCAGGCACCGAGATCAATAGAGCAGGTTCGTCCTCAAGGTTCTTGACGCACTTCTTGTCTAAAGGCTAACACTCAGACTGACAGNACAACAACGGCTTGCAAGCCATTGCCAACCAAGCCCTTCTCTGGTCCAAGCTGTTCAATGTCGGTGTCGCCGACATCATTCAGTTTGCAGCTGCTCATGCCGTCGTTACATGCCCTCTAGGCCCAAGGGTCAGGACTTTCGTTGGCCGCAAGGACAGCACGAAAGCCGCCCCTGAGGGTTTGATGCCTTCTGTCACCATGAGCGCAGACCAGATCATCAGTCTCTTCGAGGACAAGACTATCCAGCCTCATGATCTAGCTGCTCTACTCGGTGCACACAGCACAAGCCAACAATTCAATGTAGACAAGACAAAAGCCGGCTTCGGTCAAGACTCGACTCCTGGTGTCTGGGATGTGAGTTTCTACAACGAGACCCTCCAGCCGGGAGTAAACAGCAAGGTCTTCAAATTCCAGAGTGACCTGGTCACTGCGAACGATACGAGAGTCAGCGACGAGTGGCAGGCTTTCATCGGCGACCAGAGCCACTGGAACGNNGGGTGAGTCCTTAATCATGCAAAAGTCTTTCCTCTTTGTGTAGGTGCTGACAACAGTTTGTAGGACTATGCTTCCGCCTATGTCAGACTGAGCATGCTTGGTGTCAACAACATCAACAATCTGACAGAATGTACAAAAGTTTTGCCGAATGCAAAGACTACCTTTGCAGGGGCATCGACGCCTGGTCTCTTTGGCAAGGCATAATGATTTGGTTGCGTTGCGTGATCTGTTATGATATACCCCAATAGATATTTAATGTTCAAATAAACAAACTTTCTAAGAGCCCTTGGTCCCTCCTCGTAGTATTGTAGCAAATGTCAACAGATAATGGTCAGGTGCAGTCGCCTACTTTCTAGCACTACTCCTCTCCAATCCCAGAAGCAAGTTCTACTTGAAATTCTCATGATCGATTAGTTGACGCTGAACGTTTGGCGCTCTACCAGTAGTCCAAATCTAGACCTAATTGGGTGGAGCAGGGCCAGTATACAAGTCTGCTGTACTCTCAGATTAGGACAATGAGTGAGTGCGCAGTTGGCCACTCACGGGGCCTGGTCCCGGTCAGCAAACTGTACTTTCGTATAATACAAGTGACAATACTTTTTCAGCCAAGCCTTCGAGCAGCTCAAACAGGTCGTCGCATGGACTATATGGGGAAAGAAGTAGATTTCCGAAACCCTAAGGGCATCAGAGTTCAGATGCTTGCCTCTTTCCCCGCACACCAACTTCCCCAGTCCGGCAGCCTGGAAAGAGGATATGCAAGCCACCTTTCTTAGCGAGAAAACTTCCCGGACGTCGGGTCTCTTGCAGCAGCCCTAAGCGTCACAACACTGCTCTGAACTCTTGTACTGAGCTCTGTGCACGTCTTCAGCAGCCAGCCAGTCAGCCTACGCAGAACAGTCAGCACGCCTCTGCGAGGTACAAGGCCTTGACTTCGAGCCCAGCCTGGATGATACAAGCGTAACAAGCATCGATGGGCCTCAGACTCGAAGCTGATCGAGGCTTGTCCAGACAGCAAACATGGTCATCAAGGTAGAGGACCATCGATGTCCGCCTCCCAAGGGTTCTGGCTGAACTCCGAATGTCCTCCACGGCACCCGTATCAAAGTTTCGTGGGCTCCGAGAATGTCGCCCGTCCGACAACTCTGTCAGAACATGGCCAGAACACTACCTTTGTTGGCTTGATACCAGCTATCTCAGCTATTCTCATATCCTGGAAAGGTGCATGATCCTACTCTTGCTACTGGCCCTGGACCATTGTCATGGTTTGGTGTCTCCGCTGTGTGGCTTGATAGCTACACACGCTGCGGACATCCAGACAGTACTCGAGTATGGTCAGCGATTGCGCTATGCTCGGCCAATCGAGATATTTCAAAGGCACACTCACAACATGACCGACTGTGTATATAAGGTTGTCTGTGGAAGCGCCTTGTGTTCAATCATCAGCACCATTGCCATCGGACTCCGACACTCGCCTTCAAATCATCTTCTCTTGTTCTTCAGACTCTTTCATCGTATACCGCCAACATGTTCACAAACCTTGCTTCTCTGCTGCTGGTTAGCAGTCTCGGCATGGTCGATGCACTCTCGATGCCAGAGGCGGCATCTTCCTTTACCTCTCTACTTGCATCTTCTCTCAACAACGCTATATCTAACACTCTTGTTGCCCGGAAGGGTGGCTCAGGTGGCTGTCCAGCGATCTGGACAACCATCTCTTCTGATCTCACCGCATCTTTCCTAGGCTCTGATGGCCAATGCACTGATCTTGCGAGAGCTGCTATCAGATTTGCATTCCACGATGCTGGTTAGTAATCAGATTCAATAGACGCCGCCTACAAAACTGATGTACCATACANNGGACCATACTCATCAAAGACAACATTCTTTTTACCTGCTGCAGGTGGTGCAGATGGTTCCCTTCTTCTCAATGCCGACGAGATCAAAAGACCCGAGAACGGAGGTTTGGGTGATTACCAACAATGGTTGATGACAAAGTACAATACGTACAACCGAAACGCAACCGTTGGTGCCGCAGATCTAATCCAGTTTGCTGGTTCTCACGCCGTCATTACGTGCCCCGGAGGACCTCAGATCAAGACCGTCGTTGGCAGAACAGACGATTCCCGGGCAGCTCCCGACGGCTTCCTCCCGGCTGGATTTGGCCCTAGCTCGTCTCATGATGTCTTGTACCAACTCTTCCTCGACAAGGGCTTTAGTGCTAGAGATCTGGCAGCTTTGCTTGGTGCACACTCCACTAGCAAAGCGTTCACTCAACAAGCCAACGGCATTCCTTACGGCGGCCAGCAAGACTCAACTCCTGGTAAGTAGACGTATCAGAACTCACATAGGAACCATGCTAACGCTCAAAAACTTAAGNGCAAGTGGGACATAAACTACTACGCTCAGGTCAACAGTCCTCCCGCTGGTACATACCGCTTCCAGGCCGACATTAATCTTTCCAACGCATCAACAACTGTTGGCAAGCAATTTCAGGGCTTCGTCGGCAACCAGGGCAAGTGGACCAGCTCTTTCGCTGATGCCATGGCCCGCTTGAGTGTGTTGGGCATTCCTGCTTCGGTGCAGGCCAACTTCATTGACTGCACAAACGCACTTCCCAGAGGCACGTCTTCGAAGAGAGATATCCGTGCTGCCCCCATCAATGATCGTGCGCGATAGAGGGACGCATTGGGAATTTATGAAGTTTATGGCGGCGTTGGTGGTTATCAATCTTTTCTCTCTCACATCACAAAAATTGCATAGATTTGTCTGCATAGTTGTCCCCAGATTGTGCCAAAATTGTGCTCGAACTATGCTCAAATCATGCACACAATGCGCAATGTTATGCTCAGGGTGCACTATTCTGCAACCTCACGTCGTGCCTGCCGCCTTCCTTTGCTTCGTATCTGCCAATTCACCATTCTTCTTGTTACTTATTAGTGATTTGCGTATTTTGAAACTTCATCACGACCAGACAACAACATTACACCCACAAATCAAGTAACCGATCACACTACAAAACACCTCAAATGTCGAGCCCAGAAACTACAAGACCAAACAACAATGATGAATTTGGTCTGACAACTCAACAAGACAAGATTCTAGCTTTGACAACACTCATCTCTACAATTTCACTGGCGACGTTGGATACCAAAGCCGGCTCACAAATGCTAGGTGGTGGAAAATCTGCACTCGCAAACGCACTTCCCCATCGCATCGACGTCTCACTGCCCAAAACACCGATTCTGGTTGAAAGTGTCTCACGCTCATACGTTCGAGGTGCTACGGCTTGTGCATTCTTCTATCTCGCGTACAAGGACTTTCGGGCTGCACAGCTGCGCCAGAAGAGGTTGGAAGATGAGGATGTTTCGGTATGGAGGTGGAAGTACTGGGCTGCATGTGGTGCGGCGGGTGTGCTGGCGCAGAGTCTTGGTCCGTTGCCTGGAGGTGTGTGGGAAAAGATTCATAAACCTAATGGTAACGTTAAGGGGCAGGCTCAGAGGCTGGGCGTAATGACATTGGCGAAGGGAGGGATTTTGATGGCTACCGTGCCGTTTTGTTTGAGTGCTTGGAGATCTTTGTGAGTGGTTTTTTGAGCAGTAGAAGTTGTGTTGGACTACTCCACTTTGCAATACCAACAAATTTGGTCATATCTGAATCTCTGTACTTTGCGTCGGCGAAACTTTGCGACGACGGAAAATTAGGTTATTTATGTTGTCACTATCTCGATCATAGAGTGATTTTCATCCCATCAAGATGCACGATTGTCTGGCAAAACTATCTGTATACCCATCATTCATAAACCATTATGCATTGTTACAAGAGAACAGCTAGGAGGACCATGTCTATGTGCGGTGTGATATGTTGAACATGCGTGTTAACTTGGCCGAGATGCTGGAGCCCAGGTTCGTCCGTGAGTCACGCTTATGCTCATGTAGAATCCTCATAGCAGTCCTCAGAGGTGGGGCCAAGCTAAATGCCACAAGCTCATACTTGTTCGGCGTAACGGCAAGTGTGTCTTCCACCAACCATGCCATGTCCAATTCGTCGACTTTGTGTTTGGCACTTCTCAATATCTTTGTGATTTCATGGTGTTTGGCCGCGAATGTATTGTTTTCCAAGGCTACTGCTCGATCAATTGCAGGAAGCAGTGAAAGATGCTGGATGGCCTTGAAGCATGAGGATATTCGACGGTAATGTGTCGTGACCCTAGGCAATATTGTCTTTTCGAACGTTTGGAACGCCATCTTCTTTGCCTTGACCATTGAGTGGGTAGGATATATTGTAACATCGGCTCGCTGCTCGCAGACATCGAGCCATGACGATGAAAAAGTGTGCTCGCATGTGCCGAGGGATGCCCATGAATGCAAGGTCAGCTCAAGGCCTTCTGCTGGCATATCAAAGCCCTCTCCTCCAGCTTCATCTGTATGGAATCCGTCACCGTGGTATGCTGCTTCCAAGCACAAGCACGTATTGCAGCCTTTGCACCAGCTCAAATCAGTCTTCTCCCAGCCCTTTCCTCGATCGAACATGCGAACATGAGAGGATATGAGCAGCGCCGAGATCTTCCAATAGATTGTTTTCGCCAGCTGATAATGTTTGCACACTTTGAATGCATCCGTAGCATCTTGCACAGGCTCGATGGCCCCGAATCTATACTCGATCTGTCTCTCGGTGAAGAAGAGACGTTGGGTGGTATGTATCAAGAGATTTCCCTTTACAATCTCTGATCTCAGCTCGAATTTGCACAAGAATGGACTGTTATGGGTGTTTTTGATCACTTTCCAATCCGTGCTTATCGATATGCTTGATAGAGGTGCACCGTGTGACCCTCTCCATCGATATCGATTCATAACCATCTGTACATCCTCAAACTGCAAGTGCACACCAAATTTTGGCCACGATAAGTGCATTCCCTTTTAGGTACCGCANGGACAGGAAAGCCACTCATTTTCTGGCCTCGAGGTTTTGGGTAGTGGTTTGGGATGGAACTTTTGGCAGTAGTCGCAGAGGAGATGTGTGGGTGAATCTTTCCTCAGCATTCTGACAAAATCCAAGTAGTCATGGTTGCGATTCTCGATGCCTGGGTAGCAAGGGTAGTCTGTGTGCGGACACTTGCCGGGAGAAGCAAGCGGGTCCAGTCCTTTGGTCCAGACATTCCGGAGTGGCTGGCTGTTGTAGAGAGATTTGCAAGTCAGGGATAGACAAGCGACGCAGGAAGCTGGGAGGTGATCGGTTATGTCAAGAATTATATCCAAAGGTAAATTGCTGAATTCGGTGTGCTTTGGTGGTGTGTGTTCTTCATCGTTGGTAGTCGGCAGCATTTTGCGTTCCATGATTTAGCTTTTTGTCAGGATGAGTTTCCGACGGAGAGTTGTTATACCAATAGATATAGGAATCGTCAGTAAGATGGAATGGTGGCGAGCAAAATGACTCTTCGATGTTCTAGTCATAAGCAAAGGAAATATTGGCTGTGGTCAAGATCATTTGAGCAAGTTTACAAATTTTACCTTTCCACATGCTCACCTACCCTCATGATGATTTGAGCGTCAGAGCTAATAGCATTCATCCCAACAACCATTGATTCACGTGCTTAGACCCTGCTTCACTGACTAGAAGCTACGTAACAGAGAATGCCCAGTACAATTAACTGTCCTCGCGCTCCACATCTGTCCATCACTCTTCTCTACTTCCCACAATCGAATATGCGGTGGCGTTACAGAACGATCCATACGCAACCAAACACCACGAACTCACGAGACTCCTAAGATCTTACGATCACTTACCCGACTTCAACTGTATGCAAATCTTGATTGACGCCGAGCTCGGTTCGTCGCACGAGACGCACTATTGTATCAAGAGGAGCTCGCTCAAGAACCTGAGAGCAGCGAAACAGATCCTTAGAGAGCACAGAAGAGACCCTCAAGGTGATCCATGAACAAGATTATGCACCCACATGTCCAGAGAACTGCTGTATGGGTTGTCCGATGAATTTGAGCATATGTTGAGGCTGAAGAGCATCGAGTCATATCCATGCAGACTGACTGAACACCAAGGTTGCCATATCTCCTGGAGGCAAGTGTGTTGCCAGTATAGCTGTAGTAATGTACAATAATCTTGCAGCCAAAGATGTGTCCAAGGAGAGCCAACAAAATCGTGGAACTAAGTGAACACTTGCTCTGGCCAGAAAGTATCGTGTATTCTTATAAGTCACTCTCACCATCGATCGTGGGAGAGGAGCAAGGAGTGATTGAGTCCGGTACGCGAGGAGCGAGCGCTGATGAAATTCGACTGTGACCTAAGTCAGCATCGAGACACGGAAGAATGAAATGAAGGAGATGTTGTGTTGACCTGGCTTAGGCGGGCGGTCGCGCCTACTCTTTCAACTCCGCAAAACCCTGCTTCCCAATCTCAGAAAGATGAGTCAAGCTATTGTTGAGTTCACCGCAATGCACAATCACTTGTGAGACGGCTGTTTGTCCCCTGAGAGATTTAGAATGATAAAAAAGTGATAGAAAAAATTCAGAAGTGTGCAAGGTATCCTAATGAGAAAAAAATGAACCAAAAACAAGCAATAAGAAGGTCGGGATAAGGGGGCGACAGGCGCGAAATCAAGATTCCTGCTCTCGAAGCGCCTTGATGCTTTTGTTCCAAACCCATTCTCATGCCTCGCATTATGTACAACTCTTCGTCGTCGTCTTATTCATCCCACTATGCTGTTGTGGGCTTCGTATCCTAATCGTAACATCTCTTTATTTGTTGACGGGCGAGTCGGCCTGGATGGTGGGGTTCTCGCCGTGGGCGAACTTGGAGTCGGTCTCGAGGGGCTCTTGGGGCTTGTCTGTAAAGAATGTGTTAGTTGAGGTCGTTTTGGTGTACTGAGTGGCAATGTGCTTACCGTGACGAGCGTAGAGGTTGTACTCCTCATCAGCGTACTTGCCGACCTTGCCAGACTCGACATCTTTGCGGGTCAGCGAGAGCTTGCCCTTGGGCAGACCCATACTGCCAAGGTAGCTGACGGCATCCTTCCACTCCTTGTCCTGTCTTGACTTGCTCCACTTGTACTCGTCGGTCATCATGTCAATAACCTTGGGCAGAGCCTCGAGGGCAGCCTGTGCGTTCAAGAAAGCGAGACGGGTACGGCGGGCAATGACATCGACAGCGGTCTCGGCGTACTCGTGGCGCATGGCGTAGCGAACCTCGCCATCAACGAAGGGGTAGAGCTCGGAGATGCGGTTGCCACGGACAGGGAAACGTTGTTCGGTAGGCTCGCAGAGGGCGGCGACTTGCCATGCACGATCACCGTACGACTCGGCCAAGTGCTTGGCGACCTCGGTCTCGATTCCGTAGTGCTGAATCAGGTTGATGAACAGAGTCTTGCTCCAGCCGTGAGCACCAACAAGTCTGACCTGGTGAGTCTGACAGGTACCGTTGAGAGTGGCGGCGTCGTTGAAACCTTCAGAGCCCGAGACACGAGGAGGGTTGGAAAGAGGACCGGTGCTAAGCTTAAACTCCTTGATGGCTTCGTCGACAGTCTCCTCAGCCATCTGGCGATAAGTGGTCCACTTGCCGCCAGAGCAAGTGATCAAACCGCTGTCGCTGGTGGTAACGAGGTGGTTGCGGACGAGACCTTCAGATTTGGACTTGTTGGGGTCGCGGACTAGAGGGCGGATACCAGACCAGGCGGCAAGGACGTCGCCACGGCGGACAGTGATTTCGGGTTTGAGGTAGTTCTTGACTTCGGAGAGGATCCAGTTGATCTCCTCCTCGCCGGCGATGGGGTTCTGGTTGATGTCGCAAGGAGTGTCGGTGGTACCAGCAATGGTGTTGCCCTGCCATGGGAGGAAGAAGATGACACGGCCGTCAGAAGTGTGGGGGTCAATCATACCCATGTTGGCGGGAGCGTAGTAACCGGGAAGAATAACGTGAACACCAGATGAGGGAGCGACAATCTCGGCGACCTTCTGGTCGTCCATCTTGCGGATCGAGTCGGTGAAGGGACCAGTGGCGTTGATGACACCCTTTGCGCGAATGTTGAACTCGTCAGAGCCGCCGTTGGCCTCGGCGACCAGATCCTTGACGCGAGCGCCATTGAGTCTGCCGTTTTCGTCCTTGGTGAGAGAAGTGACTTCGATGTGGTTGACAACAGTTGCGCCGTAGAGAGCAGCAGTCATTCCGAGAGAGACGTTCATGCGGGAGTCGTTGTGGGCACCATCTNNGCTACTGTCAGTACACGCGGCCACGCAGTTATACGCCCAAGAAGACTCACCGTAGTAAACCAGAGCACCGACCAAGTTGTCCTTCTTCAGCATGGGGAATGCGTTGAGAGCCTTGGACTTGGTCATGAAGTAGGAGGTTTCGATGTTTTCAGAGCCGGCGAGGAAATCGTAGAACTTGGTGCCTGCCCAGAAGTAGGGAGCTTGCCACCACTTGTTGATAGGAATCATAATAGGGAGCCATGACGAGAGATGAGGTGCGGTGTCCAGGAAGAAACGACGCTCGCGGAGAGCCTCCTTGACGAGCTTGTANTCTTTACAAATTATCAGCATCGGGAGCAATTGCAGGTTTGGATCAGAGTGAACGCACTGGTTGTAATCGAGTTCCCAGACAGCCTTTTCGAGATATCTAACACCACCGTGGACGAGCTTGGTACTCTTGGAGCTAGTACCCGAGGCGAAATCGTCTCTCTCGACCATGGCGACCTTCAAGCCGCGAGTGGCAGCGTCGAGGGCGATACCGGTACCAGTGGCACCGGCGCCAATGACCAAGAGATCGTACTCCTCGGCCTTGCTGCCTTGGTTATCGGCTTGGACATCACCAGACGAGCCGGTGACAGCCTTGGCGACCTTGTTTCCGGCATCCTTCAGGGCACCCGTCACGGCACCAGCTGAAGCCTTGAGGTCGGCGATTTGGGCAGCGCGGGACTTGATCTCGGGGAAGCTGGGAGGGTTGAAGACACCACCCTCGCCGTAGGTTGGCGGCGGGACGGCTGCGGCCTCTGAACCGGGGATCTCGCGGGGTCTGTAGATGGTGTAGAGACCGCCTGCGCCGACCACACCGGCGGCCGAGGCGTATCCCAGAGCGCGGAAGAAACGATTCGATCGACTCGCCATCCTCTGTTGATTGTGAATGAAGGAGAAAGAGGGAGGAGCAGAGGGAGCGCGGCCAGAAAAGGTTTCAGTCGAGCACTCAAGGATTGCGGCCTTGGTGAGGGAGCGGCTATGATGCAACGGATGTCCAAGCTTGTGGGTATTCTCCACGCTGATGGAGGATTGAGTCCACAATCGTGGATGGAGCGGCCCTACCACGGTCGCTTGTGTCTACATTCTCCACGGGCAATCCTGCATGCGTTGAGCGCCCGCATCCTCCTGGACGCTGAAATATTGACCGAAGGATGCCCCAAATGTCACGACTTGCGCTCTTCCCTCCGCAGCTGGGCGGCGGAATTTCAGCGCCCAGCACCTTGACATGTGAAAACAACTGCGCTAGCCACGGATCTTAGCTGTCGCACGTTTCCGCCAATCGGCCTCTTCCAGCGCAACCCCTTGTGGCTTGGACATGGTGAAGTCAAGATTTGGCTGATCAGCTTCTCATCTCTGCTTGGCGTTCGACGATCCTTTCTATCAACAGTTTGCAACACGACGCTCAGCACACCTTCTCCAGTCTTTTTCCTCCAACAATTTGAAACCCGACAACATCGCTCCCGTCATGCCCCGATCATCCTTGGCGGCTTCCTCGATTTGTTGCCAGCTCTCTCGGTTAGACCGGGCAGAGGAAATAACCCGGACTTGTGACTGCCATTGCATCCTTGAAATCTTTACTTCATATCGCATCGCTATCGACTTTGTATGAAACACGCACCAGTACACGCTCAACACCAAATTTACAGCGCCATTGGTTCCGTAACGTCTAATCATGCTCCGTCTATCCCTTACGCCAGTCATGCCTCTGCTGCCTTTAGCAGCCCCTTCAGATCGATACTCTTCGGTCTCTCGATTGGAAGACCCAGCGCGCGGTCCCAGATGAGCTGTGCAAGCGGTCCAAGACCTCTGCTGACTCCGAAGATGGCTGTGTAGTACAGTGTCTCCTGGAACCCGTAGTGGTGGAAGAGTACTCCTGACCCAGAGTCGACGTTGGGGTATGGGTTCTTGGTCNNTGCCATGCTGTCAGCGACGAACTCGTCTGAAAAGAGATGGATACAACATACCTTTCCGTGTTCAGTCAACACGCCAGGGGCGATCTGCGAATTTGTCTTGACCAGCTGGAACAGGCTGTTGTTCTTGATGTCTTCGTGCGCGTCACCGAATGCCAGCAGAGCATCGAATCTAGGGTCAGGCTTGCGCAGCACTGCGTGTCCAAAGCCAGGAATTACTCTTCCACTCTTGAGTGTGCTCCACAAGTAATCCTTGACGTCTTTTTCGCTAAAGTCGTTGCCGATGTGGTCTCGCATTTGCAAGATCCAGCGAAGCACCTCTTGCGCTGCAAGACCGTGCAAGGGACCTGCAAGGCCTTGCAAACCAGCCGAGTATGACAAGAAAGCATCCGAGAGAGCAGAACCAACCAGGTGAGTCGAGTGGGCCGAGACGTTGCCTCCTTCGTGGTCACCGTGCAATGCACAGTAGAGTCTGAGCAAATCCTGGAAGCCCTCGTTCTCCTTACCGCCTTTACCCAGCATTGCAGCATAGTTGTAACACCAATCTTGCTCGGGGTCCGCTTGGGCGGGTAGAGCACCGCCACCGTGGTAAGAGTTCTGGTAGATCTTGGCTGCAATGGTAGGCAGTTTTGCGATCAGAGAGATTGAGTCCTCAAAGGTCGGCTCCCAGTAATCAGCCTTGTTCAGTCCCTTCTCATATGCCTTGGCAAAGACACTAGTCTTGTTAAGGGCGGACACGGCGCAGGCAAACTGGGTCATGGGGTGCATGTCCGGAGGGAAGTTGTCCAGCATAGTCTCGACATAGTCTGGCAATGCGGCTTTCTCGGCCAGCTCGCGGGAGAACTGGCGCACTTGATTTGTGGTTGGCACTTCACCTGTGAGTAGCAGCCAGAACATAGCTTCGGGCAACATTTCTGATCCGGTCTTGCCCTTGGGGAGCTGCTCCTGACAATCTTTGATGGTACGGCCATGGAAGCGGATTCCTTCGTTCGCGTCAAGGACGGATCCTTCCCAGATCATGGCAGTGAGACCTCTGGCCATGNNCTTAGCTCAACGGAACAGTGTCTGATGTGGATAGGCCTACCTCATTCCTCCCAAGCTGTTCTCGACCTTGACAGCACCAATGCTCTTGGACGCATGGCTCTTGACTTGCTTGAGGAGATCGCGTTTGACAGGGATGACTTTTGCGAGCGTATCTTTGAGACTGGGTTCTGCGATTGTTGCGAAGCCTTGTTCTGTNGCAACTGTTAGGTACGTTGACCAAGACACAGATCCTTAGGAAGACGAACGAGCTTGAGCAGGACGGTATTGAGTAGCNCTGATTGTTATCTGGTTAGCACGTCATGTCTGCTAGAGGCATGGTGTTGTTATTACCTTGACATTTCTTAAAGCCCTCAGGGCAGTGCGAGAGTTTGAAGCCATAACGTGTCTTTCTAGAATACAAAGATCCAGGTACCGTTCAGACAATGGCAGGAGGCTGCTCGAGGAAGGAGCTTACTCATAATAGAAGCGCCTCCACAAGGTAGGGCGCTGCGGGGAAAGAGCGCTGCAATCGTGGGATGAGCGAACCTCGGTCGGCTGCTTCGGTTATGACGCCCGGAGCGATGGACCTCGCCGCAATACCCGCACGCCGACGGCAACAAGGAGACATATGCCTGGGGAATCTGCAATTTGCACTGAGCATCTCGTCGAGTCCTTGAGTCTCGCTATACCATTCTCAGCATGCGTCGAGCAACCATACAGTGCCTGCAACGGCGTCCACTGTCGAAGCTCCATCTCACAGCTCGCCCTGCCCCTCGCTACATCTCGTCAAGCCTGGTTCGCATGTCTACCTCTTTAAAATCTGTTGATCCACCTTTACCTTCAGCAGAACCAACATCGTCCTTCCAGCTATTGTCAACAGAAGAAAAGGTTGGAGCTTCTGAAGATGCTGTCTTCAATGACCAAGTCAAACAGGTTCAAGACTGGTGGGCCTCGCCTAGATATAAAGGCATCAAGAGGCCATATTCTGCAGAAGATGTCGTCGGTAAAAGAGGAACTCTGCAGCAAATCTATCCTTCCTCGTTGATGGCTCGGAAACTCTTCAACCTTCTGGAGGAACGGGCTGCTAAAGGAGAACCTGTGCACACAATGGGAGCCATCGATCCTGTACAAATGACACAGCAGGCGCCCCATCAGGAAATCCTGTACGTCTCTGGATGGGCCTGCTCGTCTGTTTTGACCAGCACGAATGAGGTGTCGCCTGATTTTGGTGACTATCCTTACAATACAGTCCCCAATCAAGTACAACGTCTCTTCAAAGCACAGCAACTACATGACAGAAAACACTACGATGCAAGAAGGAAGATGTCTGCCGAAGAGAGAAAGACAACGCCATACACTGACTACCTCCGGCCAATTGTCGCGGATGGTGATACTGGACATGGTGGTCTTTCGGCAGTCCTGAAACTAGCCAAACTCTTTGCTGAGAATGGTGCTGCGGCTGTCCACTTCGAGGATCAATTGCACGGAGGCAAGAAGTGCGGTCACTTGGCAGGCAAGGTTTTGGTCCCTGTCGGCGAACACATCAATCGCCTTGTTGCCACACGCTTCCAGTGGGACATGATGGGTTGTGAAAACCTGGTCATTGCTCGCACAGATTCAGAGAGCGGCAAACTATTAAGCAGCGCCATCGACGCCCGCGATCACGAATACATTCTCGGTGTGACAGAGGATATCGAGCCTCTGGCAGAGACTCTCCAAGTCATGGAGATGAATGGTGCAAGCGGTGCAGAGATCGATGCCTACGAGGCCAATTGGGTTAAGGAGCATAAACTGGTTACTTTCGATGAGGGTGAGTCGCTATAAATCTGCTTGACATGCATGTGCTAACCTTCACGTTTCANNGCGGCGGTTGCTCACATCAAGAATGAATCATCTGATTCGGACAAGGTCGCAAAATACGAGAGCGAGATATCTGCAAACCGTAACCGACCTCTAAATAGCCGTCGTCAGCTTGCTGCATCCATCGCAGGCTCTCCTGTTCAGTTCAGTTGGGATGTCCCGCGCACAAAAGAAGGGTTCTACCACTACCGCGCCGGACTCCCCGCAGCAACAAAGCGTGCCATTGAGTTTGCTCCGTTCGCTGATCTGTTGTGGTTGGAGACTGCAGACCCAAGCGTGAAAAAGGCTGCAGGCTTTGCCAAGGAGATCAGAGAGGTGCATCCTGGAAAGAAGCTCGTCTATAACCTCAGCCCTAGCTTCAACTGGATGGGACACGGTTTCACTGAGGACCAGCTAAAGAGTTTCATCTGGGATCTGGGCAAAGAAGNNGGTAAGCGATCCAATCACCGTTGCAATGACCAGCTTGACTGACACATCTGCAGATTTGTTCTTCAACTCATCTCTCTGGCAGGCCTGCACAGTACCGCCACGATCACCAACGAGCTCGCCAAGGGCTTCAAGACCGATGGCATGCTGGCATACGTGAACCTGGTCCAGCGTCGTGAGCGTGAACTTGGTTGCGATGTACTCACACACCAGAAATGGAGTGGTGCAAGCTACCTCGACGGTATTCTGGGCAGCATCCAAAGTGGTAGCAGCAGTAGCAAGAGTATGGGTGAGGGCAACACGGAGGGAAGTTTCTAGATATACACGTCGGTCGAGATCTGGTGTGAACCAAGCTTGATGTTGACGGATCTTTGCACTACTGTGGTGCAGATTTCTTCAGATACGGATTTTGATGGTGTGACCCTGACCAAATTTCAGTATATACCACCAGGGGCACAACACTACCATTATGGATTTCTCTCTTATCGCAAGTGATTGCACCGCTCAGAAATATCCTATTGCCATTGGTGATGTTCCAATAGAACTTCTGACGACGGCCGTAGTGTGCGGGCTTTCAATTCGACTTGAGTCACCAATGAGCAAGTTTAAAAAATATAGCCAGGCTGTTTTGTCTTCTTCGAAACAAAGTATCAAAACTCCCCAATATTGCCGTCAAGACATCCATCAAGACGACAAGATTTTTGCGACAGTATTGCCATCGAAACGTAGTCCATCTCGAGGCTAAGTACCCTGAGGTTGAGTATACTGGTCACATTATCGTCGACAACTACCACCGCTGATACTCTTTCTGAACTTACATTCTCTCCAACAAGCACATCAACCACATCAACCACCATGTGTCAACACTTTGCTCGCCATGGCGGATCCACCATCCGAACGCGTCAGATCACAAGGGTAAACCAGACCTATTCGGAAGGCACCGGCGTGGTCCACAACATCACCTTCGTTAAAGCCATCAGCAGAGACACTTACGAAGGCCAATTGCGTGGTGGACAACGGTTTACAGTCACCAAAGACGACATCCGCACAGAGCCAAGCATATACCAGCTTCGTAAGGAGCCGGGCCACCATAACTGCTTCCAACTGATATTCAAAGCGTTTGAAAGGTATCGCGAGCTGAGATTCGTTACGCCGGCATGTGGGCCCATGCAACAAGACATGCCAAACAGAGCGAAGAAGGTATTCCAATTCTGTGATGGCGAGAGCGTCACAGATTTGGAGCTGAAAGAGGATGAAGACATCGAGGAATACAATATTGTCGAGATTAAAGACCGTGATGACGATACCATGAGGAGATATCTCAGAGAGACGGGATGGGTGTCTTCCAACAAGACCACTCAATCTGCAAATGACGAGGATTGAAGCCAGCATCAACTGCTAGTGACCATCACAGAATCCCTTGCCAGATGCTCTCAATACTTGATACCAGTTGCGGAAGTCACAACATTTGCGAGAGAGTGACAGGCTTGGACAGATCTGCTGGAGGTCAGTCTTGTATGACCGATGTAGTATCAAGCGGGCCAAGGTACACCTCGCTTGGACCGCAACAGAGATCGAACGCTGACACTGCGAGCAGGCACACTATTGTCACCGGATTTCCGACGAGAGCAGAAGACTATGGCGACTTTGATCCGCGTATCTCATGATAACAGATCATGACTAGACCGACCAAGCAATGTGGCGCCGATGGTAGCAGGACCGACATGTCGGGATCTCACATCTCCAGAGCATTAACCCCACGTCCATGTTCCGGGATTTGAATACGACTCCAGGACATTTGGATGCATGTAGGCTTCAGGCGTGATCTCAGGTGATCGGGTAAAGTCAACAGGACAAGGTGGTGACACCGCATCCAGCGTTCGGTGTGAGGATTTACCAAGAGCCGCGCATATGCAAGGGTGTATTGCAAATGTTGTTCTTGTTGTCCCAAAATCTCTCTTTGTGATGTGCCTCAGTGACAATGCAGCCAGGCAAACTTATGGCCTAGTCTTGATACACGCCTCGAGAGGCACAACGAGTCTTTGGTGTCAGTCCATGCACACATCAATATGACCAAATCTATGTGCCCCATCTCCAGGACCACAAATAAGGCATATCGTGAGTGAGTGAGTGAGTGTTGATGACATGATGCACATATAGGTGTGCTCGAGATTGTATACATGAGATCGACAATAGGCTGGCTGTAAGAAGGCATATTGTTTCGAAATCGATGATGAGTCGGTCGAGGCTGTCGATAGCAGACCGTTAGGAGGGCAGGACCGATGTTTCACGATTTCGAGGAACTATGCAACAGCTTCTTGAAGCGGATGCTGTGCAACACGAGACAGGTGGACGAATAACGGTCTACCAGACGTTTGTCCAAGTCTTGATGCCAGGGGTGAAGAAGGATAGATCGTGATGAAAAATCCTTCTGTTGGCAGTTGAGGAAGTTGGAAGGAGCGGCCAGGCCATGACTCTTGAAGCTGCAGTTTGTGGGCATGCGGATCGACTTGCAGCAAAACCGAGCTCCAACTTCCAAGGGCAGACATTCGGGAACCGGAACAGTGGCACTCGAACCGACAGCCTGGATGCTTCCAAGCCACGGCGTCGAGTGGCTCGTCGGAAGTCGGAAGCATTTTGACAGGCAAAAGTCCCAAACGCCAGCGTTGCCCTCTCCAAAGCTCGCATTCCGGTCATGGGTACGCGCATATCGCGCTTTCCTCCAAGTCCAGCCAAGGCGATTAATCAATGGACAACTGTCGGAAGCCATCATTCTATTCGTGCCTCGTAGTCGAATAAGCAAACCATTCTCAGCGATACGAAAGAGGGGTGTTTAGGATGAAGAAGCTTTGAGCGCATTTTAGTTCCCGCCTTCGCGCGTTTGCCCGGCACGTAGGCGCTCCAGATACATGCAGCTAATAAGAATTGGCCAACAACTGCCATCTATGAATTGCATGGTTGCTTGAAGAAAAGAGGGCAAACTGTTTTGCCCTCTTGCGTCAGTTTCTATGAAAAGATCTGTCCCCCTCCCCTTGCCACTGTAGGCCATTCTGCAGTTGCCAATTACAGTATTAGCAAGGAATGACTTCAGAGACGTCGCCTGGGACGGCGGCGTCTACAACATCCGACACTCTGGCAACCTATGTCACCGACTATCGTATGGAGAATGGTCGAAGGTATCATGCTTACCAAGAAGGCAGCTACTGGGCAAGTTAGCCCTTGTTTTGCACCAAAAGTTCTAAGGATTAACGTATTCAGGGTCCCAATGATGAGCAATCCTGCGAGGGCGAAAACCTGTCACATACCATGTACACACTAACCCTTGGTGGGGAGCTGCATCTGGCGCCCATCAAAACTCCGCGAGAAATCCTGGATGTCGGGACCGGCACGGGCACCTGGGCAATCCAGATGGCCGATAAGTTTCCCGAGGCCCAAGTTACTGGAACGGACCTGTCACCCATACAGCCGGATCTTGTGAGTTAAACCAAAGATCCAGATACCACGACTGGTGTTACCATTCGACTTCGTGAGGTCATACTGATTGTACCTTCGCCCTAGGTGCCTTGCAACTGTGTATTCGAGATTGACGACGTCTCACTGGACTGGACGTGGGAAGATAATCAGCTTGACTACGTCCATGTTCGCGAGATGTTTGGCTCCATCAAAGACTGGAATCTATTCTGCAGCGAAGCCTACCGATGCGTTGCGCCTGGTGGCTACATCGAGATTATGGAACACTCGACCTGGCCGGTACGATGACTGCCTTTGTATCCTTTGGAATGTTGTTCAGCTAACGAGATGTCTTGTAGGNTTAGTGATGATGATTCGTTAGCCCCTGATCACTTCTACAACACCTGGGGCCAGACTGTCAACGACCTTTCCGTGAAATGGGGCAAGACCTTTGATACGTGGAAAGAGAGTAAAGCTCTGTTGGAAAGAGCTGGATTTGTCGATGTCGTCGAAAAACGCTTCAAGTGGCCGATGAATGGCTGGTCCAATGACCCGACACTCAAACAGCTCGGCGAACTGAATCAGATCCGCTTGGTAGACCACATTCAAGGGTTTACCCTGAGGTTGTTGACCGGCGCTGGGGAGGTCAGTGAACTCACAGCATCTATTAATTACTGAAGCTGACGAACGATGCAGTGGCCATTACCACGTAAGCCAGCCTGAAGATGCAACCGCGATGACGAACGCTGGCACTAGGTTCCGTTCTCTGCAGTTTGTCCCATGAAAATGGATCAGCGTCAGAGGCGAACACCACGGTCAAGCTGAGTCGTGGTCTTTCCGTTATTTAATGGTATGGGATCATGCTGATTGTGCTTCGCTCCAGGTGCTCACGTTTTTCTTGCCGAGATGAGGAATGCTCTGAAAGACACCACTTGCCATGCATATCAAGACGTGTAAGTTACTCGGGATGTGTGCGCTGGCTGGCATAGATTGACGGTGTTTCTTCACAGCAGCGTTGTGTATGGTAGAAAACCATCATGAGCCATTTCGCCTTGGAGTGTTCGAAACCCTCATAAAACAACCTAATATCGCCGAACACCTCGGGAGACTTATCTGCGGATCCTCTTTACACGCGGGATAGCTCTACTCGATGCACAGTGTGCAAAGACTGAGTTGATCCGAATGTCCATTAGGTGCAGGCCACAACTCGAATGCGAGAGCACACCAGATTCGGCAACATGACTTTGGTATGCCACTTATTGCATAGGATGTCACAAAGAAATTCTTGTCAATCTTGACAACATCGAGCTGATCGCTGTGGTCAAGCTGCTGTCTCTGACCCCAGCAACTAGACTGATGGCTCCGCGCCAGTACAATCACGAACCGGACCCCAACCTAGGAATATCACATCAGGAAGCATGGATTCGTGATAATAAAGATCATATATAGGAGGTATATGATATTATGGCGGGTCATGTTAATTCACATATCCTAAAAGCAGTTGCGAGATCCTTATGTGAGCACAATGCATTCAACCTTCAAGCGCTATCTGAGGTCGATGACCATCAATCATCGAACTATGTTCTCAAATACTGGCGAATCGATGCAGGCCTTGATTGAATCACCTGCACGGCTTTTAGAAGCTCGAATGATGAGAATAAGTCCCACGGTGGTATGCTCAGCGAGTATGGCCCGTCACCTGTGAATCTGTTTCTCCTCTTTTGGGCGAGAGCTTGTAAGGCTGTGATTCTTAACATTTCGTGTGATGGTAGCCGCAAGGTTGAACAGTGTCTCAGTATTTGTGAAGCTGAACCCATCTCCCGAGACATCACCGTCCATGTCCTGAAACTGCCTGCCTCGCTTCCATGGTGCATGAGATAGTTCGACCGCTCACATCACTCCTCTAAGCGCGGTGAGCTCACGCACAGTGTGAAAAAGACCAGGCCATCAGCTATGGAGTGTCCGAGAGTCCAGCTCGCATAAGAGCCTCAACGAATTTCTGTTCGAGGTACGCTTCTCCGATACGTACGTATACAAGTACAGGCAGAAGTGGAAAGCTGTTTGTCGGAAATGGCTGGCGAGCAGCACGTCTCTCACGCGGCTACAACTGCCTTCTATCACGGGGGGCTTGAGAAAGCACGGATTGTGAAGCCCAAAGTGGCTGCAGCAGCAGTGTCGTTTGGGAAAAACAAAAACGGCCAGACCACCGGTAGAAGGATTCTTTTGGTGGCACGACGGAGGGGAGGTTGGAAGAAAGACGTTCCGACGCTGGTCGCTGTGCTTGTGCAGTGGGTTGGTGGCTTGATGAGAATGTGCCGAAGGACAAGGGGCAGCAGCATGGTGACTCGGAAACCAGTCAGCAGCTGGAGGGCTGACCTCTCCCATGCTCAATAACTGCTTGACCCTGGTTCTTGGTACCTAGTTTGGGGTCTTACTGCATTCCCAAAGCCTAACCATGTCGGAAGCCCAGAATCTCCCTTTGCATCTATCTGTCCGTGACATACCTTACCGTTCACTGGTCTCCGATAACCGACGCGACACGCTGGATGCTGTATCTTGCCAGCTGATGTTCATCGAGGATGTGTGAAAACGAGAAGTGTCGAATCACAAAGGTTCGCTCATTCAAGGCTTATTGCAACGCAGATTGTTTTAAACATGCTTCGATATCTACGTTTTGTTTCTGATTCACAGATCGCGACCACAGATTGAAGGCATCGTCATGAACAGATCACTCGTCTGGACGCTGATTCGCTCCAAGCACTTTCAAGGAAGAACATGAAATCTAGACCTACGGCTTTCACAGGCCACACCCGGGTCGATGAGACACGCTCCTCACCGGACTACACCTCACGAACCCCAGGTCCCGGCAGGGGACCTAGCAACCGAAAGTCAATTGCTCAACAGTTGGTCGTGATAGAGAATTGACGTCGATGGTCGCGAAAGCTGACTCTTGGGCAAGTGCATAGAAAAATCGTAGCGTGAAATAGGGAATGGTGGCCATCGATGGCTCAGAAACGCTCGGCTACATTTCCTTGCAAAGACAAGGCATAAACTTCGGTCAAGCTGTGGCACGATCAGGCATACATGCATGATACATGCGGGGGAATGGCGCGAGATCAGGGAACAAACAATCAGCGACAGATACGACACCCAGCGCTTTCTGCTCACTGTTTGTTCCAGTCAGCCTTCACTTGGTGTGGTCAAGAGAACAGCTTTTTAGAGATGTTAGATCCCGAATATGCACACATCGCAAGTTGATATCCAGCACTTGTATGCCTGAGGAAGACCCCCGGCTAGACAGTCAGTAACGGGTCCACTGACCCCTACGGCTGAGTACGGGCCTGCTCGTTGTTAGCCGGATGGAGAAAATGGTCGATACCGTGCTTGCTCAATCAAATCACATGGCCAGGTCTCCGTATGACCTATATTCTAGCACTCAATTGTGATATTGAAGCATACAAGTAAATATACGCGTAGCACCACTGATTATCAGCTTCTCTTGCCAACAACTGCCTCAAAGAAAGTATTGCTGATCTACAGACGGAGACCGTTGCGATCTAAAGCCCTTGATACAGGTGCCTGGAATCGCGCGTGGCAGCCATGAATGTGGGGTATCTCACCAAAGCCACAGCGTGGAAAACATGAGATGGAGTAGATGGCGGTCCGAAGACGAGTAGAGTTGACGCCAGCAAGATCCAAGCGGGTGGACTTGGTGCTATTGCGCACCAGCAAAAGTCAACAGAGTCATCGGGGCGTGCCGACGCAGTATCAACGAACAAGCTTCGGGTCATCACTGTTTGCTCTAAATTAGCCCTGAAGCGTTGGGTGGAATGCTTTCGGCGTCCCCGAATCGAAGTAGGCATTGTGCCGAAAGCCAACGAGGTGCAGTTTGAAAGCAAAAAGCTCCGGTGGCGTTCTGGGGAACATCCAGAGGCGTGACTTTGGAGAAACGATTCAGGTGGAAGAATGCGCCCCAACCGAGCAGGCGGAATTGGGCGATCATACAAATGGTGTTATGATAATAGCCTGTAGGCGAACTCGTTTACTACTTGCCTGCAGCAGGATGCCGAGATTGAAGAGGGACGTTAGCGAAACAAATCATATGCGTGACAAACCTAGTGAACCACAATCCTTGAGGATATCGGAGGAAAAAGAGATTTGAATCGAGCCTAGACTCGGTAACTAAATACCTGCCTAAGTGAACAAGGTCATGTTTCGCTTAACCGATGATTTTATTGGCCGGATTCTTTGTCTCAAACTGTCCATCTAACGTCGCCCAACACGAGACTCACAAGCTCAGATAAGGGGAGTTGGCAGTTCAAAAACAGCACGCTATACGTGGTACGTCCTGCGAGCTGTGAGTTGGACACGGCCTTGACGCCGTTGGCAAAAGTTGCGCGTGCGAGCAACGTAGAAACGAGAGCTTCGCCGAACTTGTGTGAGCAGCATTCAGAAAGGGTTCACGCACCGTGCACGCCTCTAGCGTTGACCTCGGGAAGGATGCATTCTCCAGACGCCATGCCGCTTGTGTCAAGAGTCGCATCAAACTGTGATCATGATGATCGTCCAGCCCCCCACCTCGTGGTGGCTTCAGCCTTCAGGAAGCTTGCATGCATAAAGATTGACAACAGGGTATCATGGTTGCTCTTCAAGGCATGCGCGTCTTCTGCAAAAGTGATTACTGCATCTATGAACCCGAACGGCCGGGTTTCATGAAATGAAGACGATGTCTGTGTCTCGTTGTCATCGATCAGCAAAGCATTGGTTTCGTGCTTGCAGACATTCAATCATCACCGCGTGAACCGTTATTGATCCGTTGTGGACAGAGCTTCATATCAGTAGACCAATCGTCCAGCGCCTGAATGTCGCACGAACGGCCGGTAAGAGTTGCTGATGGCCGGGCTCAGAGTTGATTCAACCATGATGCACTATGTTGACGGCCACGTGAGTGCAAGATCGTGTTTAGCTCTGCTTGTCGAATCTTGCGAGAAAACATCAAACACGACCGAGGGTTCGGTTCGGAGAGATCAGAAGATTTTTGCACGACATGGGGCAGGCGTTGGTGCTGATCCGGGCGGAGAGACCGAGAGCGCCTACGAATTCTTCCTTGCAGCGTGAATAGAACACATCAAGTTCGGACGACAACTTGTGTCTCGCAAAGAGAGATTGGGTTTACAAGGTCTACCCTTGTTTTAGTTGCTTCTCTGTCAGAACTTTCCGTTGAAATGAGCGCTGCCCTTGTAGACGAAAGGAAGGCGGAAGTATGATTCTTTGCTGACCGCCGAGTGGTCCTCCCCGCAGTGCGCACATGGTCATTTGCAACTTCCAGAATAACATCGGCTGTTTCCCACGCACTCATCTGCATGCAGGCACAGCACATCTTCAGTGTGAGAGCCTCGTGCGCACTCATGCTTGTAGCATGATGTCTGACCAGTAGCTCTCTTTACCAGTCTTGTAGCGATGTTCAGGCAAGGCTTGTTTTGGAGGAAGGATGCGTTGCTTTGGCCAGAAGGTGGGAGACATGGCCTGTTCGCTCTGTGCCGCCCGCACGCTTGGATTGGATCTGCAGGTTGGCGCTTATCACACTGGCGGCCGACCTAATGAAACACGAGCGTCTGGTTGGTCGTGTCTTGGGTCGGAGAGGAGTTGGGCGCGCAAGCGATGGTGGTGTCTACCGTAACTTGCAAGCCCGTCCCGCAGCAACGGCCCCGAGGGTTCTACTCGGTCTAGTCCCTAGGGCGAGTCACCCTTTCAGTTCACAGACCACATCGTTGCTTTCGCTTTCACTTTTTGCGAGAAACGCGCTTAGCGGCCGCTTCCAAATACCGTTTCTCGCGCAGACAGCTGAGGACAGGAAGCAGCATGGCCCATGGTGTGCTGCATGGTTTGATGAGGGTGTGAGACGGGCAGCAACGAAGGGGGGGCATGATGCGACGCAAAATAGGGCCTCGTGCAGGCTGCGGCCAGACGCATCTTCCTGGAGCGGAGTCGCATCGGCAGCTGAAGCGTGAAGGATCGAAGATGGAAGAAGAAAAGGACGCTGGGCGCGGAAGGATTATTGCCTACCTGTCAGGTGCATCGGGGCGGTTAGTGCAGCGCGCACAGCAAGAGTGGGCGGCAAGTGGGAGGCTCTTTTGCTCGCCCTCCGCTCCGCCTGGTGGTGCTCAGGCTCGTTGACTCTTGTCTGCCCTAGACTCGATCCAGACGCCTCGCGCTCGCGCATGGATCTCGTCTACCACTAGCGGCCTCTCAGACAGCGCACTAGTTGTTTAGATTGCCGTGCATGTTCACCTCTCCGCTGGTGTCCAGCCCTCGAGGTCCGCCATCCGTTCTCTAAAAGCGCCAGGGCACCTAAGCTTAACAAAGGATCGCCCTCCTCGCACGTCTTCAAAGACGTTCGTCTGTTTGCCCTGCGCGTACGCGACTCGTCCCTCGACCTCAAAGCACTCTCTCGAAGCAGACGCTTTCTTTGTTCGTTCGCGCTGCTCTGCTCTGATCTCTGCCTCCCCCTTGCTCGACTCTGCGCTCGCTCTTATTCCACCCACAAGCCCCTGCAAGCCACCCTCTCCACCATCCAAGCAGCTCTCCCAAAACGTGCATTTCCTCTCTAGCTTGCGACTGCCCAGCTCCAAAGCCACGTTTGTTGTCCATCTTCTGCGAATACCCAATACCGGTGCGACGCGTGCGTGTGACCCTGCCGTCTGCACAACCACATATCCGGGCTCCCAGATCTCTCCCTCAATGTAAGCCTCTTCCCCCGATCGTGGCCTTGGGTAGCGCCTCCTGTTGCGCAACACCCGCTGAGACCCTTCTAGTATCCATTCGGTTTGACTCGCAGCAACTCGCGTCACCCTCTGCCTCTCTCTTGACCATCGTTGCTCCATCTAGCGGCCAGCAACGTCAGGCTTCGATCTCTTTCCGGGTTTCTGGAATTGTGCTGCAGCGAGGTAATCCGAGTACCCGCGTCTTTGGGATCCCATCATCACCACCACGGCAGAAGCATCTCTCATTTTTGCCTCAAATCACATCGCAAAGCCATATCGGACGCCTCCATCTCATCTCCTCGGCTGTTCCTTTCCTCAACCGCCGCAGCCTGCATCGGTGCCGAACGCATCCTCTGACCCTACCGAATAAAGCCTGCCATCCGCCATCGTGGCTGCCAGTCTTGCTCTCACGTCACATATGATTCCCGGGTCGGATTCAATGGGTGCTCCCACGAGTTTCTCATCTCGTAGACCCAATGCTTCGAACCTTCCCAACTTCGAGCTGCCTCCTCCTCAATTGACGTCGCTGCACCAGAAGTACCACTCATATGCTACCACCTCGCAGCCGACTCCCTCTATCCCCTCGAGCTTGACCAGCGTCGGCAACTTGTTGACCCCTCCAAGCGGCATCTCGAGCGACGGTCTCAGCCCTAACTCTTCTAACATGCCGACCGGCAGCTCCCACGCCAACCAGGCGGTACCGCCATTCACCCCTACCGGTTACATGTGGCCCCCTTCTCATACCGGCACTACTCCTTACGGATTCCAGTCCCACAACAGTCCCAACCAGCGAGGCCTCTTTTCTCCATCCCTCAACTCGATTGTCAAGGGCAACAACTCGCCTCATTCTTCCGAGAGCCTGCCTCCTCCAAACTTCCCCGAGAACCCTTTCCCTACCTCTATGAGCATGTCGGCACCCGTCAACTTGCCAGCTCTGCCTTCTCAGTCATCCAGCATTGGCTCAGCAATGATGGGAGGCCACACCNCCGTGACTCAGCCTTCGCCAGTGAGCCACCACGATTCTTATGCAAGACCTCCCNCTACGCCCACCTATTTCCATGGATCTCAACACAGCCACAATGGCCAATCATCATATGCCTACTCTTCTGGACCTTCGCCTGTTCAACAGAGCCCGATGAGTGCAGGTGGTCAGATCCCACGCATGTCCCCCGCAAACGGTCACGGATCTATTCCGCCACTTCAACCACAGAATGCGCAGTCATACCAGCACCAGCGCCCATCATACCAATACCCAGGCCCGGTATTGTCCAACGTCGGGAACCCCAACAGCCAGCTTGCCTTGGTCGGTGGTATGCCCCCTTCGATGATGCCAGCATACAACAGCGGCCACGCGGCACACATGCAGCACATGTACGGCCATCACCCTCAGGCACAGCCAAACCCCCAGAACGACAGGCCTTTCAAGTGCGATCAGTGTCCTCAGAGCTTCAATCGCAACCACGATCTGAAGAGACACAAGCGCATCCATCTTGCGGTCAAGCCATTCCCCTGTGGACACTGTGACAAGAGCTTTTCCAGAAAGGATGCTTTAAAGGTACGCGTTCATCATAGTATTGTCGTCGAGATCTAGCTAATTCTCAAGCAGAGGCACATCCTCGTCAAAGGTTGCGGCAAAGCGCCTACCAACTCGGCCGATGGCGATAGAAAAGACGGTTCGATATCTCCAGCTATGAAGAGCGAGAATTCGAGTCCCACCGTCTCTGCCTCCGCATGAGGTTCACTTGAGCGACACGACCTCAACATCATCAAAACATGAACAACAACGATAACCTCACGGTGATACCCTTTTTGTTATTGTATTACTTATGGTATATACTTACGCTGTTACGGATCGGAAAGCATGCATGTGGTTTTTTCTTCTCTTTTTCCTTTCTTCTTGTCAATGGCGAGGGCGCCGCGGAGGGCCACGGAACTGTCATCTTCACAGGGCGTTTGACGAGCTGGCATTATGCTGGGTATTGCGACTTTACGGACTTTAGTCCATCACTTTTTGCTTCAAGTTCTTGGATACCTTTTTCAATTCTGGTGGTGGGTTTTTGGGGGTGCTGCGGATGAAAGAAATTGCCACCCCTACCCCTTTTTCCTACAATAAAGCTACACACTTCTGTTCTTCGCACCCATCTTGACGACCTTTCGTGAAGTCCGTTAGGCGTGCATTGGTTGTCGTACGTGAATATCTATTTACATACAGAGGTAGCTGGCAGCGCTGACGACATGCACGTGCTTCTCTTGGCTTCGCATTTCCCCAGCTCGATGTCTTCCCATCTCCAGATCTTCTCTTCCTCTTGCGNACCAACATCCTCACCGCCGCCAGGGAGTCTTCTTGACTGGCAGATCTATATCAGTCAGAGCAGGAGGTCAACCCCTATGGCATCAATTCTCCCTTGTGNCCAAACGTCTCGATGCTTTCAATAGCCAAATCAGGGGTACGTGCAACGGTTTTGCATGTCAGGGGCTGGCGGTTGAAACTTGACGTGAAGTTNGAAGATGACGATGGCACGCCTTGAGTACCGAGAATACGTCGCCGGCAGTGTTGATGTGCATACAACGTGAACAGTAGAGACATTCACACAAAGACTCTGACAGTCATGTCTTGGTAAAGAACAAGACGTTCTGGTCAATGTTTCGCACCGTGTAAGTCGGAATTGGTTGTCGAATTGCAGCGAGCAGGAGGTCAACGTCGTCGCGCACCGTTGCATTCCTAGCTTTGCGCATCAAAACATTTACAGTAATCATCATCTCGGCCAACAACAAACAGCGCTCCTGATTCTGTCATTCCGTTCCCCTCGTCTCGGCACAGTGCTTGCTGCCAACTTGTTAATCGCTGACAAAGGCCACCGTTGGTGTCGATTGACGATTTCGCCGTCTCGTGGTGGTTCCTTCCCTCTCCATCACCTTGTACCTTGTCCTTCCTTGTCGACCTACGCCCGCCTTCCTTCCTTTCCTGTTGCGCCCGCGTGAACTCGCACGCGCCCGACTATCCTTCATCGACTCTATAGATACATCCCTCATTTGTCTTTATCACGCCGCCAGCACACAACACTCCGCTCCTTACCCGACCTGCATCTTAATACGCCCGCCAATGCATAATTAATCACGCTCGTTTTCTTTCGACTTTCAGAGCAGGACTTGGATTGATTGGTCTGTCTGTATCATCGCCAATCAGTGTTTGGACTGCAAGACAGTATACCATCAACGCACATTTACCAAGGCACTTGACGCGACATCAAGACTACTCAACATAACAGCGCCATCATGGCCGACAACTATCGCCGCCAAACGCGACCGTCATCGAGACGAGAAGTGCTTGGACCCGGCGAGTCTCGCGCCAACATCGACTCAACTGCGCGAAGAAGCACACGATCCTCGAAAGCACCGGAAGTGTCTTCGCCCACCTCAATCCCCCACAACCAGTCACTCGTTGCCAATGGTACTCTAGATGTACGCACAAGCAGTCCTGCAGCCTCATCAACGCACCAGACGCACCTTTCGTCTGCTGCTCCCGAATCCCAACGAGCTAGCAAACGCTATTCAGAGATATCAAACTGTACGACCGCTTCCGGATCGGGTCGCAAGAGCTTCGTGGGGCGATGGCAACTCGGAAAGACAATCGGCCAAGGTGGCTGCTCTACTGTACGCTTGGTTAGACACAAGGACACCGGTCAGATCGGTGCCGCAAAGATCATCTCGAGAAAGATGGCCGAAACGGTTCGTGCTCAGAGTTTAGCCAACCTGGCAGAGATGCCCGACAAGTCACTGCAAGACCTTGTTGCTGCCGGCAAGGCCATGCCACCCNCTCCTCCAGGTCTCCTGCGCGAGATTGCCATCATGAAGCTACTTGATCATCCCAACATTGTTCGCCTGTATGACGTCTGGGAGAACCACAATGAGCTCTATCTCATCATGGAATACGTCGAGGGTGGAGAGCTGTTTCACTACATCGAAGAGTGTCGCGGTCTCGGAGAAGGAGAGAGTGTCTACATCTTCCGCCAGATTGTTGCCGCTCTACTTTACTGTCACCGTATGCACATCCACCACAGAGACCTCAAGCCAGAAAACATCCTGCTTGACCGTGAGAATATCCAAGTCAAGCTGGTTGACTTTGGTATGGCCGCTTTACAGCCAGAGGGTAAGAAGTTGACAACGGCCTGCGGTAGCCCTCACTACGCTGCACCCGAAGTCATCAAGAGTAGACCGTACGATGGCGCACGAGCAGACGTATGGAGTTGCGGTGTCATTCTGTACGTCATGCTCACTGGAATGACTCCTTTCAACTACGACCAGGATCGAAACCTCGGAGTCATGTACAGAGCCATCGCTGAGGCCGACTACTACATGCCACCTGAACTCAGTCGCGATGCTCAAGATCTGCTGCGTAGAATCTTCGTTCCGGATCCTCGTCGTCGAATTACCATGGAACAGATTTGGGAGCATCCTCTGCTGCACAAGTTCGACGAGGAGTGGGGATACACGGGACCCCTTGCGAACAAGGAGGCTTGGGTTGGTCCGTCACCTATTCTCGAAGACTGGACCGTGACACGTGAAGACGAGGTTGACAAGGAAATACTTCGTAACATGCGTACCCTGTGGCACAGCGTGCCTCAATCGGTCCTCGTCAAGAAGCTCGTCAGCAACGAGCCGAACCAGGAGAAGCTCTTCTATGCCGCTCTTTTGAAACATCGCGAAGAGAATATGGAGAACTACCTCGGTGGCGCTGATGCCATCAGCTATTCTGCCAGCGACTACCAACATAACACGAACGAGCTCAAGGATCAACCCCCGATGCCCAACCAAAAGCAGCACTCGCAGTCTCAATACTCCATCATGAATGATGAGCATCTTCGCACCCCACAACCTGATCAGAATTTGCCATCGGATGGTAGCTATGATCCTTACCGATCATCCCGTTACCAAACTACACCCAATGGGACGCCGTACACAAAGGTTACCGTGCATCGTAGAGGCGAGAGTAATGGTAGCCGCAAGGCTTACATGCAGCACACCTTGCGCCACCCCAATGCACTTCGTGTTGAGATGCTGAAAAAGAATGGTCTCTCAAATTCCAGTTCCAGTCTGGTAAAGCAAGAGTACAGGAAATCCATGACACGCTCATTGTCTAAAGCATCAACATCACGCAACTCGGTCGTGAGTTCTGTCTGGCCTAGCAGCCCACCTGTTATGCCGAGAACAGTCAGCTCCCACAAACATAAGAGAAAGGTCAGCTTTTCTCATCATCGTAAGAGCTCGCAAGCCGCAGTCAGCACCAGCGCTCGTTTCACCCCAGAGCTCCAAGCCAAAGCCAGATTCTCTCAATTCATGCACGGAAGTCCTACTCCTGATGCAAACAGCCCTTCTTGTCGTGTAGACAATGCAATTAGATCTAGAAAGGAAAAGTCGGTCACACCTGCTCCTCGTACGCGACCTCGCAAGAATTCAACCGGCGCAGCCAAGACAGATATTCGCAAGGCCAGTAGCGAGCTCGAACAGGCTTGCGAAGAGGCTTTCAATCGTTGTTCTTTCAGCTCAAGCGTATTTACAACGGCATCGGGAACCGAAAAGGCTGGCTACGAGACTCCTCCATCATCCGTGTCTAAGAGGGATTCTGGTAGCTCAATCAAGGAACACGCCGCACCTCGCCCTCTACCTGCTCTTCCATCCGACACTCCAAACACCTTTATCACCCGCACACTCGAAGAAACACGGCACAAGCTTGCAGCACGCAGTGCATCTGAAGGAAACGATGGCTCTGCCAAGATTGAACAAGTCCTCGCCAATCTCGATAGAATCATGCCGGGCGATAAGCGTACCGTTTCGGCTCCTGATCACCATGTCATGGACAACAGAGCACTTCTGCCAATCATAAGCGAGGAAGGCAGACCTGAGGGCTCTCAAGGACGACCAAACACAGCTCATAGATACAGGTCTGTCACAGCTCCAATGCCAGAAAGAACAGTTCGTATGGTTCAGCCTTCATCCCCGGCCACACCCAAGAGCCCATACAATTGGCGTTCTGTCGAGGAGCCAGCCTCGAATGTCTCTCAGCACACTGTCATTGACAAGTCTCGTCTCACTGTACCCACTGCCGATCCCCGTATGGTTCGCAAGAAGAGCAGCGATAGCGACATACCGTTGAGCCAAATCTCTACGCAAACGTCTCACGAGGGCGCAGTCAAGAAGAAGTCCTCTTGGTTCCGCAAGTGGAAGGAGCCCTCTGTCGTTGATGACAACCAAGTTCGTCCACGCTCACCCATGCCTTGGAACGAGACTGCTGGTCAGACTGGCAAGCCTAGTGTCCTCAACCGGGACAACCGACCGCCTCATCTGGACCTGACCAGCGCCCAAGTACCTGCGCCCAAGTCTTCTTCAAGCAGTGAGTTTCCAATGCGCCGTGAAAGCAAGGGTTTCAGCAAATGGTTTGGCAGAAAAAAGGATTCAGACAAATNNGTAAGTTTGCAATGCACAGGAGCCCAGTGATGTTTTCTAACCTGATTCGCAGTGTCTCCTCCATCTGCCGCAATGGTCACTGGTCCGCTCAGTCCCTTTTCAACAGGACCATTGTCACCTCTACCTCCAACCACTCCTACCTCAGCTGGTGGCGATAACGCAACACGTTCTTGGTTCTCTCGTTTCCTCCGTCTGCGACCCGAAGTTCGCACTCTGGCATTCAATGTTCCACGTACCCGAGCAAGAACAGAGTTGGTACGTATGTTGCGCGAATGGCAACGACACGGTATCAAGGACTTGACCTACTTCCCTCAAGACAACGCAATCACCGCCAGCATCGATAAGGTCAACTCTTTAGGCATCAAGCCAGTTACTTTCAGAATTGAGTTGTTTGTTGTGCTCAAGAATGGCAGGAAAGCTGGCCTTTCATTGGCGAGATGTTCGCAAATGCGTGGAGCAGCCAGTTCATTCCGCAAAGTCGTCGAAGTCTTGGAGCAAGTCGGCAGAGATCGCGGTCTGCTGATTGAAGACGAAAGCCAATGGGAAGAGCTTTGTGGTATTCTGGCCTGAAGAGGGGTTGAATTTGCGTCTCAGCCCTGATACACCCACTCACCTTCATGGACTTTGCTACACTCCTGCAAGAGTTCTTTTGAAGTGTGGGAGGTTCCTTTGTTTTTAACGTTCTCTTCATTGTACTTGGTTGTTGAAATTTCGGTCATGACAAGGGACCAGATACCCTTTCATCGAAGTGGAGTTTTTTGTTTTATGGGAAGCATTTTCGACGACCCAGCATCCAATTCGGAGTTTCTCATTTGTCTCAGAAGATGGCGTATCAGGGAGCGATTATTTTGTTTTTTTGAGCAACGAGTGCTGGTCGTCTTTTATGGTTTTTTTTCTTTGTTTCCTGTTTTCTTTCCTCTTCAGCTTTCTTTACAGTTGTAGCATATCAGGCAGAGGAAGAGAGAGAAAAGCAGGAAAGACCCAGATTCTGTAGGAAAGAAGGGAAGAGAGATGGAAACAGCGCAATACGCTCTAATGTTAATGAACACTTGTTTTACCTTTGAGTGCGTTTTCCTAGATCGAATCTTCTTTGGTGGTCCCTGCTCTGGGCAGGAACTCCATGTTTGGACGCAGAGGACCGCTGCTACCAACTTGAATTTGGGCATCTCCGTCGCAGTGCAGAACCTGAATATAATGCTTCTCGCATATGCATCTTCCCAGGCCAGCTTTCGAGGTGTACTGTAGGAGTTGTCTCTTCATCCACTTCTTCCGGCGAGACATGGCTCTTTTATAATCCCAAAGCTTTGTCGTGTGCTTTGTCACTCAAGCACCCACCTCCTCAACCCTCGCACTCAAAATCTTGACAGCCTCGACAGGTCTATCCTCCTTGTCCACCTTGACCAACCCCATCCTCTGCACCACCTTCATACCCCCCTTGACCCTCCCGAAAATGGTATGTTTGCCATCCAACCACGGCGTCGGGGCCAGCGTGATGAAGAATTGACTGCCATTCGTGTCGGGACCCGCATTCGCCATGCTCAAGATTCCAGCGCCGGAATGACGCAGCGAAGGGTTTAGTTCGTCTGCAAACTTGTCGCCGTAGATGGAGGCGCCGCCGCGGCCGGTGCCGGTGGGGTCGCCGCCTTGGATCATGAAGGAGGGGATGATGCGGTGGAAGGGGGTGGTGTTGTAGTAGCCTCTGCTTGCTAGGGTGGAGAAGTTGTGACAGGTCTGTTTTGTTGCGAGTGTGAGTGTTTCTGAAGCGTTCTGGGATGCGGTTACAGCAAGAAAGAGAATTGATACCTTTGGCGCGTGTTCGGTGTAGAGCTCCACTGTGATTTCTCCCATCGTCGTTACGAGCACTACGGTTTGCGCCATGGTTGCTTGTGCTGCTGGTGTTTACGGTGTCGTGCAAAGGTCAATGGAATCGAGCCGGATGTATTGTGAGTCCTTGAGGTGCAATTGACGTGATTCAAAGATGCAAAAAGACAGTGACTGGCAAGGTACAAGTTGGAGAGTCGCAAGACCATCACGGTTGCTCGGATCAAAAAGCTCGAATGACGATCGATTCACCACCCCTCGCGCGCGGACCTGGCAAAACATTGTCGCAGCCTTGAATCGAACACGGGGCTCGTGCATGGCAAGCACGAATTTTACCACTAAACCACTGCGACTTTGATATGAGCATAGGACAATCTTGCAAAGTATATTCATCATCTCAGAGGCATCATGCCTCATCTACGCATCTAGAGCGCACTGGTCGTGCTTTCCCGAACGAGGTGGACAAATCATTGACACAAAGGACGAAGATGTGCTGAATCTCGGCATATCACCACGTCGCAATCGCAACGCACAATAGCTGGTATAGGCTTGCTGGGGCTAAAAGAGCCTTTGTGGCAGACCAGATATCATAGCGCCAAACAGAGCTTTCCAAAACCCAGACAGTTGACAATAGAGTACAGAATACAATTACACGAATATCAAGACAGAGAAAACAAACGCACTACCCTAATTACCACCGGACCACAAACTACCAAATCCACAGCTTATTACTTCAGTATCCATGCTTGGCCAGCTCCTTCTCCGTCCACTCCCAGAGTTCCTCAACCTTCTTTATGTCCTGCGCCCATCCAGAGCCTGGCCCTTTGTTGCCAACAGGCTTAAAGTAGTACCCTTTCTTGACATCTTCCTTTTCTCCCGTGCAGGCCCAAAGCTGGTTTCTCGTTCCCTGGGGCACAGTCTGCATGAAAAGACCACCCATGGCAGCAATTCCATATCTGACAATCATACTGTCGCGTTGAGTGGATGCAAACAGATCGGTTTTGATGACACCAGGGTGCACAGAGACAGCCGTGATGGAAGGATGGTGAGAAGTCAGACCGCGAGAGTGCAGGATATTGGCTAGTTTTGCGCTGCCATAGCGGGTCCAGGTGCCATAGGTTTCGGCGGCGACTTGATCGTAAATGATACCGTCACTGCGAGGTGCCAATTGGTGACCTTCGCTCGACAAGGTTACGACTCTGACATCGGCATTGGGATCCTCTGCTGTTTTGAGGAGGACGGGCAAAAGAAGTTTGGTCAACAAAGCGTGACCCATGTGGTTGGTTCCGAATTGGATCTCATAGCCCTGCTTGGTGGTGCTGTAAGGCACACTCATGATGCCAGCATTGTTGAGCAGGATATCCAATCTCTGCTCCTTCTGCTTGAACGAGTCAGCGGCAGCCTTGACGGACTCAAAGTCTGTCAAGTCCAGAGACAAGAACTCGACTTTGGCATCGGGGACTTGAGTCTTGATCTCCTCGATTGCGGATCTGGCCTTTGATTCCGTGCGTGCGGCCAGGTAGATCTGAGAGGGATTGTGCTTGGCAAGCTGCAGAACTGATTCTTTGCCCAAGCCAGTGTTGCCTNNAGTAGAGTTCAATGTAAGTATCTGGAGCTTCTTCTTGCTGAAGCACCGCGTACCTCCTGTCACAATGATGACCTTGCCGGAAAGGTCCGGGATGTCCTTCTCGGGTTCAAATGACTGTCCGCCGAAGAGACCGAACATGGTGGATGATTGGAAAGTCAGTGGAGTTCTTGCGAGAGTTGCGCTTCGTTGTGTCTGTAGGTAAAGATGTCAGGTTGCCAAGTATACAGAAGGGCAGATTGGCATGTGCTGAGGTGTCAAAGGGCTGCGGGGATAAAGCTTAATATTTTCATGTTTTAAGCTCAAGATACTAACTTCTAGCCTTCCAGGCTACAGCATTTCATGCCCAATCACGGATGACACGGAGGTATGAGAGGTTATGGGATGCTATGATTGTTCGCAACCTGGCTCAAGGTAGAGCACGTCTTCAGATAGTGGATCAAATGGTAAGTTGTAGTTATGAAGCGTCAAATGACAATTGCTGCTGATTGGGGTGCTCGAAAAAAAACGCCTCTATCATAGCCAGAAAAGAATGCATCCTTCAGAAAAGCAAAAAGGCGCGAGAAGCCGGCCGTGGTATCTAGTAATTCTCAAATCCTTCAACAAACGCCGCCAACATCAAATTCAAGTCATGATGTGGATCGTAATACATCTCTGAGAGTGTCATATCATCGCTCCATGTCGCTCATCCATCCGTTGTTAGCAAGACCCATGTTCATGTTTGGGGTCTGCGTTCCGTAGGCTCCCATCTCGTTTTCACTCATATCTCCCCATTCGTTACCACTTCCAGCATCGAAACTGCTTCTTCCGCTAAAGACCTCGGACTCTTCTGGAATGGCTGGCGCACTGACAGCTCCCCAGTCGAGGTTTGCTAGATCTGGGTACATTTGCAGTAGAGCGGCGGGAAGAATGGGATGCAGATGAGGTTGGTTCGTCATGGGAGGTGGGGCTACAAAGCCTTGGTCGCTCTGCATCTGTCGCTGGGCATGCTCTTCTGCCCACTGTTTCTGTCGCTCGGCAGCTTCTTCGTCCAGCAAAGGCTTGATACACACACGTCCAGCTTCTGAGCGGAAGTGCCGACCAAGAGCGTCGGCGCGTGCAAACCTACGGCCGCATCCCCACTGTTCTCCGTTGCTAAGTTGACCTTTGCAAACAAACTTCTTTTCGCCAGAATGCAAGCTTTCGTGGCGTTTGCGATCGTGCTGACGAGCAAATGCCTTGCCACATACAGTACAGACAAAGGGTCTCTCATCGGTATGAGTGCGAAGATGGGAGCGTAGATTGTATGCGCGGGTAAACTTCTTGGGGCACAATGTGCACTGGAAAGTCGCTGGGTGTTTTTGAGTTCGCTTGGGATCATTGCCTCCATTGGCAGCTCTTTCGGGGTTTGCGAGATCCAGAATGTAGTCTCGCTGGGGCACAGACGAGGTCGAAGAGCGTCTAGAAAGTCCACTAGTAGAAGAGATGGACGAAGGCGAAGGTGAGCGGGAGCCGTTATGACGTGCATCGAAAGGAGATAGAGAGTTTGTCCCTGGTTGTAGCGAAGGAGATCTACCTCTTCCTGCGAGCGAGGGAGTTACAGGCCGCGATGCAACGAACGTGTCGGATTTGGCGCGCATTCGGTTGCGACTACGATCNTAAGATGGCAAAGTCAGTAACAAGGTTAAGCGAAAAGGTGAAGACAACCTACTCCTTTCCGGCGGACTAAGTGCATCCTCCGGCGCAGCACCAGCGGGTGGTCCAAAAGAAGGTACCCTTGAAGGAGGTGCAAAGTCAATGTTGATCTCGGGCGGAGACATGGTATCGGCCATGCCTATCTCATTGGGGGTACCGCCATTGCTCAACTGAGGAAAGGGTTCAGCTGCCGTAAGCGAAGCATTCGAATACATGTCGAAATTCTGCTGTGGTACTTGGTATGACATGTCTGGTTGCAAGGTAAAGCCGTTCGCCGTGTTGAAGTCTGGGAGCGCGTGCTGCGCTTGAGGCAACAACCGAGGCGACACGGCCGGACTAGGGCCTGGGCTGATATGAGGTGGAAGCTGCGTATCGGACAAGGAAAATTGACCAAGACCAAGAGCGTCGGGAAACATGGAGGCGTCGGTTTGTGGGTTCAGCATGGGCGAGGCATCGAAGCTGTCTGCTGTGGGCAGATATGGTGAAGCCT